ATTCTTCTTTTTTTCACTTTCAATTTTATTATACATTAAGTTGGAGAGTTTATTTCCGAGATATGGGACCTGAGAGGTCTCATAAATACTTTTTGAGTTGTGAATAAAAGAGAATTTCATCATTTGAACGATATTTTTGGTTTTATTGTTTTAATTTAGAAACAGAAATTTTAACCAAACTGGATCGTTTTCAATACTAATGCAGGTAAATATCACAAATAAAGAGGGTTCAAACTGATTGATGTGGTCCCAAAAGTTAGAGTTGACCAAGGCCTAAAATTACCGAGACTGGAAAATCCAAAGAATGTAGACGGGAATACCTTAAGCGTGGCACACGAACGGGAAAACGAAACGATTCCGTTCTCAAATGCAAGCATGACCCTCACAAAAGTACCAAAGTGGTTGAGAGAATTGAACCCTACCGAAGAGCGAATGGTGACTCTCCGAACCCCTTTCATGCAAATACGAGAACTGGGTGTTGATCACCAGTTAGGGATAAAAGGATCCATTGTCAACGTACCCAATAGCTTGCACAAGACCGTAGACTGTCGTCCACGCAATATAAATTATTCATTCGCTAGTCATGTAAAATTGAAAAAAAGTCTAGTTTTCAAATCATGTTTCATGTATGAACTTGTGAATCCAAAACAGGTGTATGCAGCTTATAATCTCCATTAAACACCATCGCACCTATCCGAAAATGTTAATATTGATCTCGATTGGCTGTTCAATGTCTATTCAGTCATCAAAAGAATTTACACAGAATGTGTCTCAGCTGCATTCAAATATGTCTGCAAAATTGTGTATAGAGCAGTTCTGGATTAACAGTTAAAGATGTTCAAAATGAAAACCCAATGAAGTTTCTTTTCCAAAAAAAAATTAGACAACAGCCATTTTGCCAATAGGTGACCTGTGATCGCCTTGCTGCGATCACGATTTTCTTCATTTTGTATCGTATTTTATTTTTATTTATTTTTTTTATTACTGAATTGTTGATACGAGAAAAGCTAAATGGTAGAAGTGAAGCCAGTCGAATTCTTTAATTCACTCCAAGGTTAGCCCTAGCTCTTACATTTAATATTGGTGTCAAAAAGCGTGATTGTATTCTTAATATATTATTTTAAATTTATCGAATCATTTTTAATAATCGGTTTAGAGGTCATTCTTTTTATGAAGTTTCCGAATATTTATTATTATTTAGTTTTTACTTTAAAAGAAATTAAGGATCATTTTTATTATTTATAAGAAATAAATTTTGGTTACTAAATTTGCGTCAAGAATCAAAGGATGACCAAGTCACAATATCTCTTCTACTATTCATTTCCTCCTCTACTGGTATGGGTGAAAACAATTTCCTTGATTGGATTAAACAAAAACATCTTTTTTTTCACCACACTGAGGCTTCTTTCAGTCTTTGGAACGAGCAAATATTGCTTAATCTCTTGGGATTGAACAAATATTTATTTATTTACATTACTTTACAATTTGTTTTATTTTACCTTAAATTTTACTGAATACATTCCACTTCAATTATACTTTACACTATACTTTTCACTTTACTTTATATTTAACACTTAAATTTATTTTTACACATTTTCTTATACTCTCCTTACTTTTGATTGCACTTTATTTTATTTTTTACACGTTATGTTATTTTTCACGCTTTACTTTATGCTCTATGTTAGACTTCATTTAATACTTAACGCTTTACTTTATACTCTACTCCTTACTTTACTTCATGTTTTACGTTTTACATTTTTATACTCAGCGCTTTTCTTTACTCTTTACTTAACGCTTACTTTACTTTAGATTTTACGCTTTACATTTTTTAAAAATTTTACTTTACTTTTTATGCTTTTATACTTATACTAACGTTTTACTTTACTTCTTACTTCAATTCATATTTCACGTTTTAGTTTTTACGTTTCTTCACATTTTAAAAATAACGTTCCCATGTATAATAACAAAATAACTAATATCATGCACCAATATGTACTTAAAAAATAGCGATGATTTAAGAGTGAAAATAGTGAGGACTAAATTAGCGATAATGCTTCAACTGACCTGGTTTGCATGGGCTTCAAATTCGAAACATTGTATCGACAATCCAGTAATATATAGAAAGGTTTATTTACTTGGTTATGCTATTTTTTAGTTCTTCAGCATCACCAGTGAGCTAAAGGATTTTTTTAATGCGTTTTGCTTTAAAAAGTATTATTTATTACTGTAGAGCCGCGTATTCTTTTAACTTGAAGGGAATTTCGAATAATAAAAAGCTCGTTTTCTTCTTACAAAAAAATAAAAGAGTTAACAAAAGAATGTTCTAATTGCTGACACCACGATAATAAAAATACAAAATAAGTATGTAGGTTAATTGTACAATTTTTTTTGGTATCCTTAAAAAAATACCATTGAGCCATGCATTTTTCTGTTTACAATATTAGCATATGCAGTAAAGAACAATAAATTATTTTTCAACCACAAATTCAGCACGATACCCACTTTTGATAAATTAGAAGAATGACCCAAAGCTTTCAATATCTGAAAATGAAGTTAAAAGATAAAACCGATGTCACTTGTGCAATATGAGTTTATACTCAAGAAATATCTTGATTTTTGACTGTATGATTTTAAATATCCAGATACGTGAAAGTCAATACGAGAAGGCAAAATCAGCTGGTCGCCGGAGGCAGCAGGTAGTTTTATAAAAATACGTTTCAAAAACGTAACTACAAACAAATTAAAAAAGTGGTACCAAATAAATTGAAAAATACTAATTTGGCACGTTCATGTTTGAACTTATCTGACTTACAAAAAATAATTAAATTTTAAAGAATTTGCACTAAACTTCTTTTTTTCATTTAATAGATCTATAAGCTAGCAAACACAACTGATGTGATCTTCAAATCATTTTGCATACCAAATCGTCAACAGTTTAATTTAACACAGTAGCTAATGCCTGAACAATTGAGAAAAATTCATTGAACGATCCAATAAATATTCTTATTACATAAAAATACGGATAACAGATCCCATTTCCGTAAAAGATTACATAAAAAAATAGAGAGATTAAATTTTTGAATAAAATATGGAAATTATAAAAATGAAATATGGTATCGAAGTAAAACTGAGAATATAAACCATTTTTATTATCCGGATTGTAGGGAATAATAAAAGAGGTTTTTTCAGCATCTGTCCTAAAAAAAGCAAACAAATCCTATCGTAAGTCTTGGACTCTTTCATAACATCACATGACTATTCCGAGTTTGTTTGTTTTCGTAAGATTTAGTTTGTAAAGCAGTTAAAACAATAGAATTGAGACAAGACTGAATATCTTAAAACAATTACTCACATTATTTTTTTCTTTTAATGATAGAGCAATATAGTTAGTTCATTGCATTAAAGAAAATGTTTGGTCACGGAACTATGATTGACATTACAGAAAAAACTCTGATAGTAGTATATTATTTTAAAAATATTTTCAGTTAATTGTCTCTATTTTATGAATGACATTTTACTGAATAACTATAGGAACAAATATTGAATGATTATTTTTGTCACGCGATTAAATTTGTAGAACTTTTTTTACAGGAAGAAAAAATATGTTCAGTTTCCTTTTTCAAAGACTTGTACTGATTAACAAAAGGATTTAAATTTTATTAACTCAGAAAATTAATATTTCGATGAAGTCAGTAAATCTCACGTGATAAAAATTTTAATGAAATTCACTAAGAAATACTTTTGTTTACTTACTCAACTATCAAGAGGATTATGTTAATATCATTCTCATCTTTATACGCATTTTTTAATAATTTTTTCTCTTCATAGCATATTGTCCATAACCAAGATTCTTGTCCACTAAGAACCGATTTAATTGTATATAAAGACTTAGTAGAAAAATTTATGCTTTATACTTACAGTTGATTATAACATATTATCATACCTAAAATGTAAAACCTTTTCTTAAAAGCATATGGCAGTTTTTTTCTTAGCTCATATTTAATGAAATAAATTTTAAGAATAAGTTTCTGTGTCAGCAGTTGAAAACTAGCCATCTTTTGCAACCAGATTGACCTCTCACACAAACTCACTGCTTTGCAACAATTGACTGTGTGATTTGGGAATGGACAATAGTGAGTGATTGGGCGATTTTTCAATTTTTTTTTTAAAAATAAAAGCTCTAAATGCAACTATGCTGGATTTTTAAATTTTACTCATATTGAGTAAACCTCCAAGAATTGTGAAAAGTTTAAGAATAGTAACCGGAGATTAATATCAATTTCTGAAGAACGCCACAACAGAGCCTGAATTATTACAAATATTAAAAACATTGAATGCTTCTAAAATCTGATATAAATAGATATAAAAATCAATTTATTTGTTGTTTTTTTTCTAAAAAGTCACGATAGAAATATGTATATCACAAAACCAACTTCAAACTATTGAAAAAATGCTATGAATATTAAATTTTAATTAGATAGTAAAGAACACATACAACATCTTGCAAGTCACGCTAGTAAGTCAATCATAAGCTTGTAAGTCATAATTCCATTTTTATGGAATAGAATAAAAAATGAAATTTAGCAAGATTAATATACCTTACTTTTTTATACAGAATTTTATACATAAGTTATTTTAGTATATACATATATATGTCTTAACTTTTATATTAAATTATAATTAAATTAGTCATGGTTACATTTATAAACTAATGCAAACAATTAATTTCTTTTCTTAATTAATATTAATAATTAATTTTCTTAAACTTCTTAACAATTAATTTTAAATCTCAGCTTTTATAATATAATTATTTATTATTGTTAAGCAATTTAGACATATGTTAAACTGTAATGTTAGTTTCAATAAATTATAAATATAACTGTTTTTGTGTATACTGAATTTTCAAATTTAACTTAGCATTTTATAAGAATCACAGGAAAAGGCCGTCAAATAAAACGGTATCAATTTTAACTATTTTTGCACATCTTTTTTATTTACAGAAAAAACCTCTAAGGATGAAATTGTAATGCGAAAGAAACGAAAGGAAAAGATTATTGTTACAGAAGAGGAAGAACGAGAGATAAGAGACATTGATATTGAAATTCACGGATTCGGACGAAAGGTTCATGGGGAATTAAAAGACATCCCGACACAAACGGTTCAGGTTGATATCCAAACTGACACTACACAAACACAAACAGACACATTAAAAACTGACACGACTCAGACAGATACGACACAGATAGATATTGAGCTCTCTTCAAAGGGTACTATGCCAATCAGTGTTGATTCCAAAAAAGTTACGAAACCAACGTACTCCGTAACTCAGCAAATAGACAAAACTGTAACCGAGACTGACAAAGCCCCGGTTCAAAAAGATGATTCAGCATCTTTAACAATCTCAAAAAGAAAGAAAAAAGATAAGACAGTAAATGAAGAATTTATCGTGAAACCGGAAACCGAAGAAGATTCAAGTGTTGAGGAAATTAACCTCCAGCTCAAGCCAGTTGATGAAGACATAGCTGAAACGAAACTCGATGTTACGAGAAGTGATGTTGTTACTGTTGAAGAAACTGCAGACGTGAAGTCTATAATCAAAAAGAAGAAAAAAGAAAAGAAACCTGAAAAATTATACAAAGAGGAAGCACGATTAGATGTTAAACCTGAAATTGAAGATCAAAAGCAAGATGATGTTATTCAGATCGACGTATCCACTAAGCCAGAACAAGAGGTTGATATTATCAGTTTAAAGAAATCAAAACCTAAAACCACTAAGAAAACAAAACAGCCCGAAGAAGAACAAGTGAACGAAACTAAAGTATCTCTAATAAAATCTGATACAGAAGAAAAAATTGATATCACAATAACAAGTAAGAAACCGAAACAAACGATTGATGTAACAAGTAAAGGTTTAGAAAAATCTAAAGTTGAAGTAACCAAAGAAGTTTCTGTACCTGAAAAAGAACATGTTTCTGAAGATCAGATAGATTTGAAAAAGCCAATTAGAGAAGAGAAAGACGTTGAAGTTTTGGAAGATGTTAAAAAACCAGAACAAATAATTGATGTAAAAAGTAAAGGTTTGAAGAAATCAAAAATTAAAATCACAAAAGAAATTGATAAACCTGAAGAAGAGCAAATTACGGAAGATACAATTCAGTTAAAAAAGCCTGTTAAAGAGGGTGAAGATGTTGAGATTACAGTAGAAAGTAAAGGTCCGAAACAAATTATTGATATTAGTAGTGAAGCATTAGATTTAAAGACATCAGAAGTTGAAATAACAAAGGAAATAACGAAACCAGAAGTCGATGAAAAGTCTGAAGATACAATTTCGATGAAAAAACGAATAGTCGAAGACAAAAATATTGATATTTTGGTTGAAACCACAAAACCAGAACAAACAGTTGATGTGAAAAGTAAAGGTTTAAAGAAGTCAAAAACAAAAGTGAGTAAAGAAATTAAACAACCGGAAGAACAAATAACGGAAGAGGTTATTCAGATAAAGAAGCCTATTAAGGAAGAAGACGTTAAAACTACATTGGAGGCTAAAAAACCGAAACAAGATATTGACGTGATTAGTAAAGTTTTGAAAAAATCAATAGTTGAAGTAACAAAAGATGTATCTAGACCAGAAGACGAAGAAACTTTTAAAGATTCCATTTCTTTGAAAAAGCGAATTGATAAGGATGAAGATATTGAAATTACATTGGATACAGTAAAGCCAGAACAAATAATAGACATAACGAGTAAAGTTTCGAAAAAATCACGTGTTAAAGTCACAAAAGAAATTATAAAACCTGAAGAAGAAATAGAAGTTTCTGAAGATGCAATTTCTTTGAAGAAACGTATTGAACAAGAAGACAACGTCGAGATTATAGTCGAAACTAAAAAACCGAAACAAACAATTGACGTACAAAGTAAAGGCTTGAAAAAAACTAAAAAAGTGACCGAATCAGTTACGTTAACAGATAAACCTGAAGATGTGGCAGAAATCTATTTAAATAAGGTAACGTTAGATACAAAACCTGAAGAAACTCTTTTGCCTGAGAAAGTCCTGGACCAAGAAAGCGATGTTGAAGAAGAGTCAAAAACATCTGCAGAACTAAAACCCAAGCCTAAAGAGGATACCGTATCGATAATAAAGAAGAAACAAAAGAAAAAGCATGAAGTTAAAAGCGAGACGGAAGTATCTCTGGATATAAGCGGAAAATCTACGTCAACTACATCGACCTTCTTATCCAGAAAAGAATTGATGCCTGTATCCAATGAACAAAATGATTTAGTACTATTTCAAGATGAAGTTGTTGAAAATATTCCTCAAGAATCTTCTCCGGCAAAAGGCACTGCTGATGTGTCAGTTGTTATGAATAAACCTTTATTTGTAAGCTCAATAATTCCACAAGGAAAAGAACACACCTCTACTTTCAATACTCCAGATGAACGAAAGGGTACAATAAGTATACTTGAACAACAAGCTTTAGTTATTTCAATGACTGAATCCCAGGCAAGGGAAGAAATTCTTCCACAAATACAAGAGGATACTCAGAAAGCTGATTTTAAGTTACTTACGAAAAATTACATTACAGTTACGGAGATAAAGCCATCAGATATGGAAAAATTATTGGAAACTGAAACCCCCGTTGAATTAAGAGCAAAGCTCTCGACTGTTGATGCAAAACCTATTCTCGTCGAAGAAATAAGCGTACATGGTGAAGCTCTCAACCTGAAAGCTGAAGAAGCTGTCCCACATCAAAGCAGCTTTAGCATTCACCCTAGCCATTCTGTCAATGTAGAAGAAATGGTAACCGAAGATAAAGAAATGCGTTTGTCACCAGATCGCTATCAAGAAAAACAAGTTACGTCAAGTGTGAAACCATTATCGAGTTTGCAAGTGTCTGAAGTTTATTCGGAAATTGTGCCTCAAGATTTGAAACAAATCGACACAGTTCCCAAAAATGCCACAACGCAGTTAACCGTGCAAGAAGCTTTAGTTATTGAAGCGGCTGATACTTCAGATATTGGTGAACACATTGGTGATGAAAAACTAAAACCTATAAAAGCTTTTGAAACTGTTATACTTGGTCAAGGCATATCTGTAACCGAAATTACGTCGGAAATTAGAGAAATTGATCTCAAAACTGAATCGATACCGAAATCTTTAAAAGCAACTGAGAATATATCGAAGGACGCATTCATTGAAATTAGCGATTCTGTAGTCCTTGGGGCAACTAAGGAGCTTCCAGATCTTGCTCCCGATACAAATATTGCCGAAGTAGCGTTTGAAACAAGAGAAAATGTATCGGTAACTGAAACATTGCCTGTTCACCAAGAAGTACAACTAGAAACCTCATTTAACGTACCAAATTTCCAACCTCAAGTTTCGATTGTATCGATCAAAACCGTCGAAATTTCTGAAACCGAACTTCATGATAAAGAGTCAGTTTATATACCTAAAACTCTAAACGAGCAGACCCTATTGCCCCACTTTATTAAAAATGAAGCTTTGCATATTTCAGAAATATTGATTTCTGACCAAGAAACTAACATTGATTACACAGAAACTAAAAATGAAATGGTTCCTGTAAGTTCCATAGCTCTCGTTGAAGCAGTGATTGTATCAGAATGCAGACATGAAGGAAAAGAGGATCAACTTGATATAATAGCAGTTCCTAACTTTTCCCATGCTTCTCCATCACATTCATCCAATTTCGCTGTTTCTGTTTCAGAAACTGAGGTTGCTGAAGCTGAAAATCCACTGTCGTTAGCTAAACCATTACAAGAAAGCGTTAAAAGTTCATTCGTTCCTGAAAAAGCAATTACAATCGTAGAAATAAGTACTGAACAAAAGGAGAGAGATTTAGAATCGGAGTTAAAGCCTAATACCAAGCAATTACCAGTATCTTACGTGCTAGAACAGGCTTTAGAAATTTCTCAAGATAATACCCTCGACAAAGAGAATGAGTTTAAGAAAAAAGAACTGCAAACATTTCAAGCCGAAGGTACCCTGCTTGCTTTGGATGAGGCTTTACAAGTTCGAATAGACGATGTTCAAGAAAAAGAACATCCACAAAGCATTGAAGAAACTAAGAGCTCTTTTGCGGATTCCGAATTTACGCCATTTGTAGCTTTTTCTGTAACAGAAACGGAAACTGCTATTAAGGAGCAAAGCTTATCTGTAGAAGATAAACCCCTGGATAGAGTAATTGCAAACGAACAGCTTGCTCCTCAAATAACCGCTGTTGAGATTCAAGCACCTAATGTTGTTGATCAAGAAGGAGACTGGTCAAAAGACTGGCGACCTGAAGGGAAACATGCTGAACCTTTTCTTCAAACAGAAGAGGCGTGTACGATCTCAGTTACAGAAACAAATGTATCTGAAGAGGCCCTTGATGTTGACATTAAACCTGAATCAAAGAGGCCTAATGTCGAGGTTGTTTCCTACCATGCACTTGCTATTTCTGAAGCAACATCAAATGTAAATGAAGAAGATTTACAAGATGTATCTCACCCAACACAAGTGAAAGCAATGAAATCTTTTGTTGAGGACATAGCTCTACAAATTGCAGAAAATGAGTTAATTTCGAAAGAAACGGACTATAATCCCGCTCCACTACCAACAGGTAAAAAACTCGTTATCCGAACAGAGTATAAACCAGAAAAAGCTGTTAGTGTTACTGAAATGCAAACTAACATATCAGAAGGAATTTTGCAGCTTGAAACTGCAGAAACTGATAAAGCTAAAATAGCTTTAGCTGAAGCAAATGTAGCTGTCGCGGTAAAAGAGGTTTTGCTTGCAGGCCAAGTAGAAGCAATATTACAAGAACAACCCGAACAAAAAAATATTAATTTTGAGCTGACACAATCAGAAGCTTTACAAGTATCAGAAGTAAAATTTAATGATAATGAAAATATATTAAATATAGAAGATAAACCAAAACTTCATTCAGCTGATTTCAATTTATTAGCAAAAGAAGCTATCTGTATTAGCGAAACAAAATCATCCCTGAAAGAAACAGAACTGGCAGAATTCCCCAAACTTGATTTGAAGAATGCTTCAACTGTTTTACCTCTAGAAGTCGCTTTAGAAATTGAAGAAGTAGAAGCGGGACAAAAAGAGTCAGTTTTGAAAGATAAAGAAAAACCGATTTCATTGCTTGCTGATTTTTCATATGCTCCCGAAAAAGCTGTCATAATTTCGGGTGTACAACCAGACAATACATTTGCTGATTTTGTGGACTCACAATTACCTGAAGAAAGAAAAGCACTGACATCTGTTGAGATTGGAGAGAGTTTAATTATTCGCGAAATTAATTTAGTTGATTATACCGAAAAATTTGATCAGTCGATTGATCAGCCTAGTGTAAAATCCGCCAATCAAGAATTCGAAAACTTAGAATCTGTTTCTGTGTTACAAGTAGAATACAACGTTAAAGAAAATGAGATGAGTGATTTTAAGTTGCCTGATCAGATAAATTTGTCTCCATCTCTGGGCATATCACATCCTCTTGAAATTAAGTCAACTGAAGTTGCGGAAAATGAATTACCATTAGAGATTTTGCCTATTCCAAATGCATTTGAAGCTAACGTTTCATTACCAGAAACTGTTGCATTTGATGTCAGTTCCATAGAAACAGGAGAATCCGTAGGAGATCTTGCTACAGACTTGAAAATGGATTCGGTAGAAGGAAACGTCACTTTGGTTTGTAACCAACCTGTAAATGTTTCTGAAGTATTTCCAGATGCTCGTGAATCAGACATTTTTATAGAACCTTTGAAGCAACCTGTTTTAGCTACAGAAACACACACACCACTCACACATTTAACAGTTACTGATACAGTATTAGATTCAAAACTGGACACTTTAATAGTTTCAAATCCTGAAACCGAAAGTGCTCAGGCTCATATATCCGTGGGGGAATCAATTGAAGTTTCTCAAATGAATGTAATAGAAAACACTACAGAGACTGAAACCACACCTATGCCGTCAGAATCAGAAATTACATTTTCACTAATTCCACAACAAGCTTATAACATATCCAGCAACGAAATTTTAATTTCTGAAAACGACTACACACCTAAGACAGAAATATCACACAATGTATCGTCTTCTCTAATTCCCCATGAAACGGTCCAAATAAATTTGATTAACACGTCTTTAAGTGAATCCGAACTTCAGCCAGATTTAGTACCAAAAGAACAAACTGCTGAACGCATACTGAGTGAATCAGATCACATGACTATTGAAGAAACAATACATTTTACTTCAGAGCAGTACATTGAACAGCAAAGCATGCCGTCAAAAGAAGCTATCGCCACTTTAATCCCTCACAAGCAACTACCCGTTGTTCAACAACTCACTTGCGGTACTTGCGAAAGTGAATGCCTCATACCTGATACACCTTCTTCTCATACAGCTGATATCGAACTCACTTCTGTTCAATCGATCGAAGTTTCACTGACGCAACCAGAGATAACTGAATCGGAATTACGCGATGAATCACCAATAATTTCTAACGCTGGTTTTTCCATCGCAACTAATGAAGCTTTACAGATGCAGGAAATATTGACATCTTCTGGTGTAGGAGACTGTGTTCATGATATACCTTCCATATTTAAAGCTATCGTAGACTTTGCCAGTTTTAAATCCCCCTCCATATCTGAGATAGAAACTGTTGAGATGGAATCTGAATTATCGCTTCCAGTAAAACCAGATACTCATACAACTAATATTAGTATTAGTCCTCATGAAATTTCTGTAACTTCTCACGTTCTGACAGGAGACGTTGAAGGTCATTTAGAGGAAGAAATCGTACCTGAATCTCATAATTTGCAACCTTCTATCTCACCCCTAGATTACTGTCTTGTTGAAGAAGTAATTGCTTCAGGCAAAGAAGACACTTTAACTTTAGACACCCAAGCTAAAATTAAAGCTACAAGTTCGTTTAATATGCACGAGGCTGCAATGGTTGGGGAAGTAATTGTTCAATCGAAAGAAGGAGAATTGATTGAGGAATTGAAACAATCTCCTATATTCGCTAATTTTAGCATTCCAGCTGAAAAAAGTGTAGAAATATCTGACATCCTTATATCAGAAAGTGAGGTACCTATGAAAGACGAAATTTTGCCTAACGCTCAACGCGCAGAAAAAGAATTTTCCGCAAACTTTTCAGTTAATGTCCAGGAAGATATAATTCATGAATTAACTTCGCCAGCAGTGTTACATAAATCCGCAGATTTAGAAACTCTTCCTGAAATACAGGTAATTTCTAATTATCCAGTTTCTATTTCAGAAACGGCATCTGAGCTTCGAGAAGACGATTTGAAAGATGAAATCACTATATCTAAGAAAGCTACTGTGACTATACTTGGCAATTTATCGGCAGCTGTAGAGGAAGTATCAATTTGTGATACATCTGGGGATTTGAAAGCTGATGTTCAACCGACGTTACATTATGCTGGTGCGGAGATCATGCCTCTAACTTCAGTGATAGTACAAGAAACTCAATGGGATCAAAAGGAATCGGAATTTCAAAAAGAACAGCCTATTTTGCAAGATGTTAAATTTGATATTTCTTTAATGCGGGCTTTGGAAGTTACCGAACAGTCAACAGAAACAAAGGAACAATATTTATTGCCAGCTGACAAGCCTGAAACTCATGAGGCAGGCGTTGAAATTTCATCAAAAGAAGCATTATCTGTAATTGAAGTAAATACTGATGATGTTACTCGGAGACTTTCTCTTGAAATCGTCCCAAAAGAAGATTTTGCTAATTTAGATGTAGCATTACACCAATCTATACTTATAGAAGAACAGAGTCAAGTGGAGAAGGAGAGCGCATTAAAAGTTGAATCGTTACCTTCCTCAAAAACTGCTACACCTTTGTTACCTATGAAGAAACACCTTCAAATTTCAGAAGTCACTACTGAATCCTCCTTTGACAAATTTGTACCATCCGAAATTCCAGAGAAAACCACGGCTGAAATGTTACTATCTTCTCAACAAAGTCTTGTTATTTCCGAAATAACATCCGGTACTAAGGAAGATATTTTACTTCCTTCTGATAAGCCAAAGGAACATAAAATAAACTTCGATGTGTCAACAGTAGAATCCCTCTGTGTTTCCACAACTGAATATGAAGTGAAAGAAAACGAGTTGCAGCAAGAAGCTAAACCTAAAGAGTTGAAAGCTGTCGTTGATATTGATTCCAAGGATAGTATTCAAGTTTGTGAAGTACAAAGTCACGTGAAAGAAGAAAATCTCCAGGAGTTCCCTTCTGCGGTCGGTATCGTTGCGCCATTTTCAATACCCACTGAAGAGCATGTAACTGTTTCAGAAATTGAAGTTGCTTCGAAGGAAGATGACTTGCGTTTCGAAGAGAAGCCGAAAACTGCAGTAGCTGGTATATCATTTTCATCAGAATCACACGTACTAGTATCAGAAGTAGAATCAGAGATGAAAGAAAGTGAGATGAAATCCATGGACATGCCTAAAACAATCAATGTGGATTTCACAATCCTCAAAGACGAGCCTATTCTTATAACCCAAGTTGATTACGACATAAAAGAAGGAACGCTTGCACCCGACAAAAAACCTGACAGCACTTTCGCTGCCATTAACTTACCTGCATCTGATCATATTATCATTAGCGATGTAGTTTCAGACTTAAAAGAAGGTGACTTAAGTATCCCCAAGATACCAGAGGCTATATCTTTAAATGTTACAATACCTACTGAAAAGCACGTGAGTGTGTCGAAAGTTATAGCTTCGCAGAAAGAAGGAGAGTTAAGTCAAATAAAAATCCCTGACACGGTAACTGCGCCATTTTCTATACTAATGGAAGAACATGTGACAGTATCTCAAACGGAATCATCATTCAAAGAAGGTGATTTGATTGAAAAGGCAAAACCAGAAAGTGTGACGGCAACATTTTCAGTTCCTACAAAACAGCACGTAGTAGTTAGCGAAATGTCTTCAGGAGAATTAGAAGACAAGTTAGTTCTTCAAGATTTGCCAAAAGAACAAAAATTAGATTTCACTATTCCAACTGAAGAGCACGTAACAGTAAGTGAAGTCTTAGCCCCAGTATCTGAAGATACTCTACTCCCCGATACAAAACCAGGCGAAGCTTCTGCACAACAAACTATGATTTGTGGTGAACACATTTTAATAACTGAAATTGAAGCAGCAAGTAAGGAAGCTAATTTAGAAGAAATGAAAAAACCAACTACTAATGTTGCAGGCGTTTCAATGGATACAGAAGAACATGTTATTATTTCGTTGGTGCAACCGGATGTTGGAGAAAAGGAATACATCACTGAAAAAGCCCCCGCTCAACAAAATGTACAAGTAAGCATTCCCGCTGAAGAATCAATAACGGTATTGGAAGTTGTATCGAATGTTTTTGAAGATAAACTTGCAGAAGATGTTAAGCCCTTATCATTGAAGGCTGATTTTAGTGTTCTGACGGAAGAACATGTTCTTATGTCCACAGTTGATGCTAATGTTAAAGAAGCTGTTCTTGAAAAAGACAAATTACCTGCAACTGCGACAGCTGAGACTTGTTTCCCATCAGAATCTCATGTAATTATTACTTCTACTGAAACTGACGATAAGGAAGGCGAATTTCTGCCTATTAAATCTCCTGGTGAAATTCAGTTAGGTTTCACGGTAGCAACCCAAGATCATCTAGTTGTAGGAGAAACACTTATTCAGACTTCGGAAAAAGAATTCGTCAGTAAAGAGTTGCCTGAGGGAATGAAAGCAAATTTGTCTATGCTAAAGGAAGATCATGTAATTATATCAGAGACGTTAACTGATTTCAAAGAGGGCGAAGTAGAGACTTTCAAAAAACCAACAGAAGTGAATATTGATTATACTTTAGATACTGAGGAACATTTAGTCGTCGGAAGGGTAGACGTACAAACAAAAGAAAAAGAACTTATAGCTGATAAACAACCAGTTTCTTCCACAGCAAATTTAAGAATAATGGAGCAAGAACATGTAGAGGTTACCGAAACTCCTGTTCAAAACAAAGAAGGTGATTTAGTTTTAAAGAAACCTGAAGCAACTGAACTAGCGAAGATAACGATTCCTTATCAAGAGCATTTATCAATATCAGATGTTCAAGAAACTTCCCAATCAGAAGAATTTCTTGTTGATTCCCTTCCATCTGTTAAAAAGGCCGTCATGGATATTCCATCTCAGGCCCATGTTGTTGTTTCTCAAATGGTAGTGAGTCAAAAAGAAGGTGATTTTATTCCATCTCTGTTACCACAAGAAAGTCAAGCTGCTGTCTCAATTCCTGTTGCTGAACATGTTATTGTATCGAAGGTAGTGACTGGCAACCGTGAAGGTGACCTGCCTGAAGACAAACGCCCCATTGAAGAAACAGCAGAGTTTAGTTTAGCTAGTAGGAAACATGTAATCATCTCAGAGGTCGAAACTGGAACAGTTGAAGAACAGTTAAAGATGCCATCTAAACCGGTATCGATCACAGCTGATTTCAGTGTAGCAACATTTGAGCACATGGTTGTATCCGAAGCAGAATCGGTTAGTAAAGAAATCGAAATGAAAGCATTTGAGAAACCTAAAGAGTCTCAAGTTGAAATTACAGTTCCATCCGAGGAACATATTGAAATTACTGAAGTTGAAATTTCTACTCGAGAAAAAGATTTTATTCCCGATAAAATTCCGAGTACTGTTCAGGCTGCGTTCACTGTGCCGACAGATGAACATGTTGTTATTGAGGAAACATCCTATCATCAGAAAGAAGACATCCTTTCTTCGGATATTCGGCCTGAAGAGATGAGTGCTAAGCTTACTTTGCCCTCTGAAAGTCATCTTCTTATTTCCGAAGTTGAATTAGAATCTAAAGAGGAAATTTTTGCTCCCAAAGAATTACCGAAAAAAGCAGTCGCAGAATTCACTGTTCCGTCGGAAGAGCATGTGATAGTGACAGAAACTGTGCTTCAAACTAGGGAAGGTAAATTGAGAAAGGAAGAATCTCCTGTTTCCCTGACAGCTGATTATTCTATTCCAGCTAAGGAACACATCCAAATATCAGAAACTCAATATCAAACAAGTGAAGCTGATTTAAGCATACCGACAAAACCTAGAGAAGAAGTAGCTGGTGTAACTATTCCTACTGCAGATCACTTTGAAGTTTCTGAAATACAAACTCAGATGGAAACTGGGGAAATGAAAACGGAAAAATTACCAAGTGCTATAACTGCCGATTATTCTATACCAATGAAAGAACATATCCAAATATCAGAAACTCAATATCAAACGAGTGAAGCAGATTTGTGCATACCGACAAAACCTCGAGAAGAAGTAGCTGGTGTAACTATTCCTACTGCAGATCATTTTGAGGTTTCTGAAATACAAACTCATATGGAAACTGACGAAATGAAAACAGAAAAATTACCTAGTGCTATAACTGCCGATTATTCTATATCGATTAAAGAACATATCCAAATATCAGAAACTCAATATCAAACGAGTGAGACTGATTTAAGCCTGCCTACAAAGCCTCGAGAAGAAGTAGCTGGTATAACTATTCCTACTGCAGATCACTTTGAAATTTCTGAAGTACAAACTGAAATTAAAGCTGGGGAAATAAAGACTGAGAAAGTGCCTAGTGCAGTAACAGCTGATTATTCTATTCCCACTAAAGAACATATTCAAATATCCGAAATTCAGTATGAAACCAGTGAAGCAGATTTAAGCATACCTACCCAACCTCGAGAAGAAGTTGCTGGTATAACTATTCCTACTGAAGATCACTTTGAAATTTCCGAAATAGAAACTCAAATTAAAACTGGAGAAATAAAAACTGAGAAAGTACCCAGTGCAGTAACTGCCAATGTTTCTGTGCGCACGATTGAACACGTAATCGTTAGTGAAATAGAAAGTAATGTGCAGGTAGATGAACTTTCTGCTACAATGCCAACCCCAGGTAAAGCTAAACAAACTTTAGCTGTAAGAGAACCAATCAAAATCGACGAAACGCCAGGGGAATTTAGTATAGAACAACAAGTTACTTTACAGAAGAAACCAAAAAAGAAATCATCAATACATAGTGCAGACTTTGACTTTATTAACATTATTTACGAAGAAGCAGCGGAGTTTAAAATTTTGAGGCCAGAAGAAGAAACTCCAATTCCTTCTGAAGAACTTCCTTTCGTATTAGAAAGCACTGAACCAGTTGAAGAAAAAGTTACTAATGAAACTCGTAAAACTTCAAAAGAGGAATTTTCACCATTTACAGTAACGCTTCCAGAAGAAGAAACTGTCACCGAAGAAACGGATGCTTCAGTAATAAAAACTCGTACAGTTAAAGCTGTCCATAAAAAAACAAAAGATGGAAAAGTAGTTGAGGTTAAGGAAATTGTTGAAACATTTGCATCTGTCGGAAAATCCAAACCAACAATTGAAGACGTCACTGAAACAGATTTTGAAACTATTGAACCTCAAATCGGAAAACAGCCTATTATAGAGGAGTTTGAAGAACCAATCGTAACTTCCTACGAGGAACAAGAGAAACCTGAAGAGATAAGTGCTGTTGAGGAAGATTTCCCAAGTGACGAAAAAGATGAGTCGTCAGTTACTCTTAAAAAGAAACCAAAGATAAAGAAAGAAACTAGCCCGGTTATAAAGCAGGAAAGCACGGAAAGTGAAACTGAAGAAGCTACAATAACATTAACCAAGAAACCTATAATTGAAGAAATCTTTGATTTCCCTTCAGCTGAAGAAGATTCGAAACTTGAGGAAGAACAAATTATTTCGATTCCGAGAATCGAGAGAATGGAAGATAACGTTGAAATTCTAATAGAAGGAGCTGAAGATATTTTACCTAAACAAGAAGCTAAGGTAAAAAGAGTTGGTCCAGAAGTATTTATATCTGAAATGCAAGAAACTAAAGCCGAGCAACCAATACTACATGAAGAGTCCCCCATTAAGGAAGATTCAACAGACACTGCAAAAGTTACTATCAAGAAAAAGAAAAAACCGGAAAGCACAATTTCCGTTGACAGTCCTAAGGAAGAAGAAACAACTTCTGACAGCTCCATAACTTTGAAAAGAAAAAAAGGCGATAAAACACCAAAAGAACAAGAAGCGGATGAATTTGTACTTGCACCTGAAACTCAAACTATACATGAAGATACTACTACTGTTACAGTTGAGAAGAAGCCGGAAAAGACAGAAGAAATCGAAGTTAAGCACAAAGTGACTAAAAAAATTAAAAAGAAGCCTTTTGTTAGTGACGAACAACCAGAAACGGTTACTTTAGACATTCCAAAAGAGGAAGTGACGGAAGTTAAGTCATTAGATGTCATAGCTCCTGATTTATCCAAATCTATTCGACCAATTATCAGTGATTCTGTTCAGCCGGAAACATCTGACATCAAACCTGATGAAATCGCACCTGAAGAAATGGAACACAAAAGCTTAGACATAAAATTCAGTTCCATAACACATGATGTTAGCTCCATTGTCATGGAGGATATTTTGGATATTAAACATGGGGTGATGGTTATGGAACAGTTAAAAGAAACAGTTACGCATGTGCAAACCAGTGTTATTTCAGAACTTGTCACAGAAGAAGCTACTACCTCAGAAGATATACCAAAAGCTCCTGTCGAAAGACCAGAAGTTGTTGGTAAGTATGTTTTATTTCAAATTTAATTTGAATTATTTATTATGAATCATCATGTAATTCAAAATATTGAAGTGTGTTTATTTCTTGTTAAACTTTATAAATTGTAACATTCCACTAAAATATGTCTACTAAGAACTCATACAAATAACTATTTATTTGTTTTGCAGACTTTAACAAGCATTTGCATTTTCTGACAGCTGGGAACAGAATTGGCTCTTGCACATTATGCCTAGGATACTGCAATTAATGAAAATTAGAAACTTACAATTTTTAACTTTTTCATTCATTCTTAATGCTATTACTAAATGAGCTTATTAATTTTGCTTATTAACGCTTTTAAATCTTAATTTTATTCAAAGAAAGTAACAGTTATTTGTTAATATAAATAACTGTAAAAAAAAGAAAACAGTTTTATTTTATAATTCGCAATACATTTTTTTGCCACTAAATTTTAAATCACCTATTGATGACTTCTGTCTAATAAGTTGTTTTATTTAGGGAGTCTTTTTATTACTTATTACACAGAAGTCAATATTATAAAAAATCAGGATTCAGGTGTAAAGAAATATTTTACACCAAACTACAGAAAGTTTAATTTCTTATATTTTTCCTGAACATAATGCCTATGAACATTTCATACAATTGTCAATTCATAGTTTGTGAATTTTCTTTTATAATATTTGGTGTTTACTACTCAGGATAGTAATAATCTTTCATTTGTTTAAAAAATACTTGGCTTTCGCATGCATTTATTTATTTTATAAAAATGCCCATTTTACCTTATTTTTCCTATTTTCATGTCCTTTTCTTACCAATGTTATATCTTTAATTACCTTTCTAAAATGTAATACCATATGCATGAAATTCTTGTTTTTGTTATAAATAACATTTTAATAAAATAGTTGAAGATCAAGCAGTTAAAAAAAAAAAATATCCTCATTTCAATTTAAAAACTATAGTACAAAACTTGTATGCCTTTTATTTACAGAAAATATTGAAGAACAGAAACCAGTAGAAGAAATAATTGAAAAAGCAGTTATGAAAATTAAGAAGAAGCCCAAAACAGAAGAGAAGCCAGAAGAAATAATAATTGAAAGAAAACCTTCCATCAAGGACGAAAAGCCAGAAGAAATCACTGAAGAAGTATCCTTAAAAATTATTGAAAAATCCATCGAAGAAGTGAAACCGGAAGAAATAATTATTGAAAGAAAGCCCTCGCTGAAAGAAGAGAAAGTGGAAGATGTCGTAGATAAGAAAATTAAAATAAAAAAGAAACCTAAAGAGGAAGAGAAACCAGATGAAATAACAATACAGAGAAAACCCTCGATTAAGGAAGAAAAAACAGAAGAGTTGTTAGAAAAAGTCGCTCTAAAATTAAATGAGAAACCTGAGGAAGATACAAAACCAGAAGAAGCTGTAATTGAAATCAAACCTTCAATAAAAGAAGAAACAGAACAAACAACTGAGAAAGCAGTCGTTAAACTAAAAAAGAAGCCTAAAGAGGAAAAAGAAGAGAAACCCACGGAACTCATTGTTGAGAGAAAACCGTCTTTGAAGGAGGAAAAACCTGAAGATACCACCGACAGCACTATAATAACATTGAAAAAGAAGCCTCTGGAAGAAGACAAACCTGCAGAAGTAGTTATTCAGGAAAGAAAACCTTCATTAAAAGAAGAAAAACCAACCGAAGTAACTGAAAAAACTGTGGTTAAGCTTAAAAAGAAGCCAAAAATAACTGAAACGCCTGAAGAAATAACAGTGGAAAGAAAATTATCATTAAAGGAAGAAGTGCAAGAAGAACAGACTGAGAAAGCAATAGTCAAAATAAAAAAGAAAACCAAAGATGAAGAAAAACCTTCAGAAATCAAAGTCGAAAGAAAGTTTTCAATCAAGGAAGAGAAATTAGAAGAATCAGTTGAAAAAGCTGTAATAAAAATTAAGAAAAAACCTTCAGAAGAAGAAAAACCTGCTGAAGTGGTATTAGAGAGAAAACCATCCTTAAAAGAGGAAAAACCTGAAGAAACAACAGAAAAAGCTATCATAAAAATTAAGAAGAAACCAAAAGAAGAGGAAAAGCCTTCTGAAGTAACCATCGAACGGAAATTATCTTTAAAAGAAGAAAAGATCGAAGAAATATCTGAAAAAGTCGTCATTCAGGTTAAGAAAAAACCTATCGAAGAGGAAACTCCCACTGAAGTGGTAAGAAAACCTTCACTAAAAGAAGAAACACTAGAAGAAATATCTGAGAAAGCAGTCATAAAGATGAAGAAAAAACCTAAAGAAGAGGAGAAACCCATTGAAATGACATTACAAAGAAAACCATCGTTAAAGGAAGAAAAGCCGGAAGAAACATCCGAGAAAGCAGTTATAAAGATTAAGAAGAAACCAAAAGAGGAAGAAGCACCTACAGAAATCATAGTCGAAAGGAAGCCATCGTTAATAGAAGAACAAAAGCCCGAAGAAATTTCTGAAAAAGCAATCATTAAGATTAAGAAGAAGCCTAAAGACGAAGAAAAACCAACAGAAATGATTATAGAAAGAAAGCCGTCTTTGAAAGAAGAGAAACCAGAAGAAACATCTGAGAAAGCTGTTATAAAAATAAAGAAAAAACCCAAAGAAGAAGAAAAGCCAGTCACTGTAGCAATAGAAAGAAAACCTTCTTTGAAAGAAGAAGAAAAGCCTGAAGAAGTGTCTGAAAAAGCTGTTTTAAAAATTAAGAAAAAACCTAAAGAAGAAGAAAAACCTACTGAAATTACAATAGAAAGAAAACCGTCTTTAAAAGAAGAAAAGCCTGAAGAAGTGTTTGAAAAAACTGTTTTAAAAATTAAGAAAAAACCTAAAGAAGAAGAGAAGCCAACTGAAATTACAATTGAAAGAAAACCGTCTTTGAAAGAAGAAGAAAAGCCTGAAGAAGTATCTGAAAAAGCTGTTTTAAAAATTAAGAAAAAACCCAAAGAAGAAGAAAAGCCCACTGAAATTACGTTAGAAAGAAAGCCGTCATTAAAAGAGGAGATGCCGGAAGAAATATCTGAAAAAGCCAGCATAAAGATAAAGAAAAAACCTAAAGAGGAAGTAAAAACTGAAGAGGAAATCATAAAGATTACGTTAAAAGAGGAGGCAAAACTTGAAAAAACAGAGGTGAAAGAGGACGTAAAAACTGCTAAAATAAAGTTAAAGAAAAAAGCTCCAGTTAAAGAAGAAGAGAGCATTCCGTCCGAAGAATTCAAAATTCCTCTGAAACCTGAAGAAGCAGAAACTGAACCGATTGGAGAGGAAAAGACAGAATTATTCTCGTTGACTATAGCTCCAAAACCTAAAGAAATAACATCAAGCGAAGAATATGCAGAAGTTCTCATTCCATCTCAAGAAACAATTAAATACTCAGTCGAAGAACAAACTGTAGATTTAACGGTGAAAAAAATAGTTGAAGTAGACAGCGTGAAAGAGTCACCCCTAACATCTACTATAACAGAAAAATCACCAGAAAAGATGGTCGAAGAAAAAGTAAAATTAAAACGTAAACCAAAAGTAAAGGAAGAGCCAACAACTGACCAAGAAGCAGAGTATAAAATAACTATGCCTGTAGATAAACAAAGTGAAGAAAAAAGTGAGGAAGTAGTTGTCGAACAATTTGTTGTAAAAACTCATAAAAAAGAGGAAAAAGTTGTCACTGAGGATCATGTGGAAGAAGTTTTGAAGGTGGCCCCTGAAAAGCAGGATTACGTTGTTACTGAGGAAGTAGCTGAAGTAACCGTGAAAAAACCAGTGGTCGAAGAAGATACCGAAGTAAAAATTGTTGCTAAAAAGAAAAAGCCGAAAATTGTCGAAGAAACTACTCCATCAGTTTTTAAAATTCCTGTTACTGAAAAACCAGAAAATCAACAAGAAGAAGTTCCAGTAAAAGAAGTCGAAGAATCATTTTCGGTTGAAGTACCGAAAAAAGAGCCTAAAAAAGTGGACGAAACAGTTGAAGATGTAGTCAAGCTTCCTGCTGCTGAAGAAACAAAAAAAGTTGTAGAAGAAAAGGCTGAAATTACAGTTAAGAAAGAAGTAATTGTTGAAAAATCACCTGAACCTGAAACCACAGTGGTCAAAAAGAAAAAACCCAAGTTGAAGAAAGAAAAATCTGAATCTCCAGAAGAAACATTTGCGATTCCACTGAAACCCGAAGAAGAAGAAAAACCAGAGGAAGTTCCTGTAGAAGAAAAGTTCACCGTTGGTCTGAAAAAACCGAAGCAAGTTGTTGAAATAGTTGAAGAAGAATCAGTTAAACTTACAATTGAAAATAAAGAAGTGAGAGAGTACAAGAAGGAAGAAGTGGTAGCGGATTTAACTGTTAAAAAAGAAGAAATAATCGAAATGCCCGTTGAAGAAGTAGCAGTCACAAAACGATTGAAGAAAAAACCTGTACCTAAAGTAAGTGATGAACCAGTTGAGGAGACTTTTGCCATTCCTTTGAAAAAAGAACCCGAAAAAGTTGAGGCTGTTCAACCAGTTGAAGAACAATTTTCTGTGAAATTGCCTGAAAAAGAAAAAGAGCCAGAAATAAAATTTGAGGAGGAGTCATTTAAACTTGTCTTGGAAAAAGAAAAACCTAAACCAGTTGAAGAAGTTGCTGCAGATGAGGCAACTGTTGTTATAAAACCCAAAGAGGAGCCGAAAAGTCCAGAAGAAAAAGCAACATTAAAATTAAAACCTAAAAAACGAGACTTAAAAGAAGAAAAATCAGAGGAGGTTCAAGAAACATTTAAAGTTCCATTGAAAAAGGAAACAGTAGAGGAAGAAGATAAACCGGTTGAAGAAACATTTGCAGTTTCGTTACCAAAATCCAAAAAACACGTTGTAGAAGAAGAAGCCAATTTGGTCGTTCAACCTGAAGTAAAACCACAAGAGTATAAAATATCAGAAGAAACTACCGAGGTTACTGTTAAGAAAGTTGTGGAAGAGAAAGAAGAAAGAGTTCGCATCAAGAAATCAAAAGATATTAAGAAGAAAGAAGACACGGTCCAGGAAGAATTTAAAATTATTCAGAAACCCGTTGAAACAGAACCTGAAGAGCCTGAACCTGCTTCCTTTAAAATAGATTTACCTAAAAAACCATCACCTAAAGTCAAAGACGTGCCTGAGGAAGAAGATTCATTACAGTTGAAACTTCAAGAAGAAAAACCAAAACCTAAAGTAGAAGAAGAATTTGCTGAAGTTACTGTCCGTAAAAAAGTTGATGAGGAACCAGAAAAAAGTACTCCCCAAGAAGAGCAACGAGTTTCCATAAAGAAACCAAAGAAAAAAACTGAAGTTGCCAATGTTCCAGTAGATGAATCGTTTACAGTGCGCAGAAAAGAATCTATTAGTGAAACTAAGACTGACAAAACTGAAGATGTAGAAGAAACTTTTGCCATTAAAACAATACCTAAAAAGAAAAAGAAATCTATACCGTCAGACGAAGAGTCACTGAGTATTTCTCTACCGTCAGATAAACCAAAGCCCAAGATTGAAGAAGAGTTTGCTGAAGTCACTGTGAAGAAGAAAGCAGAGGAAGTACCTGAAAAAGTAACTACACAGGAGGAACAACGAGTATCCATTAAGAAACCAAAGAAGAAAACAGAAGTCGAAAGCGTAACTACTGATGAGTCTTTTACAGTGCGTCGAAAAGAATCTGTGGCTGAAACTGTGACTGAACAATTTGAAGATGTCGAAGAAACATTTGCTATTAAGACAACACCTAAGAAGAAGAAGAAATCCATACCGTCAGATGAAGAATCACTGAGTATCTCTTTGCCATCTGACAAACCTAAACCCAAGATTGAAGAAGAGTTTGCTGAGGTCACTGTACAGAAGAAACCGGATGAAGAACAAAGGGTATCGATCAAAAAACCTAAAAAGAAAACGGAAATCGAAAGTGTATCTGTTGATGAATCCTTTACAGTGCACCGAAAAGAATCTGTGGCTGAAACTGTGACCGAACAATTTGAAGATGTCGAAGAAACTTTTGCTATTAAGACAGCACCAAAGAAGAAGAAGAAATCCATACCGTCAGATGAAGAATCACTGAGTATCTCTTTGCCATCTGACAAACCCAAACCAAAGATTGAAGAAGAGTTTGCTGAAGTCACTGTGCAGAAGAAACCAGATGAAGAACAAAGGGTATCGATCAAGAAACCTAAAAAGAAAACAGAAGTCGAAAGTGTATCTGTTGATGAATCCTTTACAGTGCGCCGAAAAGAATCTGTAAGTGAAACTAAGACTGAAACATTCGAGGATGTGGAAGAAACTTTCGCAATTAAAACGGCTCCTAAAAAGAAAAAAACTACTTTGCCCTCTGATGAAGAAGAATCAATTAGTATTTCTCTATCATCTGAGAAACCTGATTACAAAGTGGAAGAAGCTTCGGGTAATTATTTATTTTACTCAATATAAAAATGAATATCATAAATGTTTTCATCGTTATTATTTTGTTGAATTGGCCCATAAATTTTCAACTACTAAATTCAAACATTAGTTTTAAATTATTATACTGACATGTATAGAAAATATTAGACTACCATTACAATACTTTAGAATGAGTTCTCTAACCATCTCTGCATTGAATTTCGCCTAGATTAATACTATTTTCAACAATATATATGAAACAATTTTTGATCAATAACTTGATCTAATTGAAACTATTTATTTCTGATAGCCACAAAATAATAGTTCCGATGTTTTTAGCAGACAGCATCCATCCGAAAGAGCAACCAAACATATCAACAAACATTACCTCTTAAATGTTTAAGAGTGTAAATCTGTTATCTTCTGTAAATGCTGTTTCTGTAATTTTTTTTAATAGAAATCTTTATTTTATTAGTATGATTTAAATATGGTAGATACCAAATAACAACTACACAAAAGGCAACCCATATTTTTTTTCTGTAATTTCTATTAAACGTGATTTTCTAATAGGTATGATTTTATAATTCTGAAGAAGCTATAATAGAAGCTATGTAAAAAAGAGGAGGAGAAAAAAAGTGTATAATAAAAGTGTATAATAACATTAGTGCAATAACAGATTAAACTATTAAAAATTAAACGTATTCAAAAAGTAAATACAAATGGACTTTCCAGTAGCTGTATAAGACGTCAATAGATCCAGTGGTATTTTTCCATTTAATTACAACTATTCTATCGATTTATTTATTTTTTTCAGAAGAAAATATTATTTAAGAATTAAAAAAAAAATAAAAAATAAAAAAAAAAACAGTTGAATTTACTTGTATTCAGTAAGTTTTGCATAGGCCACTTTATCGCCTGCTCCGGTTAGATGGAAAAGTACTGATTCAGTTAATCTACAAGCAAGTATTGAATATATATCTTATCAGAATTTACACAATTAGAGATTCATAGCGTATTTTTATTTTATTTTTTTATTTTATTTAAACGACTTAAAACTCCTCATGCACCACAAAGTATAGCATGAGGCTTACAGTTGTAAGTAGAAAACAAAAGGAGAAAAATTTACAAATTTACATTAAAAACAAAATTCCGCAAAGCCGCAAGACTTTCAATACTTTTGACCAGTTCTGATAAGACAGGTGGCCAACAAATTGAAAGACGTCTCAAATCAGTCTTTAAATTCATTCGGGCACTCGCATACAGACTACAGTGAAGAAGAATATTCATAGCGTATAAACAATGGAAATCAATTTTAGGAGAAAATTATTTGATACGGCATGTACAATGCTTTTATTATTCAAATATGATTGATAAAATAAAGTTTCCATTTGTCTGAAAAATCAGAACTCTTCAGATGCGGTTGTCTTAAAAAGTTTTTAAATTAAGATATAAACGGAGCTACGCTACACTAAAAATTATTCTAAATGTACTATTTCTTTTGCATTCAAATATATTAAATGTTTCTCTTTCTCATTTCAGAAGAAGCAAAGATCACGATGACAAAACATAAAGAAGAAAGTAAGATTTCATTTTTATTTATTTTTACTTCCGCTATAATATTAACTTTAAAAAATACTTACGTTTTACCCGTCGCTTGTTATCATATCCCCAACATCTCCCCAAATTTATTTTATTTATTTCCAAATTTATCTAAACATATTAATTGATTATAAAGAAATAGACAAGTCTTCGTCCTTGCGAAGATGACGCCAGCATAAATTCAATTAGAAGCCAAGCAAAAAAAAAAATTCCGGTGCTGTAATACGATATAATGGCGCCAAAGTGTTGTTTTGGCGTCCGTTTTTAGATATAGCGAAAATAATAGAAACAGGATAATATAACCCAGCGTTCCCCAACCTTTTTATCACTGCGGAGCTGTCAACATTTGATAATTTTACCGCGGCCCGTAGGAGGAGGTGGGGACGTTGATTATTTATATTTTTTGATTATTATTATTTTGATTTATTAATTTTAATTTAATTGTATTTAAACATGCCTTCAAAATAAAATACAGTTACACCAAAAAATAAATATAAAGTGATTTAACATTTTAATTTACTAGAACAATAAATTAATGGGAACCCTGAGCTTGTTTCTTTGCAATGAGTTGGTTCCAACAAGGGGAAATCGTTTTAAAACGTTAAAAAATTTATGTCACTACCTTCGGTAGCCCTTTTTTTTTAAATAAATAAAATAATGGAACACAGATATTTTTAATTTTTGGTATAAACCTAGGAATTTAAATTCAGTTTCAGTGAAATGTGCGGCCCGGTACCATTTGATCCACGGACCGGTACCGGTTCGCAGACCGAGGATTGGGGAACACTGAATTATAACCCATACTATTTAAAAATTTATCGCAACAGTGAGGCTTCTAAATTCCATTTTTTTTCGCACTTATTATCGGTTTACAAATTGCTAATTTATACTTATTTAGTGTAAATGTATTTTTTAGAAAACTTCTTAAGTTAGTTGTTTTATAAAATGTTTGTTTTATAATATTTTTATTCAAGTATTTGGTTCAGAAAACAAAAACAGATATATTTCCTAGATCTTACTGTATGCTTTTTTTTTCATTTGAATATCGATACTAGGGGAATAATAATTAATGTTTTTTGATTGAAAATGTAATAATTTTAAATCATAGAAGATTTAAGACTAAACAAATCTTACATTTTTGCTTCTACTGTTAATTAATTTTCATTCAGTGACTGAAACCAATACATTATAGAAAAGATACCTCAGCACGGATTACAATAAACAAGTAATTTAATCCTTTAGTAGTTAAATGTAATGATAGCTTTCGTATTAACCACCACTGTGCAGCTTAGTATCTCGAACGCATTGACATCTTTCTTATTTTTCATCCACTGCGCAGTTTATGTTTGTTACGTCGGACTACTAAATTGATCCGTGCTGAGGCCTTCTTTCTTCTGGGAGTTGTTGATTAGACACGAACTCGTAACAAGTGTAGCATTTTACACAATCACCACTTACTTGTTTTTGCATGCTTCAAAGTACTAAAAATTGTCTGCGAAATGAATGGTGTGGAATATAAAATATAATTAATCTAAATATTGATTGATAAGGAGCAGTTTTTCTATGCATATTTATTTCTTTTATTACTACATTACTTAAAAATAATTTTTATTTTATTTCAGTCGAAGAAATTGATGAAACACTTGTAAGTAATCCATTTTGTTTGTCAATTCCTTTTTATTAAAATAAATATATTGATTATGTAACTCTTAGTGTGCAACGAAATTCATCACTAACTGAATTATAACTGTTGTATATTCAATATCAGAATTATATTTTTTTAAAAATTCTTTAGTAAAACCTGTAACTGAACTGTGTTATGCAACATTAGATAAGGCTTGTTTTTCAGGACAAGTTTATTGCTATAATGTTGATAAACTTAAATCTGGTTTAAAAAACATGAATAAAAAACAGTTATGAAAAATAGAAGTAATAGAATAAGTATTTCTGGAAAAGCAGGATGACGTTTCTGATCTATTGTTTTTTACGACGGTTGCCTTAATTTTTAGAAAACATTTACAAATGATAATTTTTACAACATTAAACTCAGAAGAAAACAAAAATTTTTTTTAGCTAATCATACACATTGTGCTTAGTTATGCTCAATACCGCCCAACAGTAAAGTAGAAATTTTTTACAGGCGAAGTAATTGTTAGACAAAATAATGTGCAAATTATTTATGTATCTAGTAATCTAAAGAACGATGTTTAAAACACGAATTCTATTACATTAATTCCACTGAATATAGAGATAAATAAATTATTATTAGTGAGTATTTTTTTAATGTCATAAAAATTATTTCTTATTAAATAGACTAAATATATAGTTTACTATTTGAAGTAGGGGCTATACGTCAACATGATTATAAATAGCAAGCATTTAAAAAGTCATTATTTTTCTTACACTTAAGCAACTAACACTTAGCGAACTAGTGTTCCATTCCTTTACATGGAACTAAAGGATTTACAATAGGTCATTTAAGTTTATCTGTTTTTTTTTTTTTTTTTTTTTAATAGAACGCTGTCATACAGACTTAATTTTACTGAAATTCTTCGCTTCACAGTCAACATTCTTTAGTAAAACTCCACTTTACAACAACCCATCCGTTATAACGGCCTGTTTTCTATTCCGTAGAAAACGTCCACACTGATTCTAATATAACGACCGAGCATTAGTTCCTTTTCCATTCCCTTGAAAAATCACGTCGAAAATGAGTTTAAAAAATGTTTAGCTTTCAAAACAAAATGCTACCATTGACAATTGTCATTTGTTGACGACCTTTTTATCCTTCATTCCGAGAGTTTTATTTTAGGTAATCGAGAAAAGTATTTTTTATATGTGAGAAATCATTTCGAGTATTTTTTGTACCCACGATAAAACGACCTTCCGTTATAACGTCCATTTTAGTTTGGATAAAAGGGGTCGTTGTATCAAGTGTTAACTGAATTTCTAACTTGTCTTAAAGACTTGGATATCGATATAAATAATACAGGTGGATAATAGTTCTCTTTTAATGTAAAGTTAGATTCATTTACCTGTTGCATGTAAAATTTTGTTTTGCGATTTGTTTTAAGTTGGATAATTTTATTTCACTGCATGGCGGGAGGCAGTATAGATAAAGTCTTTCTCTTTTAACGTCGAAGGAAGAGGAATATATCATGTTAAATAATATCAATGAAGTATAGTTTTGAATTCAAATTACCTTAAATACCGTGTTCTTAACAATGTTTGCCTTGTTAAAATTTTCTCTCTTTGATACGCTCTTTGTCACTTCGAGAGCGTTAATGATTTCGATTGATTGCAGGTAACTATTGAGTACGTAGCCATCACCTCTTTCATATCAGATAAGCCAGATACGCTTCCTTTGGTTGAAGGTGAGCGTGTAGTCGTAATTGAGAAAACTAAGCAAGACTGGTGGTTTGTGAGGAAGACTGTCACCAACGAAAGGGGATTCGTGCCATCTGATGTTCTCCAAGATTCAGCCACTTATACACACTACTTGAAAGATACGCTTAGCAAGAAGATAGAGAAACTTCCTGTACTACGCAGTGAGTAGGAGTTATTAATTTGAGTAGTAGTAAGTAATAGATAACAATTGAACATTAAATGTATGAATTTCTGTTTGGGATTTTTTGCTGGAAATTGTACATCTGTATTGGAAAGGAATTCAAAACAATATTTTGCTTTAAATATGACTTACAAAAATTAGAAAAAATAAAATTAATCTGAGAATTTTATAAAAATTTCTTACTCATTTCAGTACACTCTTCTCTTAAAAAAAAAAAGCAATGGCACATGTTTAGATTCGACCGTTATAGATTTTTCGCACGATTTCCTTTATACTCATGCTTTTCGGTGAATAATTTTAGTTTTCCTATGACTTATTAAACATCTGCTTATCTTTTTTTTTCTTGCTTATACTGAAAAATTTATTTTTCTGATCTAGGGTTTACTATATTGAAATAAACCCTAAACAAAGAGTTAGAGTTGATGTCGATTTCCTCCCTATTTTTACGATTTAATTTCACAGTTTCATAGAAAACAAGAAAAGAGTGGTTTTATTGATTTAAAATGCCAATTACGAAATCTTGTATTAGCTATTTTCGAATTTTAAGCTGCACAGCACATAAAATTTAGTTTAATTCTCTTGATAGCCCGAATTTTCTAAGTTAAGTCGGTATTATTCATAATTTAAAAATAAAAAAATTTCGCACTTACCTCATTTAATGATCTAATATGCGACACCACAAAACTGACCGTGACTAGAAATTATACATGAGTACAAAACTAAAAGAAAAAAAAACAGAACAGCCTGAATAATTTTTGATCCTTTTAGTCGGATTTTCACGCACTAGGACTCAATCTTCATGGTTCGAAGACATGGCCTCAAACAGGCTGCATGGCGATAATATAATGTATGGTAAAATACAAAATCTGAATGAAATAGATTGAATATTTCCTGTGAAAGGGAATTTTAAATATACGATTTATTTTTAAACTCGATTTCTCAGGAACTGCACCCATTCGATTTCATTTTGTATTTTGCCACTTACAATTGCATTCTTTAAAATGATGTAAAAATGTCAATACCTTACCATTAAAAAGGTTTCGGCTAGTAATAAGTAAAATAATAAAAAATAATTCGTAATTATTAAATATTTTTTACAATATTATTTACATCTTTGGAAAAAAACAAATTTTATAATAGTATTCAAAGAATTTTCGATTCGTTTAAAAAGTTATCGAGATTATACAAAATGCACAAAAGGTAAAATTGACATTAAAGGATCGAAACTTCTGACCGCTCTCCTGACTAAACCATTGGGACTATGTTTCCCAGTTTGATGTAAGGGTCAGAAATCAAAATCCGTCGAAGGAGGGGTATGTAAAGTAGGTATATCTGCTTGATTTCGTAACTAAAATTATCGTCTGCATTAATTAATTAGCATGTTTGAGATCACATATATGATTTTCTCTTAAAAAAGATCCGATCATTAGAGCAGATCAGTGTTCAATTTTTTTTCTCGCACTGTACATTACATTTGTCATTCAGTAACATTACACTCACATTACCCATACATTACATCCATATAGTGAGTTTCGATTGTACTAAATTCTTCCAGATCCTAGAACGTGTATGTAGTGTTAGTGTGTCTGGAAATCCACTTTTTAAAATCATTTTTCAATTTCATTTTTAAAATCCTGTTTTCCTTTATCTTCTTGAAATGGAATGTGATTAAATAGTTAGAAAACAAACGAAAGCTGCATTACTAAACAAATAATGTGTGAAAATTTTGATTACAATTAAGAACAATATCATAGAAGAAGTATAGATTTTCTTTGGATTTTTTAACACTGAAAAATTTGTTTGTTTTTAGACATGTTGCGTGAAACGCGTTGTACTTTGACGAAACTAACAATGAATTATAGATGTAAAACACGTTTTATCAAGTTCGATACTTTCAATGTTGGTATCAGATAGTAATCCCAAATTTCGGTCTATTTTATTCTCACTTTATACTTAGATTACTGAACCATATCGAATTCAATGCAGAAAATCTATACGCATTTATTTATTATGGAGTTTTGGTGCTTTTTTTAAATACAAATGTGATAGTTCCGAAACATAGCATGTCCCAGATCCATAGGCAAATGGATTACTCAAACAAAGATTGAAATTTCTTTTATATTCCAGAACCTAAGCCTGGTGAAAAAGCCACTGCACCGAAGTTCGTACAAAAATTGAAACCACTGACAGTTGTGGATGGCGATATCGCCGAATTAACATGTCAAGTTTCTGGTTCTCCCCGACCCACCATCACTTGGTTCAAGCAAACACAGATCATCAAACCATCTGTGGAATTTCAAGTAAGGTTCAATTATTTGCTTGTATTTCTGATTCGATTGCCATCTAATATTTGAACTAAAACCTGTTACTCTTTCCCTGTTAGTTTGTTAAAGCAAATTAAAATTAATATACAATGTATTCATCACAGATTTTTCAATTGTTAAGCCACATAATAAATAGTCTGTTTTTTTATTAATCTCATGAAGTTATTTTAACCACATTTCTAAAATCTGGAGATCGATTTTCTTACAGATATTTTATGATGATGATTACGTAACCACCCTCATCATCCGTGAAATATTTCCGGAGGATGCCGGGACATACACAGTTGTGGCTAAGAACTCGGCTGGTGTTGCGACAACTACAGCTGAATTGGTCGTTGAAGGTAAAATATTAACAGAACTCATTTTCTTTGATACCACTAACATTATTGAGACATTAAACTTAAAAATAAAGATTCTAATTTTGCACTAGTCTAATAAACAACACATTTTTGTGCATTCAAAGATGGATTTTTTATTCTAGTACTTCTTGATATAAAATTTATTACAGTATAGCAGCTGTGAACCCTATATGTCGGAGAATTTTCCTTTGATACAATTTTCAGTATTAGAATTTTTTTTTCTATTTTATTCTAAGTTTAATAAAGTTGAAATGATTTTGGCAACTATTACTTATAAGAATTTATAATGAATTCATTAAAGTGCTTTCGCAATGCAGTATATGTAATAATCCATTCCGTTACTAAGTAAAAACATGCACAATTCTAAGTGTTGACGAAATAACAATTACAATTGTAATTTCACTGTTACTATAAAAATAATCTTATCCAAAAGCACGCCTAGTTTATGATAGTGCAATAATAATGCATTGTTTGTATAATCCAGATAGTAATTTAATACTTTTAAAAAAGTTTAATTTTAGATATTCAATTGTCCAGGACATTGAAACATCTTTTTCGTCTTCAGAAATTTCCATATTCACTTAGAATTTTTATTCTAAAATTACGATAAAATAACCGGCAGCATTCTCTAAATCCAATTAACCGTAAAGTTTACGGTAAAGAACAATTTGAACCGTTTATAACTAGTATGGTTAAAAAAAACATGAATATAAACTATACGGTTTCTTAACCACTTACAGTACTGATTGTATAAATGCGATTCCTAGTAGAACACTGAAGTCAAAGCATCACTGTCTGAGGTCTGTAAGCGGGTAAATGACCACTTTGATCAGCCTGCGTGAAGACCGAGTGTGTGCGGTATCGGTCCTCATTAAACTCTTCTATCGTAAAGGGCTCAACTTCGCGCTCAGGTCGTCGCGGCTACTGAACCATGGAAGCGATCCCCTCTACAGAGGATCAAAATTGTGATGTCGTGAATACGGATCATTCTCTAGGATGCTTCCCCGATCATCGCCAATAGCCTATTGTGCCGTTCTAGTTCGACTAAATAGAATACCTACCTACCTTAACCGTTTACAACTAGCATGGTTTCAAAACCGTAAAAAAAGCTTAACTGGACATTGGAGCTAGACTTTTCGTTAGGTTATGGGCTTTGAAATTAGGTTGTGGTTTATCAAATGCACTGTAGAATGTGGTTTAATTAGCTTATCGCGTTGCTTTACCTATTGCAAGAGATGGAAAATACTAGACTTTTTTGTGTGAAACAGATTTATGGTGATGCCAACTATACGTGGAAGAAAAGATCGTATTCTATTAGTCCAGGGTCAAAAACTGGAGTGCAAGACGCTGGAAACTCTTCATATATCGAAGAAAATGTTGTAGTGTCAACACTGGGACTCAAACCTACGTTCAGTTCTGTCATGAGATTGACAGATTAACCTTCTCGGTGTAGTTGGAATGATAAAATTCTAATTGTTTAACAGTAATAGGTGAGACAGTTAGTAAACGACTTTTCTCACAGTTATCAGTTTGAATAAATACCATTTTATTTATGGTTACTTGACTGTTTTGTTTGAACATGGTAAAATAACAATGAAATAGTAAATTGTTATTTAAGCATTGTTTTCGCGAAATTTCTAACAATGTTGTTAATTTGTTCCCAAATTTATAATTTTCGAATTTTTAAAAATCGGCAATTTGTTGACAGTTTCCCAAAAGCATCAACATTTTTAGTGATTTCATTTATCGAGTACCCTTTCTTTAAAATCCACTATTCACGTTTTTATTCTTAATAGCTCCATTATCTGAGCATGGTACTGATCTTTATCCATCGTCCAGAGCCAGTTTATCTCGGCAGTCCTCTCTCACAGATATACTGGAAGGTCTATTCCCAGTGTTTTCCGAGAAGCCTAAAGACAAGACAGTCGATGAAGGAAAGCCGGTTGAGCTTGTCTGCAAAGTATCTGGAATTCCTGAACCGACGGTATTTTCTTTTTGAATCTTGATATTACATACTACAGTTTTATTTTATGTTGATCTTTATTTTGATTTATTTTTAGCAAATTTCTTTTATCACATCAAACTGATTTGTAGTTAAATATTAGTCACATTAAATAGGGGCTTTAAATGGTTTTTAATTGATGAAGGTTAAATGAAACTAAAAAGTTTTCGCTGAGAAGGAACGAAGATCGGTTACTTTGAGCATTAGCTCTTGAATCTATGTGAGGTGCCTTCAAAGAAAAAGAAAATGTTATTACGGTTCCATTCTGAGGAATGCAGTCAGCCGACAGCGAAATTGCACATGTCAGATTTGTTCTTCTTAATCTGTGACGTTTTCAGGTGGTCAGTCCAACACCTCCTAGAAGGAACAGGCCTCATCACGGGTTACCATAAATATCCCTTAGTAGTCCAAACGTAATGACATATTTTGTATTTTCAACCACTGCGCAGCTTAGTACCCCTAACGTAATGACATTTTTCTTATTTTTCGACTACTGCGCAGTTAACTTCGTCACATCGGACTACTAAATTGATCCGTGCTGAGGCCTTTCTACTTCTGGGAGGTGTTGGGCCGTCACTCACTGATTCATTGATTATCGGATCTGATATGACTCATGGAAAAATAAGGACATGGCTAGGTTACAGAGAGCATGCGTCATCTGCACTGTTGTTGTATACATAGCTGTCTGTGTTCAAAGAGTGTAAACCCAATCCATAGTCAACTCTTAAAATTGTAAGTTTTAAGGTGAGTGGTTGTAACGGTGATTTGATCCCTCCTCAGACTAAAAATGGGATCATCTATTAAGATGATCTTTACGAAAACGGTGCTTCTTTGTTCGGTAACTCTAAACAGAATAATGCTAAAAAAATATTCCTACTTTTACACTATTTCAAGCTATAAAAAGCGTAGCTTAAACCCCGTTTCGCAAGTGACACAAAAAAGGGATGGCTTGACGTGGGAGAATGGCAACACGTCATCGTTAACTGGCAAAAGAGACGTGCGATTTTGACTCTAGGACCCTCAAGATGCAAGTTAGAAAAAAAAATGTGTTTAAGCCTGCCTATCATTTGTTTATTTCACTGTGGAATTACAAAAGTTGATTTAACTGAAGGAATTACTCTAGTATTGTAAAATTATATTGTTCAAATAGTTTTATTGTTTTGTTTCTTCAATGAATAGACGTTTTGGAAGGAGTTAATGTATGAGTGTTCGTTTTCTTAATGTTCTAAAAATAAGTTTGAATATATAATGAACACATTTCGTTTGTTTAATCGATGCTATCAACCAGCAATATGATGAATGCTTTATATTTTTTTTTGAAATGCAGATCACGTGGTTGAGGAATCAAAATCCNGGTGATTGTAAAGTTAAGTTAAGTGATTGTAAAGGTGATTTGATCCCTCCTCAGACTAAAAATGGGATCATCTATTGAGATGATCTTTACGAAAACGGTGCTTCTTTGTTCTGTAACTCTAGACAGAATAATGCTAAAAAAAATATTCCCACTTTAACACTATTTCAGGCTATAAAAAGCGTAGCTTAAACTCCGTTCCGTAAGTGACACAAAAAAGGGGATGGCTTGACGTGGGAGAATGGCAACACGTCATCGTTAACTGGCAAAGGAGACGTGGAATTTGGACTCTAGGACCCGCAAGATCCAAGTTAAGAAAAATGAGTTTAAGCCTGCCTATCATTTGTTTATTTCACTGTGGAATTACAAAAGTTGATTTAACTGAAGGAATTACTCTAGTATTGTAAAATTATATTGTTCAAATAGTTTTATTGTTTTGTTTCTTCTCTGAATAGACGTCTTGGAAGGAGTTAATGTATGAGTATTCGTTTTCTTAATGTTCTAAAAATAAGTTTTGATATATAATGAACACATTTCGTTTGTTTAATCGATGCTATCAACCAGCAATATGATGAATGCTTTATATTTTTTTTTGAAATGCAGATCACGTGGTTGAGGAATCAAAATCCATTGAAGGAATCTGATAGAATCGAGATCAAAACTGTTTCGGAAGATCTGGAGATTACGACGCAAACTGTTGTAATCAAGTCTGCCAAACCTGAGGATGCCGGAACTTATGAGATAATCGCAGAGAATAGAGAAGGGAAGTCAGTCATATCTCTCATTCTCAATGTGACTGGTAAGAAAATTAGAATGGATTGATGTATAATAATTGAATTGAGTTTTGAATGATATGATGTTTTGTTTTCTTCAATTTAAAAAAAAATATATGAGCAGCAGAAAATAAAAACAGAAACTCACATGACGTATGATATAATTTTGTACTAATCTTTATTTTAATATTTATGTTTTGAAGTGTAAACCTTAAATAGGCAAATTATCTACCACATATCATAATTTTAACGACTGAATCACAGACATTAATTTTTTGCTTACGGACTCGGATTTTTGACCTTCAAACTTGGGAATCTTCTCGAACTCGAGGATCTTCTTCACTTGTAAAAATTTTTACTCCATCACAGATCATCTCTTTTACGAAAGATTATATTAAATATTTTGTTTCAATATAAATTTTACTTCTCAAAATTAAGTTGTAAAAAAACCAATACCCTGAAAGGTTTGTTAAAAACGAATTATTTTGCTCTACAATAAAACAAAAACGAAATAAAATTGAAACCATGCGAACGATTCAAAAAAAAAAAAAAATTCATTGCATTTAGAAAACTCTGTGCTTTCAACCCTCCGCGTACGACTCCCGCGATTTGAGCGGGGTATCTGTTTCGTCACCCACTGCAGGTCACGTGAAAATCGCGGGCGAAGAAATTTTTCCCCTGATTGCAATACAGATCCCGCCATTTCCCAGTGTACGACCATCATCCAAAACCATCATCTGATGCGTATTTTCGCTACTAGGTGGCACTAGAGGGTTCGGGAATTTCGCAAATTATATAGAAAAATTCGTTGAAGGAAGATAGTAACCCCTACTTTTTAATATAGTACAGTAAATTGATGCTTTAACGTTGCATTTCATATCATACTTATAATTTTTGATATTTAGTGGTGAAAAAATTACTTAAAATGAAAAATACTAAACTAAAAGTAACTTAAAAATCGCGTATTTCAGGACCGGAAAGTATAAAAACTGAGCCGAACGCGGAGAACTTAAAAATCTTTATAAATTTTGTAATTATAAATTAAGTTTAATCCAGACTTTTTTGGATACCAAATTATCACATCTGTTTTTCAGACTGCAAAACTTATGAAAGCAATTTTTTAAAAAAATAATGCAAAGAAAGCAAGAAACAGTAATGAATTTGTTTCAAAAGAATTTTTTTTATCATAATTCTCGAATTAACTGTTTTTTATTTATGGTAGAAAAACCCAAGAAACCAAAAGATGAGCCTCCAGTTTTCATTCAGACTTACAGTGATACAACATGTACAGAAAAGGATACAGTCACTCTTACTGTGAAAGTACAGGGTACTCCTCCACCAGAGGTCACTTGGTACAAGTACGTACAAAAAATTATCATGTTCATTCTCGCAACTTATAAACTAACATTTGTTACATTAGAATCATATTTCAGCATTGATATTGAAAAGTCAATGCTGAAATATGATTCGATATCAAAGTAAATCATGATATATTGTAAGAAGTGTTTTTACGTGGGAACAACACCTTTTAATTTAATTAATTTTCAATATTTTCTTGAAATCATAATTTTTTAATTAATTTCAATAATTTAAAAAAAATACGATTTTTTTTTAATTTTCGTAATTTTTAATTCAAAATTGCAAATTTTGTAATTATTCTTCAGAGAAGTTAAAAATCAATTAAAATATCTCGTAATTCTGTTTATTTTCCTTTTTTAAAATCAAGACTACACCCAGAAACATTTTAGTTTGAACTTTTTAGGTTAAGACATATAATGCTTTATAAAGAAAAAAATATAAATAAATGAAAACTTCGTTACAAAATTAATGAAAAAATTTAAATAAATCAAATTCTCCCAATTGGATAATATATATTTTGTGCTATGTAGACTAAAAAATCTTGAATGAAGCAAAAATAAAAGTGCATAAATGAACATACTATAGTTCTAAATGCATATGTAATTACATTATAGTTATGGGGTCTTGTGTATGTTGGACAAGATAATTCTACCCTTAAATTTACCATTACCAAAATTACCACTTAAACACGATAGAGAAGTGCTCCTAACAACAGAAACACTGCTCTTCACCTACCGAACTAGAATTTCCTGGAATCATTGCATATTTTGAAATATTCTAATAATTTAGTTAATGATCTTCCTAGTGTTCGCACCGTTTCCAAATATTTGGAAAACTATTGCAATTCAATCTTTTCTAAGCTGGGGTTCCCGCAGGGACCGATCAAGACAAATTCAGGCCCAAGGTCCACGAAATTTCCGGGCCCCTAACAAAATATTTTGAAATTAAATTTATGAAGAGTAGTCCTAACAATAAAAAGAATCTATTGAACTTCGTCTATGGAACTTCTTAATTCAAGAGAAACATTCTAAAAAATTTTGAAAGCAGACAATTGAAGATTATTTTTCCAAGATAAAGTTTACGCATCAAAATATTAAAGCAAAATATGAAATGTTGTGAAAATAACAATAGTTTGATGACCACAAACAAGTGAAATCAGAGATTTTTGCTAAAAGTCACTGATTAGCTGAATTATTTTAAAGATTGTAGCCCTCCATCTACAGCTTTACAGATTTGTTAAGAATAAGATTTTAGTTCTTGTTCACCCTAATCATTTATAAGAGACTTTGCGAATATGCATTCTCGATGCATTTGCTTAAGCCGTTGGGGTAAAATTGCACCAATTAAAATTTAGCTGTACTTTGGAATTTGATAAGTGCAATGTTTACGCGAGTTTGGCTTATCACAATATAAGGAAAATTTGAAATAAAAAAATGCCTTTTTTGAGAAAAACTGTTTCTTTCAGTATTTAAAAAAGGTAATATTGTGGACTTTTTATTAATTCTTGAGGCGCCCCAGAAAGTGTGGGCCCTAGGCCCGAGCCTATCGGGCCTAGTCGATAATCAGGCCCTGGGTACCCGCCAAACTCTCTTGCACCTGTATTTTCTAAAATTATGTTGCTTAAACTTTTAGCGTACTTCTGTTCATTGTAGCTTATCATTTGGTGATATCAACACTGAGAAAGATTCATGTTGATAAAACGGAAATTATAGTGTGCTTATTTTCGCACGCGTTTTTTATTCGCTTTTTTTTATTTAATAATCAAATATCCTTTTTTTTGTTTCCAAATCAGTTTTTTTCTTTTAATTTTGATAAATATTACTTAATTTGTTACTGCCTCATTTATCATGTTTTACTTGATTTACTTAACAAGGCAATTTACTGCAAAATTTGTCTCTTTCATTTATGGTGCTATATTCTATAAGAAAATTTATGATTATTTTTATTATTATTATTATAAGTCTCTTACACCTATGTCAATCTAAGAACAGAAAATCGAATGCCGTTTAGAATACTGCACCACATATTCTTTGAATCATTTAATTAATTTATCTACAATTACTAAAGTTTACCCTTTCTTTTTTTCTGTTACCGTATTTTATAAAAAGTCTTTTTTTTTATTCTTAGATTTTCCCTCGACATTTGTTTAATTAGTTTATTAAAATTCTGATTGTTAAGATTCTTAACTTAGGTTTATAAATAGGTTCGATGACTGTCGTTATTATGAATTATTTTTAATAAAAATGGATAATAAAAGAAAAAAGGTAATGAAAGGTAAAGAATCGAGTAAATAAATAGGCGTATTAGGAAATTGACAAGTCAGTGAAAAGTATTTTTAATATAAATGAATAAAGGAAGAAAATGAAAAGGTGATGAAGAACGTTAAATTGTAAACGTGCGTATTAGGAAAATGGCGAGTCAGTGAAAATTATTTTTAATGTAAAGGAATAAAAGAAGAAAAGAAAACAGTTCAGTAGAACATTAATCAGTAAATATGCGTATTAGGGAATTTACGAATCAGTTAATCTGCTCGTTGGTGAATGAACGAATCTACATATTTGTTTTATAAGCGAATGATTGAATTGGTGAAACAGATCATAAATAAATAGCTTATAAAAGAATAATTTTCCGTGCAGCAGTCGGTAGCCTCAACATTATATATCAACATTAGCTAATCAATCAGATTGCAAATAAATAAATAAAAAGTAGTTTATGAAACTATAATTTTTTGAACGATAGACAACAGCTAGTTTAGAGAAAGAGTGCTTTGCTTTCTAAGTTTGTTTTAATTTATTTAAATCACCCTGAAATGGTTCAGAAAGTTTAAAATTGTTCTTTTAGGAACGGCAAAGAGATAAAACCATCAAAATCTCTAAAACCAACTTCGACCGACAATGTTCACACCCTTGTTATATCAGATTCAAAGAAGGATGATACAGGAGAATATAAATGTGTGGCTAAAAATCCAAAGGGAAAAGTGGAACACACTTCTAAAGTCACTGTTCAAAGTAAGTTCGAAGCACTTCTTTTTTTTAATACAGAAGTAGGGTGTTTTCAAGGACATAACATTTAAGCATACCTTATAATAAACCATATAATTTTATTTTCAGAGAAGGGAGTAGATTTTGTCGATAAATTGTATGACTCTGAAGTGAAAGAAAGGGAAACTGCAATCTTTTCTGTGGAATTAACACATCCTGATGCTGAGGTTAGTTTCAAATTTGTTTTTGGCTTTTGTTAAGAATTCATTTGAAGTGTTGTTTTATCACCTTAATACAAGAGAAACTTATTCAGAAGGTGATAAAACAACACTTCAATAGTGACCCGGACGTGATATGAACTTGTCAACATTGGTAGATGGTCCACGTTAAACAGTTGATTTGCCTAAAAATACTGCTCAAAGAAAAAAAAAATCCGGTGGAGTAAATAAAACTTCCCGGTCAATAAACAAAATTGAAGAAAAAGCAATAATGAGCAAAATAAAATAAAAAAAATAATAAATAAAAAAACAGCATGAATACACTACTGGAATCTGTTCATCGAATTCTATCACAGATAAAATTCTGGAAGGGGAGTTATGTCTACCACTATAAATATTAAATACCAATTCACTATTATGTAAGACATGTTAACTTGATTCTATCTTGATATACCTCTTGATAGAATCAAGTTAATTGATATTCAATATTTATAGTGGTAGTTACGCCACATATTTTCCTCTTTTCAATTTTACAGTTTTCTTAACTGTTTTCGTTACTATTTTTTATTTTCCCTTTATGTATTGAATGTAATTTAAAAACCTTTCTCCATGGGGGAAAAAGAGTAAAAGTTCAATTCTTTAACCACGAAAAAAGGTTTAATTTTAAACTGAACTGAGAAAAAAAGTATGGTCAAAACTAACTGAATAAGGTACAATTTTCTGTCTTTCCGGCTCTATGGGAACAGCAAAAGAGTCGATAATTTTTAACGAAGCGCTTAGGGTAATAATTTTAGTTAAATTAACGATAAAATATGCTTTAATAATGCGTGATGAAATTTGGTAAATGTGGTAAAATTTGGTCATTTTAGTATGATACCTTAACATGGCATAAAACCTTTTATTTATTTAACCTCTTTTCAAAACTTTTAGTGATATGAACTATAGTTTTGAATACCAAAATTTTCTGTAAACCACTACCATATGTGTGTATGAAAATCTAATACCGCATATTTTGGTTTAATTTTACCAAAATTGATAAAAATAAATTATTAGGCTTTAAAACGGAGTCGTCATGTTGGCGATATTTCTCCACCTAGAAAAGCGTTTTTAAAAAATTAATGAATAATTCAATTTTTGTAACATATATTTTTTATGAGCCTAGAACGTGTTGGAGTAACTTTCCCTATATTATGAAATTAAATCACAGTGGAGATAATGAGTGTTCGACAATGTCAACCTTCTGCCATGAAAAGGTACCCCTCCATAGAATCGAGTTAACATGTCATGTGAGTTGGAATTGTATTTTTGTGGTGGTAGACGTACTATAATAACAAATACTTTTTGTTAAAACGCCAGTTTTATTACAAGCATAGAGGGTGCTGGTTGACGTGTACAAAACTTAACCTAACAGTCTTGAATAACTGTTATGAACAGTCAGCACGTAATTCCCTAATTCCGTCATTATTTCAAGTGACGAAAGAACTTTTTTTAAGAACCCTCTTAAACCATGTTTTTCTTTCATTTCATGAATATGATAGTTTAATTATGAATAATTTTATAATTTTCATTATTTTAAATGATCTTTATGCTTCATAGTTAGTCCCAATGTCTTAATTTTTACTAATTGTTCTATAGTAGGGACGATGATTAAAGAACACTAAGAACGAATCTAACAAACTACGTCCGTTGGCATAGTAAGCTGCTTGCACGGTGAATCGTTTTCGTTTTGTGTCTTTTTACTCTGGCTCTTAAGTAGCTGACCATACATGGCAATACACATGTAGCAGTTATACATGAATATTACTAAACTATTAGGGGGACCGGAACGTAATGTTGTTTCGGTGCATTTGATATTTGTTATCAAGGCTTTATTTTTAATTAATAATGTATTCACCCCCGTTAGCAACAACCTTTCAATGCCGGGTCGAAAATGAATCGAAAAAATGAAATGGTTTTTAAGACTAACGAATATCTAATGAAGCCGAAACGACATTTCTTTCCAGCCCCCCTAATTTATAAAGCATTGTCTAATACATGTTATCCACAGGTAACTTGGCACAAAGATGGAGAACAGATAAAGCCGAGTGACCGAGTGAAATTTGTGGAAGATGATTGCGTACGGAAATTGGTTATAGAAAACGCTGGTGTGAATGACGAGGGCGAATATACCTGCGTCTTGGGAGAGAAGGAATGCACCGCTGAATTAGTTGTCATTGGTGAGAATAGAAAGTTTTTTACTTCTTTTAATTGCGTTTTGTGGCGCTCTTCTAACCTTTTATTGTAGCCTATTAATTGGTACCAGAATAAATTTTAAACAAAAAGATGAATCATGGAACTGATGCCTTAACAATTTTCAGCATTAGCGCATTATTTACTACCCATATGATTTAAACTGCCATTGCTTATTTTACATAATAATCGAAACTGTATTTTAATCTGATTTTCTTAAAATTTATACTTCAGGTATTTTTTTTTTCATAACATTTTATTTTGGGGTCTAATATAATAAATGTTATCCAATTTGCTACCCGAATGGATATGCGTTTTGCTAAGAAGGCTTCCCATGAGAAAAAAAAGCCACTAAAAACACAACTTCATTTCCAAATATTTAAACATTGAGGATGGTTATTTTTTGCATGATATCATTAATTAACATCAGTCGTCTATATTTCTCTTGATAAACCCTTATATTTACCTACATCTTTTATTTACTGAAAATCTTTCATTTATTTGTTTTACTACCAAAACATAAATAAATTACTGTGTTTGTTTTATTAACTGAAAAAACAGGAATTTTATTTTATAGCATTGAACTACCGATTTAATTTATGGGTGTTCGATTACTGATGTTCAACTCCGTAATTTTGTAAGTTTGAAACCATTCCAGGAGACAAGGGAATTCCTTGATCAAGTATTGGAAAATTCCAAATGAAATTGCGGCAAAAAGTTCCGGCACTCTGAGTGCCAATACTTTTTACTGTGAAATCCATTTATACTGGAGCATGTTATGAAGCATAAAATCTGATATACCGTAATTTTTACAGTAATAATTACTGTAAAATAACTGAATCACTCCAAATAAATAAATATTGATATGAAATTTACGGTATACTATTTTACAGTAAATATGGATTTTACGGATGATGCAGACAAAGTGTTGGTACTTTATACCGTAATTTGAACTGGAATTTCTCACAGTGTAGTTTCTACCATTCGAAAAAATATATATTCTGAAATAAAAATATTTTCTCAATTTTTTTAAAATATAATATTTGTTTTACTATTCTTAATATTTATTTCTCTATACCCATATTTTCTTCTAATTTTTTTTAAGAAATGCCTGCTGATTTCAAAGGTGATATGAAAGATGTTACAGTCGCCACAGAACAAAACGCATCTTTTGATGTGGAACTCACAAAAGGTGATGCAAGGGCTAGATGGTTTAAAGATGGTACGAAATTTTTATTTATAAATTTATTTATTTGTACTTTTTATGAAACAACGAAAATAAATCACTATATTTTTTTTCATACATATATTACACTATATAATGTATTTTCAGGGGAGGAAATCGATTTTAGCGATCATGTTATGCTCAAAATAGATGGGAAACGGCAAAAACTCATTATCTACAATGCAACTTTCGAAGATGTTGGTACATACACATGTGTTGTAGGTAACAAGAAAAAATCGGCCAAACTAAAAGTGGAAGGTAATTATTTTAATAATTGTTTCACCCTGGCCTATCATTTATTGTAAAAAAATTTTCACGGACTTTAATGAAACATTGAAAAAACAATGTATATGATAAATTTATATTTATAATTTTTCAGCTCCAACTGTAGAATTCACTGCGAAGTTGCCGGAAAAAATGACTGTCCCCCAGGACACAGATGTCACATTCACTGTTGAACTTTCGAGAAAAGATGTGCCCGTGCAGTGGCTCAAAAACGGAAAACCAATTCCGGAGAAAGAAAAAGATAAATTCAAGTTCATAAAGGATCGCAATGTTTATAAACTTGTTGTTCAAAGTGCTCAGAAAGATGATCAGGCTGAATACTGCTGTGTTGCCGGAAATGTTAAAAGCGTAACGAAATTGCAAGTACAAGGTAATGAATGTGACACTTTATCTTGTTAATTCAATTAACAAAAAAAATGAATTTCGTATAAATGAGCAAACACAGCTGCATCAATATTTGCAATAAAACTCTATGAGATTAGGTGTTCACGTTAGCCAAGAAAGCTTGCACAACAATCTATATATTAGGGGGACCGGAAAGTAATGTCGTTTCGGCGCATTTGATATTGTTATCAAGATTTAATTTTTAACCAATAATGTATTCACCCTCGTTAGCAACAACCTTTCAATGCCGGATCGGAAATGAATCGATAAAACTGAATTGGTTTTTAAGACTAACGAATATTTAATGCGCCGAAACGACATTACTTTCCGGTCCTCCTAATATTTACTGGCTCAATGTTCTGCGTATTATGCCCCTCATGCAATTAAAAGCCACCTCAAATGAAAATAAAATTGATAATTCGTTGCAAAAAATATACTCACTGGTAAAATGAACAAATTACATCCTAACATGTATATTAAGTATATTTTTATATTTAACAGTGTCTTACAACTTAAGACTTTGCAATAAAGTAAGCCTCCACGATTTTTTTCGCACCCTGTCTCTCTCTTAACATTTTATGCATTAATTATCTGAAAATAATAGTAGACTTTTACGATATTTAGTTAAAATCTTTCATAAAATTTGGATAGAAAATATGTGCTTTTTATTGATTGTTGGCACAAAGTAGATATAATTCGCACGAATACCAATTGTACTTGTTTTGGGTTAAAATTAGTGATAAACATTCGAGTCTTAAGAGAAACTAATATAAACTGTAGTAATCTTACTAACTAAATAAAATAAAAATAAAAACTAAACAAAATTGAGGAGACTTTTGTAGAATTCATAGGGAATAAATTTAGCATATATAAAAACTTTTAACCCCTCTCCCCAAAAAAGCCAAAAATGTTTTATTGAGGTTTAATTGGCCCTTAGAACTCTGAATTTTGTTAATTACTGTACGTGTAATGGGTTCTTTTATAAATGCAAAAGGTAAATATTTGTTACTATTTATTAACTTGTCTTGAATTAAGGGAACTGATGCATTACTGTATACTTCTTAAAAAGAATCGATTTTTGAATGATTAAATTACTAATGATGTTCTTTTTTGTTTCATGTAGAAGCTCATGCAGAGTTCACTCTAAAACTGCGTGATGTGATTGTCCGGGAAAGTGATACAGCGACTCTTCTTGTTGAAGTGACCAGAGAAACATTCGAAGTCCGGTGGATGAAGGATGGTCAGACATTGAAACCCACTGATAGGTTCGTAATGGAGAGAGAAGGGTGCAGGCGACGACTTATCATTAAAGACACCAGCTTAGATGATAGAGGCATGTATACTTGTGTTCTAGAAGAAAAAGCTTGTTCATCTACTCTTACGGTTGAAGGTAAATGTTGTTTTATTATATTAAACATAAGCGAATGACCTAATGATTAATGTAATTTTTAAGAAGAACCTATAGTTATCGATATCCTAAATTTAAAGCTGGATATTTAGCTTCAAAAGACTTAACTGATAAAAACTGTAGGAGGACAATTTATTGTTTGTTCAATTATTGTTAAATATATTATTAAAAACTTTATATATTTTATAATTGTTTTATGATTAAGCAATTGCTTGAATAGATATATAATGAGCATCATACATAATAGTTTAAATCCTTAAACTCTTAAGCGACACTCATCTTTGAAATGTAAAATTTTTCAACTTTTCATGTTTTAATTTTGCGTAACCGATTTCTTTTACTATCATTAGTTAACCATGTATCAAAAATATGCAGGCAATTAGTTTTGTATTTTTAACGGTTGTGACTGTAATTTAAATGGGTGTTAAGAAACTAACCAAGGAAATTAACTTTAAATTTAAGTAATTAACTTAATTGTAACTTAAGTTGTTGAAATTCAGCGTAATGACTTTACCACAGTTAATATCTGTATTCAGTATTTAACCATACTTAATGCTTAATTTAAATTTTAAAAAAATAGAATACTCCCGAACAGCTCTTTGTAAGGAAGAAATATTAGAATGTTTGCAGCCCATAATTTTGAAGTCATGCAAGTGAAGTTTAATTTTCAGATTAATTTTACCTGACTGCAGCCATGTGGTCAGCATTGCGCAACTATCATTATTTCTCATGCAAGCTGGTACGCATCAATTTAAAACTGAAAGGGCTTTAATCTACACCTTCCAGAAGAGAGAAAGCCTTCGTACGGGTTACCATAAACAAGAAATCTAATCCTTTAGTAGTCCGAACGTTGTTTAGTAGTCCAGACGTTGTGAAATCATTCCTTAATTACTTCCACTGCGCAGTTTAGTGAATCAGACGTTGTGAAATCTTTTTTAATACCTTTTATTGCGCAGTTTATGTTCGTTACGTCGGACTACTGAATTTATCCGTGCTGAGGCTTTATTTCTTCGAGGAGGTGTTGCTTTAATTCGATTAAAGCGTTTGATCCCTGTCCTTATCAGTGACAGCAATTTACCTTAACTCTTGAGTCATCACTATTTAAAATAATTAAGTATGTTTATAAAAATTGATTATTTGATATATAAAATAGTTTTTATCCAATGTGTTTGATATAATTATTTTTACTTCTCTGTGTCGATAACATTTGGAATCTTGAAATTTTAGCCACACCCCGTGTTGTGTCAGATAAGAGACATTTCAAGAGCAAGAGGGGTGGCAACGTTGTTGTGGATGTTGAGTTCGTTTCTCTTCCGTCACCCAAGATTGAGTGGTTTTACAAGGGCAAAACAATCAGTCCGGACAAGAAACGCACAATTGAAAACTACGGCAATAAGACTGTCTTGACCATTAAAAAAGTAGATGACGCCGATGTCTCAGACTACACTCTCAAGTTGACAAACAAATGTGGTGAATCTAAAACTGACTTCACAGTTTCAATTATAGGTAAATATGACGGCTTGATATTCATTAAAATTTCTTGGTCATTGATAAACAATAACGTTTAACAATAGAAGGTTAGTTTTTGGTCTACGTCAGTGTTTCCCAAAGTGTGGTACGCGTACCCCCAGGGGTACGGGAACAGTTTAGCGGGGGTACGCGTTCTTATGCGAAATATCTTGTAACAAAGGAAATTTCAGAAAATTTTATTTAAAAACAAAGCTAGCCATGAAAATTTACGATTACGAATTTTTCTATTGGCTATATTTTGCAGAGTTAACAGTTAATAATTAGTGGTGTCAACAGCCAGTTGTGATTTTTAACTTTTGTGCAATTTTTTTTTTATATCACAGCAAAATCAATATCATCCTTCTCTCTGAGGCAAATAAACTTTTAACAAAACTTAGTACCAGAAAAGAAAAATAAACATATTTTTTAAAAAATACATTCATTTTTTTATTAGTGGTACACATCGTTACGAAAAATTTAGAAAGGGTACACAAAAGTCATAAGTTTGGGAAACACTGGTCTACGCCATTTATTCTAAAAATTTTATTTTGTTTTCTATTCAAATAGTCGCTTCAATTTTGCAATTCATTTAAACATGTTAACTTTGTTATCTTTTTCACTATTTATTTAAATATGTTTTATCTCTATCTCACTTATTTAAATACAATATATTTTCGCTCTATTTCACTATTACTGAATGTTTAAATTTTGTTCTACTTTGCTATACCAGTGAGTTAATTTTTTCTCTATGTTATAAATATTTAAATACAATAATTTTTCTATATTTTGCTATTTATATATTAGCGTTTTATTTTTCTTCCTTTAATTTATTTAAAATTATTAATTTTGTTGTCTACTCCTTAATGACTTTTGTATTATTGTTAATTCTTCTTTTCAAGTTTTTTTTAATATTTTAAAGACTATAATTTTTAACACATATTCATTCTCTACGTTGTAGCGCGTGCGGTCGACGTCACCAAATTTATACTTTTATAGTTGTTTGATACCACGCGCCTTTTTTTTTTTCAATTCCTACTCACACTCTCCCTATATCTTGTTCAAATTTTCAATCGTTAATAAAATAGTTTTTATTCATCCACTCAAGTTCAAATACGTTTTTTAAACTTTTAGTGTATGACACTTAATGTTAATATAGTTTTTTTTCAAGTATTAATTCATTAATTAAATATAATTAATTAATTTTAGTTTTATATGGGAGGAAAAATTTTAATTAGTTAATAAAAAGTAACTAAAATAAAATTTTTCTCTGTTGACATAAGTATGAATAAACTTATAAATGTTTTTTTTTTATATATTACTTGTTTTGTAGATAAACCGAAAGCTCCTGGCATGCCAAACGCGTCTGAGATTGGTGATGATTCTCTGACATTGAGCTGGAAAGTTCCTGAGGACGACGGTGGCTCTCCAATTGTCAATTACATCATAGAATACCATGACAGAAACACATTACGCTGGTCAACATACAATGAAAAGTTTACCATTGATAAACCATTTACAAAAAGTAAGCGATTCCAGATGCTTTTTGCTACTCATGTTTTTCGAGACAATGACTTTTATGAGTATAGTTCGGTTTTGAGGAGAACTCCTCCAGACTGAAAGTCTGGGGCTGTCTGATGCTATGGTAACAAGCGAGAGCACATTTCTAATGGGGGTGAAGTGGAGAAAAGAAGGTGTCGATTGTTCACTCACGACGATCCTACACTAAGATTAAGACAAAACTATTCACCCCACACCCCTATTCGAAGTGACCTTTCCTCGTAACCATAGTACCGGCCACGACGCGAGACGGATGTCTGTAGGTGTTCTCCTGAAAGCCGCACTATACAAAGGTATCATTAAATTATTAAGAGGATTTAAGGTAACCATAATTTCTTAAAGAGACATTTTTTTGTTTCCCATATTCATTCCCTAGTTTTGTTGCTAAGGAAGCGGATTGTCTATTCTAAAATAATTTAGCGGAAGATAAAACTTAAAGGGCGTTTGCGAATTGATGGTAAACATTTAACCAACTTAAGTTTTTGTGCAAATGTGTTAGCTGATACGGAAAGAATATCTATACTTTAGAATTTGATTTTTGCTCGTCTGCGTTCTTATGAAAAAAGAAATTAGCGATTATAAAAAGAATTAGGGGATGAAATGTGAATTTAAGAATTAATTAAAATAAAAACACTGGTAAATATAATTTGAAATGCCTATAACGGAATAATAGTCATTCTTATTTACAACTCTATTAGATAATTCTGTTGCTAATTCAATGTGTTGGTAACTTTGCAACTATTTGAAAACTATGCATTCCATATTTACAGCTTTCAGCATCAATATTTGTTTTTATAGTACTTTTTTTGCTTGTTTTTATTTGATTTTGAAATTTTGTAGTTTTTAGCTGGGCATTCGGTATTTTAAAAATTAGTATTATAAATGTATAATCAAGTTTAATTACTCATTCTAAATGTACTAATTTGTAAAATATTGCAGTTGAAAAATTGAAACCGGAAGAAGAATACATGTTTAGAGTAATAGCAGTAAATGAAGTTGGAAAAAGTGATCCGTCACCAGGAACTAAATACGTCCGTGTACAATCGCCTAAAGGTAACTTATTTTCTTTTCGAATAACTAATTTTCTTTTTTAATATGGGGAATGTACTCATCTTAATATTATTTAACCGTAAAATAATACAATTATTCCCCCTTTTCTGTGTTGGGAATATTTCATTTAAACATTTTAGAGTTTATTAAAAAGTTTTTGAAACGTTTTAGTTTTGTTACTTTAAATGCAGAAGTTTTTACTTTTCTAAAATCATTATTATAGTCTAATCTTTGATTTCTGAAATGCTTTTCCCTTACGTGATGGTATAAAATCATAGAAATTAAAAAAATCTTGAAAAAGTTTCCAAAATACTCCATTTATAAACTTGATGGAAAAATGTGTATGTCATGACGATTCCTATTAAAAGAGTGCGAAATTACACGAAATCGAAATTACATAAAAACAGTAATTTTTTATTTCAATGTAACAGAATCATTTTTTTCTTTTCTATTTCGTAAGATTCAATTCTCCATCAATTTATTTGCTTTTTTATTGTCGCCTTTTATTAAAAATCGTTTTTTTTTACCGGCCAATTTTTTTTCGTTTTTGCATTTTTATAAACATTAAAAATTCTTTTATTTTCCCGGTTGAATTATTTGCTTTTACATTGTTATAATTTTATAATCATTAAAATTGTTTTGTTTTCCAGATTGATTTGTTTTTTTCATTGCTGAATTTCTATAATAGTTAAAAATTATTTAATTTCCACCGTTGAATCACTTGTTTTTACATTGTTGCCTTTTTATGATAGTTAAATTTTCTTTATTTTCGCGATCAATTTTTTTCATTGTTGCATTTTTATAATCATTAAAAATCATTTTATTTTCCAAGGAGAATTACTTGCTTTCACATTGTTGTATTTTATAATTATTAATTTTTTTTTCCTTGTCGATTTCATTTTCATTGTTGCATTTTTATGCTCGTTAAAAATGCTTTTAACTTCCCGGTTGAATTATTTGCTTTCACATTGTTATATTTTTATAATCATTAAAAATTGTGTTATTTTCTAGGATGATTTGTTCTTTCATTGTTGCATTTCTATAATCGTTTAAAATTATCTTATTTCAGCGGTCAAGGTACTTGTTTTTCCATTGTTGTATTTTTATGATCGTTAAAAATTGTTTTATTTTCGAGGACAATTTTTTTTTCATTGTTGCATTTTTATAATTGTTAAAACTCCTTATATTTTCCCAGCCAAATTACTTTGCTTTTTAATTGTTACATTTTTATAAGCTTTGAAAATTGAAAATGCTCTGTTAAATCATTGCTTTTTTCATTGTGCAGTCTTTTTTATAATCGCTAAAAATCATTCCGTTTTAATAGTGTCGAAAATATAACATTATTTATTTTTGGATCAATTTATTCAAAATTTCCATTAAAGAAGTTTTAATTTCTTTCCAACCAGCCAGTTTTCAATTTAACTTAAGCATAAGGTAAAACATCTTACTTAGTGCTAACATTGCAGTCGACAGCCAATGAGCATTACTCAGATACATCACAAATATTTGTAAAATTTTAAAAGGGTTGATATCATATAATTGCTTTGCATCATTGATTAAAGCATTCGCTTGCTTTTACATAGGACTGAAAACATCTTATTTCTTATTATATTACTCATACATGCATAGTTGATAATTTAACTCTTTTCATTGCTTGTTTTTAATTATATTTCGTCAGTATTTCAATTCTCATTATTTTTCTTAGCTGGTGAGCCACCTGCTGTTGTAGAACATTTGAAACCTGTCACTTGTGGTTTAAGAAAACCTGCTAAGATGAGTTGCAGGATTACTGGTCTACCCCCTCCAACAATAAAATGGTAATTATAGGTTACTATAACGACGATCGTTATTGAGTACACTGATGAAGAACACATCTTTGTATTTTATTGAATTCAGTTTTTACTGAATCATCTCTTTTCTAAAACAGTACAAGGAAAACTCTCGTCATTGTTACTTATTTTTACCTTCTTCTTTAGAATTAATTGTCGAAGATATTTTAACTAATTATTTATCATAATATCGCAACCAAAATATAGGTCAGGGATGCCTTGATCTGTTTGAAAAATTTTATTAAAAAGTGTCGGGAAAGCAATTACCGTTAAGTACACAAACAGATAGGAAGAAACATCCTTTTTTTTTTTTTGCTATTCATTAAAAATTAAACTAATTACTATAAAAAAAAGATTTAAAAACTCAAAATAATTTTGCAAAAGATAAAACTTACTTAAAGGGTTGCAAATTATGATAAACGTATACCGGGCTTGAGTATACGTATATGTTACGTATATAAGAATATACGTCGATTGAATATACGTATATATGAATGTCTATTTATAAAATTCAATTTCCCCTGCATGTTTTTTCTCCGAAGAAGTTATAATTGATATTTTTTATCAAGTAATAAGGTAGAGGATTAAACATAAATTTAAAAATAAAACGAAACTAAAAGGCTGGTGGAAAAGCCTATGACACATTTTCTCAAATTTTACACGGAGAAAAAAATTCTGGTAAAATTACCGTATTGTACAGAAATAACAATTTTAGTAAAAAACATCCACATAATTATGGTAATGAAACTTAAAATTTAAACCATTCATTTGGTAATTTTTCCATTCATACGTTAATGGTTTATGGGAAATTCTGGCTTTCAAAATTATAATTCTTATTGCCCCACATTAAGTAAACAATACAAAACTGAAAAATAAATTTAACCGAATAAATAGTTTTTATGCCTTGCTCTGAGACATCATCACAGAATTATTACATTTTATCACGGAGTTATAAAACAACATTTTATTTTTAATTTTATCAAAATCATTGTAAAAGCACTTCGGTAAAGATTACCGAGTTTTTTGGTGTTCCCATAGAGCCGGAAACAAGGTAAATTTTACCATATTATGGTTGTTTTAACCAAACTTTTTTTTCTCTGCGTATTTATTATTGTTTTACATATTTAAAGAATTTAAGTAGATTTCTGTGTTTTTGATAAATATTATCATTTTTAGGTTTAAAAATGGTAAAGAATTATTAATTGTCAAAAATATTAAAACTACCTACGAGAACCAAATAGCAACAATGGAAATTGCGGATTCTACAGAAAAATCTGCTGGTAAATACACCTGCAAGGCCACTAACCATTTGGGAACATGTGAAACAAGCAGTGAGCTTAAAATTCAAGGTAAATTCTCTTATTTTATATAAGTATGTATTTACAAAATATACACTACTTGTAAAATTTACTTAAACTTTATTAAGTGAAAGAAATAATACAAAAAAAAAATTGTCTTATCCTTTTTTCATCCTATCAACTTAAATCTTGCAATCTGTTGTTCAATAAATCTTTCAAATTTTACTTTCACATTTTTAATAAATTTCTTAAATTAATGTAAAAAATTGTTTTACTGGAATATATTCATAATATATGAATAAATGCAAAGGTTATAAATATAAAGGATAGTAGATGTTAAAAATGATACTTAAAAAAGGAATTGTTCAAAAAATAGTTTGTTTTTAAGTTCAAATCTAATGTCAATAAGATTTCATTCCCCTGCAAGTAATTATAATTACTTAATTTATTATTTAATAAATTATCATCTAATTAATTGCACTTAATTAGCAATTTATTATATCTAATAAATTAATGATTTTTAATTTAATATATCAAGACATAAAATTGACAGTGTTTTGAAATTTAATAATAAATAAAAAAAAATTTAAAAGCTTTTTTCAAGCTATAAAATTTCTAGACTCCTTAAAATAGATTTTTTTAATTCTTTTCTGATAATGCTTCGATATTTCAATTTCCAGAATCACCGCTGGCGATATTCGATGAAAAAATGAAGAATGTCCGTTTAAAATCATTCAATGAATACGTTCTTGATGTGAAGGTTACCGGCTATCCTCTTCCCGAAATTGTATGGCTGAAGAATGGAAAAGTTCTCGAATCTTCGAAGCACACCTTGGTGCAGATACGTGATGATTCCACCACCATCACCATTCGAAGCACGGAGAATACGGACAGCGGTGTATATACTTTGCAACTCACCAATCCTGCTGATACTGTGAAATATGATTTCAGATTATATGTTCTAGGTAATGAATACGTTTTACAACAAAATAACATTGTATCATGCACCATGTTTTACAATGGTAACCATTATTAAAATCATATTGCCCATTTTTTCAAATAAGTCATTATTTACGATTTTTTTAAGGGGTCACAGTACCTTCACAACATTTTTTTTAAATAAGGATATAATCATTCATTTTGTGGATACTTTACATGCTCATTTAACTTATAATCAATAATTTAACTTCAAAAAGTAATTAAACTGTTTAATTTTTTTTAAATTTTAAAAAAAGTTTAAAAAGTTCAAAATTTTTAAATCTCTAAAGCTTTTTTCATTTTGAACATATTTTCAATAAATTTTTTTTCCTATTGCTTACAATATTCATCTTAACAATTTTGTGCATTTATTTGTTGGTATATCCATTAGAATATTTTTGATAGATTATTTTACAAAAATGTATAAAAAAAAAGGTTAAAAATTCCTGTTTGGTATATATAACATGTTGTAAAAATTGTAATACCTCATAAAATGCTTATTCCATGCAGAGTTTAAATAAGTGTATTATACTTATGATAAAAAAATTTACTTTAAAGCTTTATCTTAAATAGAAAAAATTCCTTAGGGATTTAATTAAGATTGAAACACAAAATTATCATCTATGAGAAAAAGCACTCTGAAGTCTGTCTGCTGTGCAAGTTTCTGTATTAGGACAATATAAAATCATTCATAACTTTTATAAAAATGTATATAGATAGATGATTTGTTTCAGTGAATTTGAAATAGTTTTAAGTTTTATTGTAAACAATAAAAAAAATCGATACTTTGGTCATTTTTTGGGTACTGTGACCCCAACTTCATTCTTGTCGCCTATTCCACAGAAACCGGGCCTGAAAATTTTACCTCACACCGTTAGGGAACTCATACTACCTTTCTCTTTCAAAAAAAAAGTCAATATTTACAAATTTTAATCTTCCTTCTTGATATCTATTTCACATAAACCATATTTAACAGCGTTAACTTATTGGATTATTAAAACCACGTTACTCTTACATAAATCAAATAAATCAACATTTACAAATTTTTAACTTCCTTATTTATATCTTTTCTTCCCAAATCATATTCATCATTAAAATCCTATACAATTTTTGAAATAATATTAACTCTCTTTTTGAAAAAATAAGTCAATATTAACTACTATCCTCATGATATCTATTCCACAGTAAACTGTATTTAACAATATTATTGGACATCTAATATCATCAATAAAATCATTTTACCATTTTAAAAAATCAAATAAATTAATACGGTCGATCAAATGGATCAATATTTACTAATTTTCTGCATCTTTAAATCTTTTCCTCCCAAATCCTATTTAACAGTGAAATCGTCTACCATTATTAAAATGAAATTATCTCCCTTTTTAAAAATAAGTCAATATTGACACAACTACCAGCATGATATCTTATTAAATAGTAAACCGTATTCAACAATATTATCGAATATCTATTATCTTAAATAATATGACCCCTTTTTTCTAAAAGTGAATCTTTACAAATTTTTAATTGTAATATCTATTTCACACAAACCAAATCTAAAATTATCTTTTACCATTTTCAAAATTATTTTACATTAAAAAAAATAAACATCGATATTTAAAAAGTGTAAACTTCATGATTGGTTTTCTTTTTAGACAAACCACTTCCACCTGAGGGCCCAATTGCATTCCATAAAATAGAAAAGAATTCAGTTACAATAGGATGGAAGCCTCCAAGCGTAGGCGCATCGGAGGTTGTTTCTTATATCGTTGAAAAATGCGAAACAAGAAGAAAAATTTGGATGGAGGTTTGTTTGTCATATTTTCCTGTTTAACTTCGTGATTCTAACGTGCCTGATTTTAATTTTGATCTCATGCTCTTATTTCTATAAACTACAAATAGTGAGCATTAACTGCGAATGAATTTTCCTAAAAAATGTGTACACAAAAGCTGTTATGATAACAAATAACTACACTATCTACCAATAAGTATTTGGACACTGCAAATGACTATATCTGCTTTCCTGAGATACGTCACGCCCTCCGCCGGTATATCGTGTAGGGAACAACATCGGCATTAATCCCATGCAAGATGCCTACTGCACTATTTTGGGTGCTTCCTACGTTGTGGCAGTTTTACGGGATGGACTCCTGTTACTTCCAGGACGACAATGTCAGCTGTCATGTTGCTAGGGTCACCAAGACTTGGTATGGTGCCACTGGGGTTAATCGAATGGACTGGCCTGCCCAGACCTGAACCCTATCGAGAACCTCTGGGACGAGTTGGATCGCCGAATTAAGGGGTGTACTGCCCGTTCAAAATCGGTGAAGGAACTTACATGTCTTCTCCATGCCGAGTGGTAGAAAGTACCACTAGCCGTCACACAAGGACTTGTGGAAAGTATGCACCAGTGTGTTCACGCTGTAATTGATTCTCGTGGAGGCTCTAACCATCTATTGATTATGAATAAAGTTTGTTTTTCTTTTCAATATCACGTGTCCAAATACTTATTGGTAGATAGTGTAGAATACTATATTGTTTTTGGCAACTTTCAGAAGTTTTATTTTCTTTAAATGTCTTTTTATAACCCTATTTATTGAAATTCATGGTTTAATATTTCATTACCATTTCAAAATTTAATAAAGTTTGTTTTAGAATAGCTCGTTTATATGTATAATAATCGCTTAAATCAAAATAAGTTACGGGAAACGATATCTTTAAAAATATTTAATGATTCTGGTAATGAAGGATTTTAATTCAATCTCGTAACATGTTTTTGTGGTTATAAGAAGACAATACTTCTATTTACCATGAGAAATTTTTAAAGTTTAAAATTGTTACATATTTTAGCGATCAGATGCTAGTTTTCCAATGTGCAGTTAGGAAATGTTATTTTGAAATTAATTTAATGCCTTTTTTTATTACATGTTTCGTATTTTAAGTTAAACTTTATTTAAAGCGTAAATATAGTAATTCTTTCAAAGTTTTAAGAATCCAGTGTAAGGGTCAAATTTTAGAGTAACTGGTTTAAAGTAAATGAAAAAGGAGTAGGAAGAAGAAAAAAAGAGTGAATTCTACGTTATAAAAATGTATACTGATTTAATTTCTTTTCAAGATTTTTTTTTCTATTTAAGAAAGTAATCTTTTTTTTTTATTTTGGTAAAAATATAATTTATTAATTTAGAAAATAGCTGTTTTCCTTTCATTCAAGAGATAGTTATTTGTGAGATCAAATTTAATAACACAGAAGACACTGCAAAATAAAAAGATTTTATATTATATGTTTTTTACAACTTTATATTTTAATTATTTCTTTATTGCTCCTTATTAAACGTTGGAGAAAAAAAATTTTAGGATATTTTATTTCATTCTCATTTTATCTCAATCATTCAGCTTAAAATGAGGGTCTGGCATTCTGATTATTTTAAAGGACTATTTTAATTTTTTTTATTCCCCAGGTAACCACAGTCACTTCAGATGTTCTCACTCAAGAAATTCAAGATTTAAGCGAGGGCATCGAATATGCATTCCGAGTCATAGCTACCAATGAGTACGGTCGCAGTGAACCACTGACATCTGATCCAGTCACACCCAGAAGTTTGTTCGGTGGGTCTCTTAACACGATATAACAACTATGACTTTAGGAAATTTTAGCAAAAATCTAATGCTTTCAACTCTTTTAGACAAACCTCATGCACCGAAGGGACCATTTACGACTTCCAACATGACGGACACTTCCTTTACCCTAAGCTGGTTAGCGCCAGATAACGATGGCGGATCACCCATCATCGAGTACATCGTCGAAAGAAAAGAGGCCACTCGTAAAGCTTGGCAACGGGTTGCAACAACAGACGGGAAATCTCTATCCATGGAAGTAACTGGTTTGAAAAAGGATACAGCATATCATTTTAGAGTGTGCTGTAGAAATGAGATTGGACAAAGTCCGTATTTCTCACCGGAAGAAACAATCACGCCTGGCCTTAAGATTTGTAAGTGTGATTTATTTTATTATTATTATTATTTTATATACTACAATATTCCGCTGATACAAGTATCATGATTCATATTTTCACAAAATTTAGTGATCTGATTTCCTTTTTCGAAAAAAAAGACTATAAATATTCCAATTTTTAACAATATAGTGGCACAGATTCGAATCAATACAATTACTGTCCAATTCTTATACCAACCACAATTAGGTATCAAAGGTGGTAAACGGATCACATGGGTTAAAATAGCCTTGTCATTCGCCTAATTTCGGGTAATTTGCATGATTTTCCATTACTATAAATGCAAAAATGGATTAGTTTCATTCAAAAGATCTTCCATTTCTGCGAGTTTGGCCCAATAATTGATTCCGAAGTTTTCATCGTCTTCTGAGTTTATTTCAACATTCCAAAGTTACGGAGTTATACATCATAGATAGCTATAAATCTTTTTCATTTTTTTTATTTTTATACTTTAAATTATTATATTTTCTATTTTTTCATTAAAATTTTTTTTCTTTAATCTAATTAAACCATTCTAAAAATGAAAATATTAAGAAACACATCCACTATATAGTAATGAATTCCAGAGCCCAATCTTATAACACAAAAAGGAAAAAACGAGTGAATAGTTTCTGAGCCATCGATTAGAAGTGGTTGAAGAATAGGTTTTTTAAACAACGCAATCGAAGTCTGTATGCCCACTTGTAACTCAACTCAGTACAATTTCAGTGTTACTTCTCTAAAAGTTAAATCGCGAAAAATAATTTTATTTCATTTTTTTTACACATTAAATACTTATAGAAATTTTAAAAGAGATACTTGAGTTAGTGGAAGATTTTAAAGTACACCACTTAATTATTGAAATCTCTAGATTTTAAAATGTTTGAAAACTCGAAATTGAAGGAACAACGAATTACACGAATTATATTGAACGAAGATTTTACATTGTTGTAAATAATATATTTTCGGGGAAATGATAACTCTACAAATTTTTAAATTTTGTGAATTATCCGCATTCAAATTATTTATAATCTGCTGTATGTATTAATTGTTATATCAAATGAACAAAATGAATCATTAAGAGTTATACCACTGCAAGAAGCAGGATTTTTATTTTTTTCCCTTCAAATCCTTTACCGCATATGTTTTTTCCCTCCATAGCACCGCCTTCATCGCCAGTTGGTCCTTTGGTAGTTTCAAATATGACCAATAAGACACTCACTCTTAGCTGGAAACCACCTGCAACCACTGGTGGTGCTGAGTTGACAGCTTACATAGTGGAAAAGAGGGAATCAACAAAGAAAGCATGGAACAGGCTTGAGACCCTAGCTCCACACATTAGAAGTTATACTGTACACAATTTAACCCATACAAAAGAATATTTCTTCAGGGTATTTGCTGAAAATCCAGCAGGATTAAGTCCTCCTCTGGAAACAGAAAGTCCAATTAAACTAACATCCACTACAGGTAAGATATTTTATGATGCAATTCATTTCTTTTTAAAATCTGCAATAAATTTTCCTCCTTTTTCAATGGTAGGATCGATTTGTTTTATAGTAGTTCAAAGGAGTTAAAATTATAGCGTACTTACTACTAGTAGTCTAGTAATAAGTACGCTATAATAATGAATTGCATCGCTATACATATGCTTCGCTGTACATACACTATAATGATGAATTGCAAGTTCACTATGATAATGAATAAGTCAGTCTTTAAGTGGCTTTAGACAACATTGCATTTCGTATTATTACTTTTTTATCTCTTTACCTCGATGCAGCAAATTTCAGAAAGTTAATACCTAACAATTGTTGAGCATCAAAATTAATCTTTTATCTAACTTATGTTGTACTGATATAATTTCGTTATCAAGAAGGCAAATAAGAATTGAATATTTTCGCAAACTTGTATGCAATATAATGCATAAAAACAACCCAGTTTTCAAGAAACCTTTCTATTTTGTTTCTACAAGGCTAAAGGATACTACACTCGGGGAATCTTAAGTGTGTGATGTCTTGTCTAAAATAGCTTAAGTTTGAAAATTAGCAAAAAATTTCATTTTATATAATTTTTTTAGCCAGTAAACGTGTTAGAGAAAATATAATATTTAAATCAAATTCAAATAGAGTGTTGCTCATCGCAAGAATTAGGCACATCAATGCTGAAGAACTTAATACTTGAAGGACCATACTATGATTTTTATACATCATCTGTCCCTCTGCAATTTGGTACTTGCAACTTGAGAAGAAGACTAAGTGATTTGGCCCTTGTGATTTAATTGGATACTTGTAAGCGGCGTTACGCGCGTGTGTCAAACTTGATTGGCTACTGAATCGTGGCATAAACAAATGCCACGATTGACTCTGAAAGACGCCGCCTGCAGGTATCCAATTAAGAGTTGAGAAAAATTATTGTCAATATGTAACGTAAATAACTTATCATGACGCCATCATGAAATGTAAAAAACTTTATAAACTCAAAAGTAAATTTTGATAATGCAACTATTTTTTTTATTTTATTGTAACGGCAGCCTGTTTTAATTTTGCAATTAAAAGCATTGTAATTTTTTTTCTAAATAGAAGATATATTTTTTTCAAGTTTTTAATTTGTTCAATTATCTTACTCCTAACTTACTCTTTTATTTCATTATTTCTTTAACAGATTCGATAAATTATTCAAATATTGAGCTTTTCCTGTGAATTTCAATGTGTTTGCAATTATCTTATATTTATTATTTAATTAAAAATTTCATTGGTTATTTTTTATCATTAATTTTAATTAATCTGTGTTAAATTACAAAATCTTGATGAGAGCATGTTTATAAAAATAGAATAAGTCTTAGTCGATGAGTTAGTTTTGAATCTTCTAATATCCTATTTTTTAAATTTTAACGTAGAACGACCATCTCCTCCAACTGCTCCGCTAGAAAAAGTGGTTACTGGTCCATCCTCTATCATGTTGGCCTGGGGACGACCGGAAACTGATGGCGGTTCACCCATACTGGGATATACAGTTGCTTTGAGAAATGTTCGAAGAATAATGTGGATGGAGGTGAGTTTGGAATAATTCAGTTTTAACGTTTCTAACTTTTTGTTACATAAAACTTTAACTGTCTTGTCATCATATTAATTGTTTGTCATACCATGTTTACATTTCAACGTAACATTAGCATACTTCACGAGAATTAAAGAGTTTTTATTTAAAGAAGTCCTTAATCGTTTTTTTTTTGTTTTTTTGTTGTTTCACATTACTTTGGCGCTTTTCTGCAGAAATGTTACGCCATTATTTTAGGGATAACAGGAAGGCTGGTGTTGATTTTCATCGCCACTGTCTTAATCATTTCGCTAGATTCAGTGTCATTATTGACAATATTAATGATCATTTCATCGGATCAGATTGTTGAATTTCGTTTTCCTAAATGTTCGAAGCATAAAATTCAGATTTTTTTCCGGCTGTAGTTTTAAAAATAAAAATGAACTAGAACAAAAAAAAATCCTTGAAATATTTGATAGCTCGGTTAAAACGAAAACTCGGATAATCTGGGCTCGGATTATCGGGACTCTATTGTTCTCATTTTTGAGCAAAATGCAGTTTCGAAAAGGATGTGACGTGTGAGAGTGGATGTGACGTGCTGCCTGCAGGATACAAACCAAAGAGCCACCGTGATCGTAGTTGGATGTTTTAACCACCATAAATGTACAACCTAATCCAAGAAGAGTTAAGAAGCTATAGATAGAGGTCGTCGCAATGACACATCATGACCTACTAATTTCCAGTTTCAATGGAACAAAGGGTTGAAATTTGGAAAATATAGTCCTAATAGCTTAGTCAGTAATATTAATTTCACTTTTTCGCTTATGTCGCTATATCTTAAAAACTTTTAAGTGAATAAAATATGTTAAGCTTCCTAACACTTCCTAATCTAAATTGTACAACTGTGGTGGTTAGAGCATCAAACTATGAGGCCGAAGGTTTTTAGTTCGAATCCTGCTGATACCTGACGAACATCCTTCTCTCATCTCTCACTTTCATCTTTCCACATCATTTTTGAAACTACGCATTTTACTCTAAAAATGAGTACATACTATTTCAATTTTGAATACACAGGGAATTTCAAATTCGACAATCAATTGTTTCGGAGCTATTTAAATACATTTTAGTTCAATTTTGTGAAACTTTTTTAAAACATGAAATCAGTTCCTTGGTCACAAATTAATATCCAAGCGGAGAAATAAATATAAACGCAATGGAAACACCAGTGAAAAAGATGGTATTAAAATATCAAAATCGATTTGATTACCCAATAAAATTTGGAGACGTTTTAAAAATAGCCTTTTAACCTCTCTCTTCCCTCCAGAAATCAATTTTTTTTTTCATGTTTTAAGTCTTACCTATTGATTATTCGACTGATTTCGATAGCGTTTTTGTTTCTTTCCCACTAAGGTATTCGTTTGAATCAAGTTAAACCCTGATGTCTTAGTCGTTTGATTTTCAGCAGCTATGGTTGTTTCAGGTTGAGATACATTTTAGTTATATTTGAGGGGACGTAGCTGAAGAAAGATTTAATTAAATCCATTAAATTTTAGCATTTAATGTCTACATATCTGTGGCTGGGTGGCGCAGTTGGTTTATCGTCGGCCTTCTGAGCCCAAGTCTGCGGGTTCGATCCCCGGCCCAGACACCGGATTTTCGGGAAGCAGAAAATCATCAGCGGCCATGTCGTATGATTATGCGGCACGTAAAAGATCACTCGAGTGCCTTATTGGCTCTTGGCATTTTCTGTCAAAATTAAATTCCTAGTGCACTTTAGCATCTAAAATAGAGTCTCGGTGCTGCCATCTAGTGTGGCAGAAACTAGACGTCCAAATCAACATGACCAACGGTATCTCACCCATTGTGGTGGTCCTGAAAGAGTGGATACCACCTCTGGAGAACAACTAGGTCTGCTCATCGGCAAGACCGATTGTGAAGCTCATTGGAAATTTAAAAAAAATGTCTACAAATCTATGCAGATATAATTTAACAGATTCTTGAAAGGGGTACAAAAGATAATTGAATTGAAAGGAAAATGGACTTGGAGCAATTTAGTGATAAGCGTCACTTTTAACAAATGCGGTATTTTTGAATCCAACTCTTGCTATTTTCCCAAGGGAAAATACTTCATAGAATCTTTACTAAATGAAAGCACATTATATTAAAATATCTTATCGTTGTGACGTTTTTTTGTTTTATTTATTTATTTTGTTGACAGAAGCGTTCTCCCGAACAATTTCAAAATGGAGCTTATCCTTATATTTTCCCAAACAAATCAATTGATAAATCTAATTTCGAAAATGGTAACACTAATTTTAAAAGTTAAAACACATCTAAATATTAAAAAAATATAAAAAATAAAAATAATAAAATAAATTTGGAAATAAACTAGTACAAAGTAAGCTAGTTTTAAGATTTTTATGCACTTTGAAGAATTCTATTTTTCTGATTTTAGAATTTTATATTTATATTTTACAAATGTTATTTATTAGTTATAGATATTCAATTGTTTTATATATTTTAACTAAACAAGTATGTTTGTAATTATGCATGGATTTCCATCATTTTACAGGTTGGACAAGTAGACGGAGAGACGCAAAAGATACAAATAAAAGATTTACAAGAAGGTGCCGAATATATGGTTCGAATAATGGCAAGGAATGAAGTTGGTATCAGTGATCCACTTGAACCAGAAGAATCGGTGAAAGTTATTCGACCTGAAGGTAGGTGGAGTTACAGTTCTTTCCTTTTCCAATAATATTCAACTTCACTTATAAGATATTCACAAATTTTATACAATTTAAAAAAAAAAAAATTTGAATTTGTATTAAACTCTAATGATGAAAATTTTAAAAAAATTGATAAGTGAGATTTAATCCGCTTGAAAATATGTAATGAAACTGTAATGGGTGTTTATTAACTATTAATTTTAAAAGCGGTCGATACATAATATCTGATTTTTATAGAAAAAAATGGTAACTTCTGTAAATATCTAATATCTTTTTGAAATTAGCCCTGAAAATCTTGTTTATTTATGAATATTCACTTAAATAACTTAAATGCGATATTTTTTATGCTTTTTTTTGTACTTACATTAACCACTAATATTTGCATACATTTTTAAAGCTTTTTTATATTTTATACAATTTGTTAAGTTTTTGCAGTGCATAATGCCAAATTTTGCTTCTAAATACAATATTGTTACTTCCAATTTAATTTCGAATAATATTTCTTGTAATTTTTTTTTTACATTTTTACTAATAAAATAATTGAAATATTTTTGTCTAAATCAAATTATTTTGTCTACATGCTCCTCATAAAACTTTATTCTTTTTGAAGCGTGTTTAAATTAAAAACAGTCCATTGGAGCATTTTTCATCTCTTCGTTAAATGTTTGGATATATTTCATATTTTTGAATTCATCCACAAATCTTTGAGTTATTTCTTGAATAATTTTTTAACTATTAACACCTTAATGCTCAAAAAGTAAAGCCTGTGCTGTATAATTAGAGAATGTTTGTCTAAAATAAAATAAGTATCTGAAGTATGTTATTTAATATTGATCCAATTCCATTTACTATAAAAACTTAGTTATAGCCACAGTTTCTAGTCATACAAGTTAAAGTAATTGTAAAACTAATATTCCAACAGCATATTTCTGCAGCTAATGAGAGTTTCAGAGCCCACCACAATTTCACTTTAGCGCTATAACATCTCGAAATGAACAAATATGAAGTCTCCAACTATTCAAATAAAGTCTTCATTTATGCCGAATAAAATTTAAGGACATTCATTCCTAGGCTAGTCTAAAATTTTAACAGTACGAGATGACTAAACCTGATGGTAGTTAAAGGGATAGAGCGTATGCCTCCCATTGAGGTTAACCTGGTTCTAATTCCAGCTGTGGCCTGTTAAAATAAATTCTGCTCTCGATTTGCCCAGACCACAATGCCGTTGTAAAAATATCCTCACTGGTAGGAGGATCATGGGTTAGAATGTCCTTATCGTCGCCCTAAACATGGGATGTTTTCGTGGTTTTCTTCACCATGTAATGCTCATGCTGGCTAATTTGATCACATAATCCTCCACGAAATCTAATTTGTCCCAATGATTGATCCAGGAGTTCCTTTGTCTTCTGAGTTGGATTTAAAATTACAAGGCTACGCGGAGTTGAACATTGATAGTCGTAAACTCAGAATTGATCCTGCCATTCAACACCGGTTATAAAATAAAATAAAATCTCTTCTTTTATATTCTTTAGTGGTGAAAAATAACCATGCGTAAGAAAGTAATGTAAGAATAAAAACTAGTACCACTCTTCATAATAGAATAACTTGCCATGACTGTTGTCTAGACAAAACTGTCCAACTGTATTAAAACAAACCCCCCAAAGATACCATAAGGTTTATGTACAGCTAAGGTTCATCCAGATAAGGTTCAGCGGAGCAACGCAGGTATTTTAGCTGGGAAATGGCGTGATGTAAACAGAATATTGGCAGCGCGAAACGTGATATGAACAAAAATTATGCGGATGCAAAACCTTAATTCAACATATTCCTTGTAAGCAAAATCCTACTTCACAAAGTCTCACGAAGGGGAAATTATTGTGTACAAAATAGCATCGTAATAAAAATAACCACCATATAGTTGCGAGGAAATTTTGACCGTTTATATCCATTAGTTAACATGATTTGCATAAGAGGGGTTTTATTTGCACAAGGTAACAAAATCTCGCGTCAGGAACAACACGCCATAAATACTACTTTTTTTTGTTTGAGGCTTGTCCATGCCTAACAAGTACACAATAGACTTTGTGACTACCAATAAAAAATATTTTTTAATTAGAGAGGGAATCTTTTGTACTCGGACACGGCACTATTCTTGATAAATATTCTATAAACCATACAGCATAGACAGTTAATATTCGGCTATTTAACTGAAGTTCCTGTTTGTTCCCACTAGGATTCAAAGAGTCTGACAAACCGGACGTAGATGAGAAGACCATCTCAGTGAGTTATAGCACAGAGACCTCCTCATCTTGGATGCGCGAGGCCAACGTGGAGCCCCTGCTACGCAGTTACACCAAACACATACTCGCAGGAAGAAATGAGTATTTCTTCCGAATATGGCACCTAGCAGAGACTCTTTCGAAATAGACTCAAAATGTTTTTCTACTCACATTGTGATACATTGATGAATAAAAATCTGGGAAATAACTAATCATTTTTTTTTTTTAAATCGCTGCGGTACTTTTAATATGGCTAAAAGCATGCTATATGAGAACGTGTTTTGTAAAAAAAAATGGCACCAGTACTTTCCCTGACGGGTGGGCATGTTTTAAAACTAAATTTAATTAAGTTAATGCGAACTTAATATTTTAACTAAGCAAAACCTATCTTTAACAGATATTCGATACAAGTCCATGGACAAAACTTGCTCTTCCGGTGCCATAACAGAATTTAATTTTTTGGCAGCATGTCTTTATTCTATTCGAACATAAATAAACAAGTTCTTCTCAGGGCTAGAAATAAGTCTATTTTTTTACATTATTAAAATGTATTAAGGAAAATTACTATTTGAATAGTATTTATGCAACTTAAAGCCGTTTTCTCCCAGATTTTGGTTCATTAATTATTTTTTTATATATTTAGGCAGCTCTGGTAGCGCCTAACCCTGTACAAAATGTGTAAAATATTTTTACTGAGCCTTTTTGTGCTCACTCTATTTTTATCAAGACTTTTGCCAGTATTAAATGGTTACTCGGAAATGTACCATTTACGATATAGAGAAAAGATACGTCTTCTGTGTACACACTTGTACTTAACGATATTTGTTTTCGTTCTATGTTCCTATACATCAGTATGGAATATTTCCAACTGATAGAGAAACTAATATATTCAGTGTTTTGTTGATTTGTTGTTAGAATCCCTCCATCCCTGTGATATGTGGTTGTGATGTATTTTCTGTCAAATAAAATTAGTCTATCCTGTTTAGTAGGTTGTTTTCTTCATTTGAAAAACACATGTCGATTTGAAATTCAGCTCATCCTGTAACATGTTGCAGAACAAATAAATCTTTTTTATGACCACTGTAATAAAATTGTCATAAACTTCCGAGTTTTTACAAACAACTTATTTGCCTCCGTTAAAATGATTGGGAGAAAAGGTTTCTTGTCTCTGTTGCAAAAAGTTGTATAACTTTGTAATTAGTTTCTTATTATTATACAGAATGTTTCTTAAGGATGGATATATATATCCTTAAGAAACATTCTGTATAATAATAAGAAACTAATTACAATGTTATACAATGGGCATAATATTGCGTCAAGAGTTATAAAAATATAAATTGTACAGTAATTAAACAGCAAAACATTTTTATTCATAAATAAATTATTCTTATAGTATTCAAACTTAATTGGTGGTACTTTTACTCTGAAGTCTATTGATTACCATCAATTTTTGTAAAAAAAAATATTCATATTGACACAGTTTTATGAAATCTTATCTTAGTTCCTCTAAAAATAAAACTTAGCTTATATTTTTTAGCTGTTAAAGAAGCTGATATAACTGTATTTAAATTAACCATATTAAAATTAATATTATTTGGAACTAATATTATTGGGAAAAATTCAAGATCCCCTTTTACTGTATTCTGAATTGCATGCCTCCTAAGAAAAAAGACTTGGGCACACCTCTTCAGCAAAGAAACCAATATCACTCAATACCTCCTAGAAAAGAGAAGACCTCCGCACTGATTGCCGTAAACAAGAAATTTGATCCTTTAGTAGTCCAAACGTAGTGACCTCTTTCGTATTAACCACTACTGCGCAGTTTAGTAGCCCGAACTTAGCGACATCTTTATTATTTTCATCCACTGCGAAATTTATGTTCGTTACGTCGGTCTACTGAATTGATCTGTGCTGAGGCCTTCTTTCTCCTAGGAGGTGTTGTGTCACTACGGGTTAAAAAAAAATCAATTTTTTTTTTCAGTTATTCTTTTGATCTTCGGGTGGTTCATGTGGCTGATTTTATGCGGTCTTAAGTTTTTGTGTGCGTGCTCCAAATATTCTCTTAGTCTTTTTTACTCTGGCGTTGTTTAACTATAAAGATCTTTTCGTAACATTTGTGGGAATGACACAAAAATTGCCTTTGATAAAGCAATAAACAATATTTGTTTCGTTTTCTAGTAATTAATAATAAAGCTTTGCTTTTAATTTTAATTTTAAAGAAAATTTAATATTTGATTTTAATTCTCAAATATAGCATTCTAAGATAAATTTGAATTTAATATTTGATCATGGAATTTTATTTTCTGTTTGTCTCTATAGCTTGAGAGACTATATATAATTTGAGACTGTAATATTTTGAATTGTTTAGGGCGAATTTTGCAAGTCTGACTGTATTTTTTTTCTCAAATCCAACTAATAGATTGAACAATAATAATTTTCCAGTGTACAGACATTCATTACAAAATACAGCCAGCTCATTATAAATTTAGCTAGAATAACTATATTGGTCCAGATATATTACTTTAATAATTTCAAAAAATCTAATTAAAATTCATCGTTTTAATCGAATTTTTCTTTTGGTACTTTTTACCACATGACTATGATTCATCGAAATTTAATTACATAACGAGTTCATTTACATGTTATACTCAAAATGAGCTAGAATTATAATTTTTTTTCAGGAAGCGTTGGATTCAAAATTTGATTACCATTAAAAAAATCTTGGTTCGTCCCTCTGATTATTCAAAGTAAAGCATGAAGTTAGTTAGTTAAAAAAAACCCAGTTAAGATAATCGTTGAGTAAAATCATTGGAATAATTTTTATTTCAAAAGGAATCATTTGTGAACCAAGTCGTCCTGAAGGTCCTCTTGTGATTAGTAATATTCAGGCTGATTCAGTTCATCTGTCATGGAAGCCACCTCTTGAAGATTACGGTGGACCGATATTAGGATATGTTATAGAAGCAAAGGACGTTCTTCATATGGATGTATGTATGAAAGATGTTTATATTTTTTTATGGTAAATAAACTAACAAATTTCCTCATTCGAAAAAGCTAAGAGAATATACCATATAATCAAGGCTAACATAACTCGGGAGAGGGCTGAATTTTTCTCGTACCGGTTTAAAAGATAGTGAAATAATCGCATTTAAAAACGAAATTTTAATCAACGCATTAAATGAAAGTAGTATGTTACACCGCCGTCATTCATAATAATCCTAGTCCTCGTTCGCTACAGATAAAATGGACAAAATATTTAGATAAATTTAATGTGTGTAGAATCGTAATTCTTTTCTTTTATTCAAACAAAAACCAATTAGCTCCTAGATTATTTAAATATGTGCATATAATCTGCAGTATTTATTTTAAATTTATGTCTTCAATATTTGAATTTAAAAAAAACAAGTATAAAGGAAAACTACTATCACCAATTCAAAATGACAAACTTTCGAAATTTTCTCAACGTATAGCGTTCGTAAAAAAAGTGTGTGATAATAAGTAGTAAGTGCTAATCATCAAATGTTTATATTATTTAATGTCGAACAAACATTAAGAAATTTGATTAACAACCTTGGTACTCGCAACTCGAGAAGAAGTGATTATGCCTAACCACGCTAATTAAATGAGATATAATTGGATATCTGTAAATGACGTCACGCAAGTCTGTCAAACCTGATTGGCTTCTGAATCGACAAATGCCATGATTTACCTACGATGACGTCACTTACAGGTATCTAGTTGTAAGCTGCAGCATTCTCTTAAACGTGTTTATTTCTATGATTTTATTAAGACACTGGCTATTTTCACGATAGTTATTAGAACACTATTTTCAAAACTGTACACAGTTTTGTTATTTTACACCATTTTCTGAAAGATCAGAAAACTGCAAGTTATATTGCAATTTATATGTTTTAATAAATCAGGAATGTTTTAGTTGGGCTACTTCTTTGATTTTTTGGGCTTTAGTTAGGCTGATTCTTTGATTTTTGCACCAGTAGTTATACAAGTTATAATTATTTTCTAGCAAAATTTATCGCCAAATAAAATTTCTAGCACTTTTCGACAAAAAAAGATTAACAAACACACAACTTTTAAAGAAGAGAAAAAGGAAATGAAAAATTTGAAGCTAAGTTTAAGTGAACTCAAAAGGTGAAAATGTTCCGAGTTGATATCATAATGAATGATAATTGATAGAATGATAAATGATAATTGATGACAATGATAATTGATATAATGATAAATGATACCAAACCTAATACGAAAATCATCGGATGCTAACAAAAGACAGCGAGTGGTTTCTGCTGGTCACGGGGAGGTTTTTGGAAAGTAACCTGCCATTTATTTTTTATTTTAGGTCAGTAAAAATTGAAACTTTTCCTCCTTACAGCTAAAGTACGTAATGTTTAAAACCATTTATTTTATTTTGATATCGTTTAAAATGCTGTGATTTTAATTTAAATTATCTTTGATTTGTTATTTAAGTTATAATTAAAATAATTTTATGTTTACTACATTTTCGTGGACATTGAAAATTCATCTTCTATCAAATAAAAGTGGTAGTGAATTTTTAGATTTTAAAAAATTCCATAACATAAAGTTTAAGCATTTAAACAATCAAATCAAACCTAATTACAATTAGATTTCGTTTAGAATAAAACAGGCTGTCTTATGTTGTATTCTAATATAGGTGTTAAACTATTTTTGGTTTTTAAGGTAAGAAAAATAAATTTTTGGTCAGATGGACAAAATACCGAATATGATGTCACTGGTTTGGAAACATCGCATATTTATCAGTTTCGGGTGTACGCTCAGAATGTGGCTGGACGGAGCGAAGGCTTGTTGAACAAAACTCTGGTCCGAATTAAAGCTGCTAGTAGTAAGTTCGAATTTTCATTAAAACTGTTTTTCGGAAGCTCTCTTATTTGCATGAAATAAAGTTTATCAGTAAATTATACGCATTTTTTATGACTACTGTGAAATTGTAATAGTTATTTATGACTGTAGGATTAATTTTAGCTCATCTATTATTTTCACATTCTATACTAATTACTAAAATAGTAAAAAATATGAACATTTAGAGTCACAGTTTTGGGGGGGAAAAGTGTTTGTGATTTAATTATTTTGCGATTCAAAAAGTTATTTTAGCACTGCAATGCCTGGTTTCGTAAAAATTTTCACAATTTAACAATTATTTGCTTATTTTAGAGATTTTCCTCCAGGTAGGAAAAATTTGCCGAATTTTTGATTTTTAAAAACTTTTATTATTAATCTCTTTGTTGGTCACAAGATTCAGATAAATTTTTACAATAAGATAGGGGAGAGCGTTGTACCTTCTGACTAACAGCATAGCCCTGCCATCAACTGGAGAGTAACAAAACTGACCTGACATAATTGGTCCCTTAGACCAACACCTCCTAGAAGAAAGAAGGCCTCAGCACGGATCAATTTAGTAGTCTGACGTAACTAACATAAACTGTGCAGTAGATGAAAATTATAAAGATGTCACAACGCTCGGGCTACTAAGCTGCGCAGTGGTGGTTATTGTGAAGGATGTCATTACGTTTTGACTACTAAAGGATCAAATTTGTTGTTTATGGCAACCCTAGCTGAGGCCTTCTCTTTTCTAGGAGGTATTACTTAGCACCAAGAGTTAGCGTATGTTAGCTAGCAACTTTAAAGTGAAATTTGTGGGAGCTAGAAAATAAAAAATAAAAAATTTCATCGGAAAGTAAATTATTATTATTTCATTTATTTATTCTTCTATTTCTACTAATTTATTATTTTTTTAAATTAAGATAGTGTATTGAACTTTTAATTGGGTTCTACTACGGTTAGTTAATCTGAACCACTAACGGCAAACACTTTTACATGCATATTTTTTTTTCAATGTGTTATACACCATGAGACTAAATTGTTAAAACGGGAACGAACGGAATCTTGTGCTTATCAAAACGGGAACGAGCACTTTCATTTTAAGAAATGAAACTGTTAATGAAATAGATGAAGTTGAAATAATATGTAAATTGCCTTCACCCTCAGAAACAAGGTCTTCAGTGCGGAAAAAGCACTCACTCAAGTTCCCTGTGAATTTCAGTGCATTTGCCATAACCGTGGACTAATCTGATAGATAAAGACCTTTTTTCCATAACGTTTTAAATGTTATAATCATTAAATAAGATTTATTTACTAGATTTTATTTATTTTGAATTTAGTACCAAGGTACAATAACCTGCATTCTAAGGTACAACATGGTGTTGCAAATTGAGATACTTTGCAAGGGTGTAAAAAATAATTTATTACTTCCTTATAAAGTAAAATAGTATTAATTTTGAAGTGGTATAGATTCTTTAAAAAATCTTTAATCCAAGCAAAAATTCCAAGTTAAAATAAAAATATTGTTCTCAAACTGTCCCAAGGTACAACGCCTTCTTCTATAGATTAAAATTATAGCTTGGCTTAAAAATCTTTATCTTCACTTTCACTACAACTTTTTTTACAACAACTATTTAGCTTTTGGGGTGAAAGTGCTTTGATAAACACTCTTAAAATATTTTAAAAAACAGGACCAAGAAACTGAAGCGGTATGACTTGATTCATTCACTTCAAAAATATATGAATAGGAAATAACAGTCGGATTGCTTCCGTTTTTCGAAAGCAGGCGTCCATTTTCAAGACTTACCAGACGTTAATGAAAATAAAAAGTGATTTGAAATATTAAAGTGCTTGAGACACGTCGACTGTTATTTCTTATTTATGTATGTTTGAAGAGAATAAATTTTTTAATCAAATAGTAACCTTAAAGTAGTAAAAAAATGATAAAAAATTTAAAAAATACGTTAATTTTTTTCGGTTGTACTTTTTTGAATTTAAAAAAGAAACTACTTCTAAATTTTTTAACTAAATTAGATGCATTTTCTTTAAAATTGCATGAATTTTAATTTTTTTTCTATATATTTTATCTTTACATCTACTATTTCATCGATCAGAAAAACCTCCAACTCCATCAAAACCTTCAGTTGAAATACACGATAATGATTCGGCGCATCTACAGTGGACCGTTCCAACTGTTACTGAAGACCTCAACTACATAATAGAGAGATTCGAACCCAAGTACGGCATGTGGATACAGTGTAATAAAGAGATCATAACCAGAACGTCGTATCTTGTGACAGGCTTAGCTCCAAACAGAGAATACACCTTTCGCGTCAGCAGCGAGAATGTGCACAGTGTGAGTAAGCCAAGCGAAAAAACTGAGACGATTTATTTAACGGAAACGATATGTAAGTACTAAAAAATAGACAACAAAAGTGTTTGTATTTGAAATTGAAAAAAATTAAAATTCTGATCCCCTTGTAGGTGAACAACCTGTAATAATCATTCCAATCGCTGACTGTTTCGTGGAACAGAATGGCTTAGCAGTGTTTGTGTGTGAATTTACTGGTACTCCTCCTATTCAAGTGATATGGTAAAAAAAAAACCTTATTCAAATCTTATCCTGATAATAAAATGGAAGATAGGGTTAATAATGTTTCAAGATCAATAATTAATTAAAATTTTCAATTTCTCAAAAAAGAACAATGCAATGAATATTGCGAATAATCATTCAAATAATCTTAAAATGATTTGAAAAAAAAAAAGGATAAAGTTCTTTTACAGTAAGCAAAACTTGCGTAGCAAAAATCAGAATTTGAATTGACATTTTAAATTTGCTTATGATTAGGGTGAAAAACTGAGAGAAACTGCTATGTTAAAAACATCTTTACACCGTCAAATGTACACAAAAAGTCAGTGAAAAAACAGGAATTTAAAAAATCTGAAACAGCATTAAAAAATCTAAATTTTTCTTTGAACAGTTTTTCCTGTAAAAAAATTTTTCCTGCATAATTTACAGTTACTTTTTACAGTATGTGAAACTTTACATTAGGTAAAAAAATATTTATAATTTTATTTTTAAAGCATGAAAAATGCAGAAAAAAACTAACTTTTGGGTAGAAAATTATGCATACATTTTAAAATTTTTGTATTTTTACACTACTGATTTTGTATATGTACTGTGTATACTTCTTTTGAAAGTTTTTGATACAGATTTTTTCATAGCTTTGCTCATACATAATCAATAATCAATCTTTGCAGGACAAAAGATGGAATACGCGTACGAGAGAGTTCTTTTTCTACAATAAAAAGCGAAGAAGGTTTAAAGTCAGAACTGAAACTACAGGAAGTGGAATCTGATGACGATGATGTTATTATTCAATGCATTTTGAAAAATTCTGCTGGAGAAATCACTTCAGAAGCGAAGATTAAAATTCTCAGTAATCTTTTCCTTATTTAACTCAACCTACTTTATCTACTTTAATTAAACGAAACGATTAAAACATTTTAATAAATTTAATTGGTACATTTTTCTTACAAGTAAACTAAATTTTGTAATAAATATATCTTTGTAAATTTTATTTACAAATGTAAAGATACTAGAAGAAATATTCATAATTCAACAAAACTGAACTAAATAAAAAAGTCATACATAGTAGTGCTTCTTTTATATTCCGACATCCTAAAATATACTAAAAAACTTTTATTTAAAAAATAAAATGTAAATGTCTTTACTTTTTCAAAAAAAATGAATAAAAAAATTAATGAAAATGTTATTTTGAGGGAAACAATTCGCGAAGAATCTTAATAGGTAATGAAATAGAAAAAAATCAAATTTAAGATACTTATTAAAAATAGTTTTGAAAGATAATTGAGATGATAAGAGGAGAAAGAACTGTTTATAGAATAAATTGTTTAAAAAGAAATATTTGTGAAATGCATAACTATACAAGAGTTTTTCAATTTATCTCTCAAAATAACAGAATTTTTATTCTAATTTTATAGTTTAAGTTAAGTTTTCGGTTAGGGAGGAAAATCTTGAAGTAATCATTTTCAGCCAATAATGTTTTTCATCTCTGAATCGAATTAAAGTTAGCGACTTATTTAAGAACAAAATTGTATATTTTGATTATTTATATTTTAATAATTTGTTTTTAAAACAGAAATAAAATCACGCATGATTTCAGAAACTAAAATATATTGTTCAAATGATGAAATTCTCTTTTATTCGCAACTCAAAAAGTATTTGGGATCTCTCTGGTCCCATATCTCAAAAATAAACTCAGCAACTTAATGCATAATAAAATTAAAAGTGAAAAAAAAGGAATTCTAAAAAAATTATCAAGCAGCATCAGTTGACATAGCAACGCATGCTATGACGACGCATGCGCACTGTTTACTATTACTCTTGAACACAGTTGAAAAGTGTGATGACTTCCAAATAAAGTGCGCACGCCATCAAACCCAAAACAACACCCATTTGGCCAATGGGTAAAAACTATCTGCGAAAAAAAGAAGTCAGCCCAATTGATGAGTGACACTTCGGGTACCCTAATATCTTCAAACATTTTAGACTTTAATATTCTAATCTAATCATTCGAATGAAGCTTGCCAAATTTCCCAAACGTGATTACTTTCTTCCATTTTAGGTCCACCTCGAATCAGTTGTCCACCATCTTATAGAGAGGGACTAACTTACGACATGGATGACACATTGAGAATTCGCATAACAGTGCTTGGGACACCTCTACCAAAAGTGGAATGGTTTCTCAATGAAGAAGTCGTGAGCACCCGTGATGAGTTTGAAGTCATCCAAGATCACGAATCTTTCGAATTAAAAAAGAAAGATGTAACCAGGAATCACTCAGGAAATTATAAATTCCTCGCAACTAACGAAGTGGGTGAGGATCATCTAACCGTTAAAGTTACCGTGTCTGGTACGCATTATGTTTGCTAATATTATTTCTCGCCATGCTAACAAATTTCATTTAAGTATAACTAAATTTCAGAAATTTCTATACATTAAACCATACAACTTTTTCTTTAAAAAAAAAAATATGTTCTTTAAAATAAAAAAAGTCTCTATAAAATAGTACAATGTTTCCAAGCTGTTCAGAAACAGGGGGCATTTTCAAGAATGTAAGGTACTTACGGCATTTGCCTTTATTCAGTTTGGTTTCTTACAAAGCTTTTTTTCCCCTTTTTTTCAACAAAAAGAAAAATAATGAAATAAATAAACCAGTCTTTTCTATCACACTAATTTAATATTTTATTTTTAAACCGGGGGTGAACATCCTACCCAATTCTGAGTTTACGACTATCAATGTTCAACTCGTAGCCTTGTAATTGTGAACCCAATCCAGAAGACAAGAGAACTCTTGGGTCAAGCTTTGGGGCAAATTGATCTTCGAGGGGATTTTCAAATTAATAAACCCACGATCACCTTACATGGAGAAAAAACGACGAAACCCACCCACAGTTAGCCCGGTAATAATAGGAATTTGACCCATGATCCACCATGACCACTGAAGTTATTTTACGTCAACACTGAGTTCGATGCAAACCGAAAGCAGAATTCGTATCAACCAGCCACTGCGGGGATTCGAATCTGAGTCACGTAATTGAAAGGTGAACGTTAAATCCCCTGAGCTCAATTACATTCATTAAAATCATTAATTTTTTAACATAAATATTAAGACTAATAGCTAAATTTGGATCCTTAAAATGTCATTTCTGTTCATAACCTTATAGCCAGATATTTGAAGTAGATTTTTAATTTAATTACAATGATAATCATATTAAAAAATATTTTAAATAAAAATTGTTCACATTTATGCTTCGAAATGCTTAGGTTATAAGAACTTTATGTTACATTTTTCACTAACTAGCCAATTTATAAGAAAATTAATAAGAAAAAATTTCCCTATTATCTGTCAAATGTAATTTTAATAATACAAACACTGTCATTATAAAAATGTGACAAGAAACTTGCGATTAAAATATCGATATTTTCAATAATTGTTTATCACATTTGATTTTAAAAAAAAATAGCAGTTTAATGATTGGTGAACTCATTATTTTAATTATATTTCCAACTCTTCGAATTTATACATCCCAGCTTGTCTGAATTGAAATAAATAAATGTATGCTATTCCAGGTCCTCCAGATCCCATAAAAGACGGCCTTATCTTTGATTTTGATGAAGATGAAGGTGTAGTTATAAAATGGAATCCACCCTCTTGCGATGGAGGAAGTGAGATATTCAATTACATTGTGGAAAAAAGAATGGTAAGAGAAAGAGATGGAAAAAAACAATGACAATACCAAAGAATTGTTTTTAAATATTGTCATATGTTTTTGCAATACATGTCATACATTTGTCTTATATTTATGCAATGCATGTTACTACACGTCATAATATTACCATATATTTATGCAATTCAGCCATATTATTTTATGAAATTTAATTTGATTGAACTAATGTGTCATTTTTTTAAAAGTTTATTTTATGATTTTGATGATTTTATCATTTTAATGATATTTTTAAAATTTAGGATAATAATTTTTAAATTTTGTGTTAAGTGGTTGAAATATTTTGAATGCACAATTTAAGAGTTTTTTTATTGTTATTTAACCATAAAAGTAATTATTTCTTTCAGATTTGTTTTAAAGCTTTCTTTTCATAAAAAGAAGCTGCACATTTTTCAAAATTCCAGTCGGTTACATCAAATAAAAAATCCGTTTCACAACTTTCTGAGATATTTATGCCAGTAAAATGTATTCTTCCCCACAAAAACCAGAATATAGTTCAAATTTGATTCATATTACGATGCCAATTTGGGCCAGGTTTTATCTAAGGTTATTGTTAAACAATAATATGCATGATCAACTTTGAACTGGTTATTCTGAATGAATAAAATTACCATAAAAATCAACTCTGGTGTCTATTTGAGAACTTTCATTTCCTTTTAGGAGGAAGATATCAACTGGTTCAAGCTAGCCACCTCTCGCAACACGTATTTGAATCTCGGAATGTTTGAAGAAACTGAAGGTTGTTACTTTAGAGTAAAATCTATCAACGTGTTTGGCATCAGCGCACCAAGCGAGGAGAGAAAATATTTGAGAACAATGAATTTGGTTGATGATAAAAATGACAAACAAATTGAACACGAGCATGAATTCCTGGCAGACCTCAACCAAGCAAAGCAGGCTGATTTAACAGTAAGAAAAGGTTCTACAAAAGAATACAATTTCGATAACAGTTCTCCGGGTGAAATTACCACTGATTTCATAAGTTTCATTCCAAACGACACAGAACTATCTATACCAAACAAATTAATCTGCCATGCAACTGAAGACATGTTAGATTCTGTTACTGAAGGTTTACTGATAACTATAGAAGAAACGAGTATAGATTATAAAAGCGGTACATATACAATGGATTATAACGAATTTTATTTAACTTGGTTAGAAATTATTTCCTTGGAAAAAGATGCATTTTTCGAGAATAAGCCACTAACTCATAAATGTACCAGGCAATGGAATATGATTGATGTTTCAGTAGAAATATTTGAAGCATTCAGTTGTATTTATCTAAATCTTGCCAATTTTATTACTATAGATGAGGTGACAAGTAGAACAAAATGGTTAATTTTACCATCCCTTTCAACCAAGTTTACTGATTTGATAACGTCACAAATCGAATTTGCTATATGTTCTGTAGTAGAAGAAGTTAATCTTGCTATTATAGTTTTTCAACCTGAAGACCTCGAAACTTGTAAATCATTCCAGAGTCATTTGAATCATTTGAAAGTTTCGGTAACTTGGGACTGCTTTAGACCAATTTTGATAAATGATACACAAATTTTTGAAAATGTCCACGATTTTATAAATGAAAATAGTGAGCAATACTGCAAAATGAGTCCAACTGTGCACCCCTTAGATGATTATGAAACGTTAGCAACTCTAACCCCCATTCCATTAATGAATTGTAAAATGGCTTTAAGCGTGTTGCCCTTTAAGCAAAAAAGCCACACTATACCAACAAAAACACGTGCCTATTCAACTACTGCAAACAATGAATCAGAAGCTCTTGGACGTTTGCGTAAAACATCCGATGAACTTAATTCTTCCTATATAAGGGAATTAGGACTCGATGATGCACTTGAAAGCAATTATGTCTTAGATGCGTTTGAAACAGATATTTTGGAGAAGTCTGCTTCAAGCTTACTTAGTGCTGAAAAGTCCAGGTTAATTTCACTAGATACTAACAAATATATTGATGAAGAGGATACCAAGTTTGATATGGACGATCTTCTTATTTCTGATGACTATATATATGATACTCCTAGCTGGTTACCATTTATATCTCCAAATTCTTCCCTTCCAGACACTTTCAAAACTGAAACAGTTGAATTTAAGGACACCGAAGAAGACCATTCCCCTACGCTAGCGCAAAGAGTTTCCTTGAAAGGCAAAAGCTTTGAGGAATTATTACTTATTGCCGAACAAGTGGAGAAGAGTTTCTCACAAAAAGCGCAGCAGATTGAATCGTTAGAGAATATTCTGCACGAAGAATTGGATTCCTTAGAGAAGGATTTACAAGTTGTTCACGAAATTCACCAGAGTCTTAATGGCAATGCCATTGAAAAAGACGTTGCCTTGACGGATGAGCGCAAGACGAAAGCAATCGATCTAATCGACTTTTCTGAAGATGTCCATGATATGAAAACTGAGGAACCCAAGCTGGAATCTTATCCACCGAAAGTCATAACTCACTTGCAAAATAAAGTGGTACAGAGGGGTTCGCGCGCAAGACTATATTGCTCAATAACAGGTGATCCAGCCCCAGATGTTGTCTGGCTCAAAAATGGAAAGTTGTTGAAAGAAAAATCTCGATACATCTTTAATGATTTGGTAAGTTAATCAAACTAGGAATGCTAAAGATTTTACAAGGTAAAATGGTTTTTAAAATCTAAATAGGACAATTTTAAACAGAGATATTTTTTAACAAAATATAAAAAAATAAAGTCCTATTTTAATATGTACTTTGTCTGTTTCCACACTGGAGATCAAAAAAAAAGAACTTCTATTTGACAAAAACTCGAAGTTTCTTTAATAGCTTAAGCGTTGGCGAGTTTAATTTCATTAATTAAACATATAGTATATTCCGTTGTATAAACAGTAATCTAGAAATTTCATGTAGTTTGAAAGAGTGAATATATTTTTTTAAATATGTAAACAGTTTCCTGCCGTTTTAATAAGACTTGAAGGCTCCACTCACCAACCCCTATGGTCGTTGGCGAAAAAGATGAAAACCATGGTAAAAGAAGATGGGTCTCCCAAGATCTATAGATTATATACCGATTGGAGATAAAACGGGCTCAGCCCATCTTAATGCCTAACGTAAGCTAGGGTTCATTATCTGAAGTATTCAGGGGCGAATGAGCTTTGAATAATGATAAAGTTTTCATACACTTTCTTTCAACTTTTAAATTAAACGACTATACAATAATTCCTTTAGTGCAGTCATATATTATTATTTGGTATGTTTTATATTATTATTAGGTACAGTTTACAGTTACGTAAACAAAAACGTAAAAAATATAATACATTAAATATTCAAAACTAAGAAGTGTTTTATCTTTAAATAAGTAGTCTTAGTAATTGGCCTTTCTCTTCGCAAGTTTCGGATTTATCTCTTTGCAAATTTCGGGCCTTATCTGTTATATTACATTTCAGCCTCGGCATGATCAGACATATATATAATTTCTCTCTGTTTTCCGATGTATGTTGGCTCGAATTTGAAAACTTCGAACTCGAGTGGCCTCGGACCAGAAAAAATTGAGCCCAAGCTCATTTCTAATGCCAGCGTGTAACTCTACTATAACGTGTCAAACAAAACGTTATTACGTACCAAACGATATAATTGGCCGATAAATAGACTGCATAGATTGATTTCACGATAAACATTGTACACATACGCAAAACTAAAACCGGACATTGTGAATAACTTTTAATCTAATGATCAGATCTTTACGTTCTAAGACTCAATCTTAAAGGTTCAAGAGAGTATAGCCTTGAAAATGTTACTTAATTAGTGCAGACGATATTTTAAGTTACGAAATCAGACACAAAAAAGTACTTTCTGCGGATAAACATACCTTTTTTACTACAAATTCGGATATTTGACCCCGAAACATAGAAGGCAGCCGTAATCTGGGAAATATAGTCCCCATAATTTGGTCAGGACAGCTGATTGGTCACAAGTTTTGACCCCTTAATGTTATTTTAATTTGTGTATTTCCCCATATCTAGAGAACTTTTCCAGCGAATTGAACACTTTTTGCTCACAATCATAAAATTCGTTTATCCAAAACTAATTCCATATTAAAAATAATTTTTAATAATTATTAATTTTACTATTTTATTCAATAAAAACGGAACAATTTTATGTTGTAAAATATACAAATATGTGCCTAATTTTTAAGAATGCAATCTTATAAAGTAAGTTACAAAACTTGAACAAAATGAGACCAATAGATCCTGAGAAATCGAATTATGAAAAAGTCGTATTTTTAAAATTTGAATTAGCAGGAACTAATGGACCGATTTCTCACAAATTTTGTATTTCGTCACTTAAAATTTTACTCTTTAAAATGATATGAAAAATTGTATACCTCACAATTTGAAATAGTTTCTGACTATTGTTAAATAAAATAGTAAAAACTAATAAATATTTACTAAAAGTTGTATTTTACATAGCACATTAAGCGAAATTTATTTTTGTAAGCAAAAATTTTTCAACTCGCTTAAAAAGTTCTTGATATATGTATTCGCAAAAAGTAAAATTAACATTAAGGGGTGGAAACTTAGGGCCGCTCTCCTGACCAAACTATTGAGACCATATTTCCCATTTTACGGCTATTCCATATATTTCAGGGGTCAGAAATCAAACTCAGTCGAAAAAATAAGTACGCTAATTCAGAAAAAGTATGTTTTTGTATCTGTTTTCGTAACATAAAATATCGTCTGCATTAATTAACATATTTTGGGGTATCCCATCGAACTATTAAGACGACTGAGTCATAGAACGTGAAGATCCGATCATTAGATCAAACGTCATTCAGGTTAGTCCGTTTTTTATTTTACGCATTGTACGTGTATTTTCCTCAATGCTGTTTGTTAAATTTACTAATTAAACTATTCAAATTAAGATGTATCCCATAAAAAAAATTCCCATTAAAGTAAGTATTCTGTATTACAGATGGAGTTTGGCTTTTATGTTGATATTTACAGCATTAAATCAACCGACAGTGGACAGTACATATGCTTAGCTACCAATCCTCACGGTTCTGCACAAACGGAGGCTTATTTGCAAGTAATAGGTAAAATCTCATTTTACAACGGACCTAAGTATCTTACAACTATTCTTATTCTGATTCAAGCATTGCGTTCTATTAATTACTGCGCACATATTCAAAGTAAATATTCTGCATAATTTGACGTTTTTTTTCTGTTTATAAATTTACTACGGTTTTTCTATGGCAAGATTTGCTGTGTAGCCTAGATAAATTCTATCACAATAAATGTTTCAAGAGCCGCGATGGCTCAGGGGATAGAGCGTTCGCCTTCCAATGAGGCGAACCTGGAGGCGATCCAATGAGGCGATACGAATTCCGCATCCGGCTTGCACCGACCACAGTGCTAATGTGAAATATCCTCAGTGATAGACGGATCATGGGTTAGAGCCCCCTTGTCGTCAGGCTAACCGTGGGAGGCTCTCGTGATCTCTCTCTCCGTGTAACGGAAATGCGGGTTAATTCCATCGAAAAGTCCTCCACGAAGGCAAATTTCTCTCAATACTCGATCCAAGAGTTCCCTTGTTTTCTGTATTGGGTTTAAAATTACAAGGCTATGGAGTTGAACATTAATACTCGTAAACCCATGAAATTGGGTCGGCTGTTAAACGACGGTTATAGAAAAAAAATTTCCAGATAGACTTGTAAGGTTGATTTTAATGTAGCAGCAACCTTTATCACAAGACTCCAACAACGCTCATTAATAAACAAACCATGCAAGCTTGAAACAATGTTAAATTTAACTATGCTAGGTTTACGCAAAATTCGCACCAAAAATCAAACATACATTTTAAAACCTTCAAGATAGAATTTATGTGCCGCAGCTGGAAAATACTTCCATGAGAACTTTCAAACAATGAAATGAGTGCCATTATTTACGAGATCTTAATATAAGTACGGAATCTTGAAAACTTCCACTGTATCCTTCCGCTTATGTTATGTGTACGAGATGGTGTGTAATCAAGGAATAAATTCTAGGAATTTTTATCATTGAGATTCATCTTTCAAATCACGCGCATTATTTCTATTCGAAAGAACTTTTCTCCCAGTTCGTGAGCTACAAATCCATTTAAAGAAATAATGGTGGCCACGTTGATGCACAGAATGATCGGATCAAATTTTAAGTTAATACATTAAATTAATTAATTTAATACATAAAATTAAACTGATATCAATTTTAGAACATTTTCGATTTACTTTTACTTCTTTACAAGCATCGTTGAGAAAATATGAGATAATAGCATCACATGAAAAAATAATAGTATTAGCTGAAAGTTAAGATGAGTAACAAAAAATGGTAGCCCTATTACGTTTGTCAATTGAGCAACCCTATCGGCAATTGAGTATAGAGTGGAGGTTACGTTTACAATTGCTCTTATTTTTTTCACGTGTGATATACCCATTACAATAGCACAAGTATAATTTATACATAATTATAAATAGAGCCAAACATTCCTGAAAAGCTGGAGCATGATAATTCACTTTCTCGGATTCATATCAATTAGGGAAGAACCTTAACATTCTCAATTTCAACCACCTTAAGACTAGAAACGATGCTCACATTTTATGTAAAGCTGCATGTTTATATGACTCGTGTAACATCCGTATAAGAAAGCAAAGCATAAGCTGAATAAATTCAATGTTAGTAGTTTCCTCTACTTTTTCCATATTTATTTCAGTGTCTATATTTTTTTGATATGGTGTAATTATATGTGTTTTTGTTTTTGACTTAAAAATGTAAAATGTTATTATTCTAATATGAAGGTGAAAGGGAAGACAGCCCAGAGGTGCCCAAATTTTTAGACTGCCCTGATGATGTGACGGCCACTGAGGGAGAAACGGTTTCTCTCGAATGGAAAATGACTGGCACACCAGTTCCGAACGTCATTTGGTAATTACGTTGAGAATTTTTCACCCTAATTACAGTACTTTATCGTAACAGTTATTATGTGATGAAACATCATTGATTAAAAACATCGACTAAACCAGAAAATAAGCACTCACCACCTGACAAGTCAACAAAAAAAGTGGCGAGTTAAATTAAATAAACAACCGATGACTTTCTTATGTCAATTTTTTTCCTAGGAAAATTGTTAAATGAAAAAAGTACATCCATGCTGAAAGGCTCTGGAAAAAAGAATTTTCTCTCAAATGTTTAATGTCTCCATTCAAAATTTTGATTCTTCAGATTCCATCAATTTTTGTTGGAAAGATGCATTGAAAAGAGAGTTCCTTAACATATAATTTCGTTAGAGTTCGTTAAAGATATTTTGCCTCCCCCAATGTTTTTAAATAAAGTCTTTTAAAGTCAGTATGTTTAACTAAATTTTGCCACATATTTATATTTTTATTGTAATTAACTTTTAATATAGCCGTGGATTATTTCCCATATAAATAGTTTTTAAAAAATATATAATTTAATCTGAGCAAAAAATAAGTTTGCAAAAAGTGGCTATTAAATAAAAAGAACCAAAAAATATCGGTCTCCGACTTATTAGGTTAAAGGAAAAAGTGGCTACTGAGTGTCTACCAGCCACAGGCTAATAAGTGAAAATCTGAATTTTTAGGCTTAATATCGACTATACATGTTAAAAATAAAATAGTTTATGCATTATTTCTCTTTTTAGGTTTAAGAATGCTGAGAGGATAGAGACAAATTTACGAGTGGATGTTTACAGCAACCATAAAGGAGCATGCCGACTTAAAATCCACAGAGCGGATGAACAAGATAGCGCTATATATTCTTGCTATTTAGAAAATGAAATTGGTTCTGCTGTATCAACAGTTCTAATTTCTGTTAAAGGTACATTAATTTATCTAAATATTTCATTAGCCATTCAAAAAATAAACCTTACATGCATTAAGTTTTAGAAATTACTCCATTCATCATGATTTCGAAAAAAATGCCTGTACAATGCGCAAGTAGAATGCACACGAAAGAAAAACGGTTTGGAAAATGTTTTTGACTTTAAAAAGTAAATGCCATTCGATTCAGCACTGAAAACATATACTTGATTTTAAATAAGCATAGGGATACAAATAAAAAAATTTCAGAGCTAATATTAAGAAGTAAGAATCATAAATATCAGTTAACTTTTTGAAAAAAAGGCAAGTAATTAATTAAACTACATTTCGAAAATGACTTAAAAACGTTAAGTGAAGTAATATTTTTTAAATTTTTAATTGGGTTCTTGCAACTAATCACGTGGTAGTGTATAATTACGTGGTTGTGCATGGTGTGTAAACGTTACAGATATAAGGAGATTAAATTATTTTATCCCCATGAATCAATCTTCAGATTTAATTGAATAACTGTCAGTGATGTGTCGAACCTGATAGGTTGACCCTCGTGACGTCGCTTGCAAGTCTCGAATTTATAAAAAGTTGAAAATTAAATTGGTGTTAGATTTCGTAAAACAGCATACAGCTAAAACAGCATACAGCTGTATTGGTTAATACAGTGAAAAGAAGTTTTTGCCTTAAAATAGAATTTGCAATGTTTCATTTATTTTCACAATGAATATTTTTTTTCAGAAGACAAGTCTTCGTTACGAAATATTGAACTAAATCAATCTTGTCAAGAAAATAAATCTTTCTTTGAAAGATCTCAGAGTTCATCATCCAGTGAAAGGCGAGTATATAATTTATAATGTTTCTTAAATAATTGATTTGTTTCAGTAAATTGCAGGTTTTTTTAAGGAATACTTAGTATATTTGTAATTATGATGATTTTTTTTCTCGGTTAAGCAGGAAAAACTTTTGAAAAATTTGTGTCCCCAAATCTAATTTAATATATGTAAATAAAATTCTATTTCAGTTCAAGCCGTGCGCAAATGTTTCATGGGTGTGCAACATACAAATAACATTTGCAAAAAACTGCCTACCCTAAATATCTAGAGATTTAAATAACGATCTAAAACTCAATTTGTGCATAGACTTAATTGGAATAACCATTATAGTGGTATAGCCATTAAACGTTCTAGCGTAAGCGTTTCAAGCTGTCAAATACGGTCATAAAGAAGTATTCAAAATTTTATAACTCTGTATGAATATCATCTGATGTCTAAATGGGTCAAAAATTGTGAAATTTTGACTAAAAATATTTATACTTCTAATACTACATAGAATTTTTTCTTCCTTTCAAAATTCAATCCTGCCGCCATAACGGACAAATTAAAACTTCGGTGATGTTGAGTAAACTAAAGATATTTAGTTATTATTCTGATTTTTTCTTACAGATATTCTTTTTTCAAAATAAAAATATCACCTAAGTCTAGCCCACTAACAAATCAATTAAATCTATACCTTTTTTATGTAAATGTTTAGATTTTAAGCATTTTTAGTCAAATTTGCAAATTTTTTGGTTCTTGATTGTCAATTTAGATAGAGATAATGACGCTTTTGCTCATTTTTTAATGTTGGTAGTTGACTTTATTTCCACACTACTGCTAAGAGATTTAAGACATATTTCGAAATAATTTTCTTTCTTAAAAAAGGCATATATTTGAAATTCAATTTCTCAGGAACTATTCAACCACTTTTGCTCAAATTTTAGATTTTACATTGCAAAATTACATTTCTTCGAATTCAAAAAAGAATTCGAATTCGAATTCAATACACTTGAATTCAAAAACATTTCGAGTATTATTGAATAAAATATTGAAAAATAATAAATATTCAAAAAAAATATTTTTTTGCATGGAATTATCTTTAGATAAACTAATTTTAGAATTGTGCACAAAATGTTTTTAATTCGTTTAAAAAGTTCTCGTGATATGTCAAAATACGCAAAAAGTAAAATTAACATTAAAGGGTTCAAACTTTAGATAGCTCTTTTGACCAAATTATAGGGAACATATTTCCCAGATTGCGGCTATCCTTCATATTTTGAGGGTCAGAAATCTGAATCCGTTGAAGAAAAAAGTACGTTTGTTCAGAGAAAGTAAGTTTTTGTATCTGATTTCGTAACTTAAAATATAGTCTGCATTAATTAATTAGCATTTTTGTAGTCACCCCTTCAAACAATTAGGATTGAGCCCTAAAATGTGAAGATCCGATCATTAGATCAAAACTTATTCAGGATGATCCATTTTTTGTGTACTGTATTTCACGTATTAAATATCAATAAAATTAACGGGTTAGTAAATTACATTTTCAGCTAATGTATTTCACTGGTTTAAAACTTTAAAATACATGTCTCACTCAGATTTAACAAGAATAGTAAAAACAGATAAGTAAATAAAAATTATGTTTGAATGCCTTTGAGAGTTTATAATGATTATAAATGTCATTTTGTTTACTTTTCACTTGTCACTTTTCCTACCAATAAAAAAGTCTTCCTCCTATTTATTGTAAGAAAAAGTAGATTGATTTAGTTAAAAAATTGTTTAAAGTAAATATTAAAATTCTGGCTGAGACTGAAATCAACGTTAAAATGCTTTTTTTAATTTACAATGGTAATAATTTTATATTCTTATTTGCAGTGATATTTGTTGTGCGGAAATACCAAATCCAAAAATTCCAAAGGATCAAGGTAAATCTAGAAACCTTTTAATTTTTATACCTCTTTAAAAAGGCTTTTAGGTTGTTCATTTTATAAAGTAATAATGAAATAAACTCTTAACTTCACAGACAAAAAATGAAATAATACGATATCCAATGGTTCAGTTGAACTGGATATTTTTGCTAGTGAAAAGTTTTGACGTCTGTTTAATGATTTAAGAATAGAGATATCATTATCTCTCAGAATTTTTGGAAAAGAAATCCAACAAACTCTGAATCTCCCACTGGAATCAGGGGATTAAATGGTCGTACGTTCGTTAATAAATGTTGAATCTGCTGATCATTTATGCAAGAGTGTTGCTAGTTGATGAATCCTGATACTATGGTCGTACGTTCATGAATTCACCGAGCATTTATAGAAAAGTGTTTTTAAGTTAATGAATCTTACAAGCACATCTCTTCGTAATGTTACACACTAACAAATGAAATGCAGTTGCAGGAGGGTTGAGAGTTCGTTACTCAATCGAAGAGCGTGATCAAAGAACTACGTAGTATCTGATTTGCTGTCCAGTCGTGGATCGCGATCGTGATCATTGTAAATTTGTGATTAAGCTATCAGGCCTCAAATCAGTTTCTCAGTTCTTTCTGATAATATTTTAAAGTTAATGCACATTTATGTAACACGCAATGGCATGACTATTATTGAATTAATTATATATTGAAGTTATATATTAAGCAATCAATTATATGTTGAAATGAGTTATCACAAAGCACGATAATTAAAATTACTAATTCGAATGATTAATTACTTAAAGAGAGTTCTAAAGTAGACTGATGGTTTTCAAAAATTTAATACAGACAAACATGTAAAGTTACAAAAAAATAAACTCCAGCAAATTTATATGAGAGAAAAGTCCCACATATAAGATTATAATTCTCCTAAAAGATGGAGTTTTGAGTCTCTTCAACTGTTCCTTGCGTTGCGTTTTGATGCTTTCAAATTTCGTCCTCCAATTACGACATGTAATTCTGCCTGATGGTGGACATTTTGTAAATTTTGTTACATTGAAAGAGTTTTAAACAATAATTTTTATGCATTGGAAGAATTTAAAAAACTGTTGTCGAATTTTTAATTGGTTTTTCTTTCATTTGCAAAATTACTCTTTGTAGCGCCATCTGTGGAAACCTTTTTTAACTAAATTAAGAATTTTGGAAGGATTTTTGTTGTTCCTTTTCCTTTTAATTTACGACGCACTAGAGCTGCACAATGGGCTATTGGCGACGGTCTGGGAAACATCCCGGAGGATTAAATTTTGGAAGGAAACATTAACTCCATGTCATATGAAATTGCTTTAGTTTTGAAGAACTGTTTTGTTAACCTTAACTGTTTTCATGCAATAAAATTTTGAAAAACTGCCTAATGTAGAACCCTCTGTACATAATAAAGTTAACAGTAGAATAATTCTGTTCTCGAATTATTATAGTATGATTAATAACAACTGTAAGGGTGATATGTTGATTGTTCATTGAAGCTGTCAGCAACATTCCGGGTCCACCTAGCACCCTCAGTATATTCAGCGTAGGACGAACATGGGTGATGTTATCCTGGTCTCCGCCTATGAGTCATCTGACAAAGAAATCCAGTCTAACATATCTTATTGAAAGTAGACTATTAAACAGCAGTCACTGGAAAGAGGTTGGCAAGACGAGAAATACTATATACACAGCTCACGGCTTTAAGTGTAAACGGTAAGAATTTTTCTGGTCTCATCTCATTATTTCATTCGAAATAGAAAATATAATTTAATCAGTCTTCAATAGTTTTTTTAATACCTTTTTTGTTTATGAATATGCTTATTGATCTACTAAAACCTTTAAACTATAGGATGATTTTATCTAAAAATTGTACTTTTTCTTCAAAAGGATCATATACTTATATAAAATACTGATAAACAAACATTAGATATCTTCTTTTGATATCGTTTAAACATGATATTTTTTTAAATGTAGATAGTTTTTTTTTATTCCATTAGCATCAACTATACTGTACAAATAGTAAGTTAAACGACTATACAAATACTTTGCGAATAATAAGTTAATGTACAGACTGTAATGTTGCACATACTGTGCAATTTATTAGTTAAAACGAAACTCTAATCAGCGAAACAAACAAAAATTAACTTGCAGTAAAAGTTGAATTTAACTAAGTATTAAAAATTATGGCTTTTATGCATTACTTTTTTATGATATCTAAAATAATTTCTTACAACAGAAATGCCAAGTAAAAACGATAATCAAAATTAAACCAGCTATCATTTATATTCTATTATAAATGTTAAATATTTTTTCCTATTTAGAACACGTACAAAACACAGGAGAAGGAAAATTCAATTTATAAATTCTAAAATTCTATTTTATAGAAAAGCCTCAGCTTTCATTATTTGTTTATTTACTATGTTTTTAATTTCTAAAGAACAAATTTCTGATAAATTTTACGCAATAATAAATATACCTCAGGGTCACGGAGCCAAAATAATCCTTCATTTTTTATTTACAACTTGAAAAAGAATAGGCTCCTGTCGAAAAGTTATAGGATTTAATCAATAACACTTCCGTAACGTAAAAAAATTTATGCCGTGATGATAAGGAAATAAGCACTATTAGTGTAATGGAAAAGGGTTCAATCTGGCGACTTAAAGCCCATCAGCTATTCCGGGAAGTAAAGATGGCTAATGCGCTATGCTGATTTTATTGACACCATCCTTTTGATCTTATTGACATCATCCTTTTGCAATATAGAGCCTTACCAAACATACCTTTAAGACCACTATGTAGCTTTTGAGGGAGAATGCTTTACTAATGATTATTATTGTAAGTGTATCAAGCTAAACATTTTTTTCTTTAACCTTTTTTTCTTATTTCATTTCTTTAACTTCTTAAGATATCGTATATCCTAGTCGAATATTTATTTTCTTTAAATTTAATAAACGTTTTTTCTTTAACCATCGTTCGAAATGAATACAACAATCAATGAAATTTCATGAAAAGTTTCTTTTGAATTCCTTCCCATAAAGTTTTTGTGTGAAATAAGCAAATTCAGAATTATTATGTTATTTATTAACGATAAAAATTTATAAATCAATCTCGATGTGTCAACATAGATTATTTCTTTTTTAGTTCTTACGCATTTAGAGTGTCAGCAGGGAACAGTTACGGTTGGGGTCGCCCAGCTGTTTTATCACAACAAGTGAATTTTCTATCAAGGTGACATTTATATATCTGGAATTTTTATGACCAATTTTTATGTCTTTATTTTATACTTTTTGTGGAAAAAAAAGTTAATAAAGTTACAAAAAAAGTGTATTCAATTTATTTTGCTCCTTATAGTAGTTTTTTTCTTATGTCAATAATATTTCAAATAAATCTTCGAAGTTTGAAATTTGTAATTTGAGTTTACCGTAATACTGATTGAGTTTATCATGAAGTCACTTAAATTTATGAGGAAAAATTACTATTACTACTGTTCTTTCAAGAATTTACGATTATAATAATAGTTAGGAAAGAAAACGATTTAAGAATTGATATTTTTAGCAAAAATGTATGTAGTGCGTCTCCCACAGAAAAAAATTGCTTGTTTTCTTAGGAGAGAATACAAAGAAGTACAAGGCAATACGAAATAACCACTCTTAATAAAGTTTTAGAGTTCTTGTCAAAAATGAAGTCAGGTAAATCCATATATTAGTAGTCTGAATTGAAAAAAGCGATATTAAAAAAATAATTAAAATGATTTATTAAATTAATACTTAAATGAGGAAAAGATGAAAATAATGAAGTCTGTTGAATATTTAACGCGGAAGGTGAGATAAATCATTTAAACTGTTTTTGATGTTTTTAATACCGCTACCTCATTAATGTTTTGGCAGACTTTTGTAATGTGTTTCTTTCTTCCAGCTGAAATGTATTAAGTGAGTCCTGATGGGGACTTTTTCAATACCATCTGAAGAAGAATACTAAAAATATATGTTGTGTTAATTACGTCAGATCCTGTATATACAGAAACGTATAAAATTATAAGTGCGTAATAGTAAATATTTTCGAAATAAATTCATGCATTTCGAATAATTCAAAATTTAATTAAACTCATTTGGATCATTGTGAATGAAAGTTTTACACATTTCTTCATAGTTAAAGTTTAAAATCTTATTTTTAAATTTTTCTTCTGAAATATTAAATAATAATTTACCCATCATTAATTCATTGTCCTTTAATTAAAATTAAATTGAAGTACCATGTTTTAAAAATAAATCTTAAAAACAAAAATAAGAGTACGGATAAGTTTTGAAGTTTCCCGTACAGTAATACTGACAGTTAATTCATATTTAGTTTTGAAGCTAACCTTAATGATGTAATGTTACGTAATTTAATTACATTCGTAAATTAAAAATTTGAATAATTGTTTTGAATGATCAGTAGAAAATGAAGCAAAATTTCCTCATAAGAAATTATTTTTATGTTCACATCTCATATTTGTCTATTTCGTTGTAACTAAAAACAACACACATAAAGACATACATTGCCCTGAATAAACACGGTCAGATTTGGAACGATAGTTACTTTAATACAGTTCAATAATTAAAATATGACATTAAAACTGAAGCAACAGTTGTAAATTGAAAACTGTTTCTGCAGTAGTATACGAAACAACTCTCAACAGTTACATCACATATCAAACAAGATATATTGCATACAACGAAGGTCTCGTGACAATACAAACAGTTGCAACAAGAAATCCCAAGCTCTTTCTGCAGTAGCATCAAACGAAGCACACTTCTCAACAGTTACGTCACACATCAAACAGGATACTACAATATAGATTCCAGAAGTGGATTTTTTATTTTAAAAAAAATATATACGTTTCGAAAATATCCCATTTTAACTAGAAGCGCGGGTGTCACTGAACTTGATGGCTTCCCCACGCTGTAGAAGCTTATGCATTCCCTTTTAAATCGGTCATCGAGTAGGTCATCTTGAGAGATCCTGGAAAATGTCGCTTTCCCCGGATTCCGCGGTCTCACTTCGAGATATCCTAGATGACCCTGATCTGGAGCTGATGGGAGAACCCAGGGGAGAATCACAGCTACTGCCGATGGAAGAACGGGACAAGGATACCATCCGTCCCAGTGCTCGGATGGCTGTTCCCGATTTCTACAATAAAAAAAATACCCCTAAAATTAGAATTGTATTGGATGCAAAAGTATTTTAATTTCAGAAATTATTCATGTTATTAGAATAAAAAGCTATTAGCAAAAAAAGTGACTGTTTTTTTTATGGTAAACAGAAAATTTTAAAAAGAAATCACGTTATCGCGTCATGTCTTAAGTCTCCGTGGACACGAGGCTGAAATAAATGGATAGTTTCTGGGATAGCGATCATTATAAATTAGGAACTTTTAAAAAAAATCAACTAATGTTTAATCTAAATTTTCTAAACTTTGAAATTTTTAAGGATCAATAGCGTTACAGCATGACCGATGATTTTAAAAATCAAATAAAGGAAAACAAATAGAGTAAGAAGTGAGTTGTCTTATAAAACTAAAGAATCAATTCTCATTCAAAATAAAAAAGGTTTACAAACATCAACAAATAAAGCTGTCAACTTAGAAAAATAATTAAGAAATGCTTTCAAAATATCATTTCTTAAGTGGCTCATAAGCTCTGGGTGGGCCCTGGCCTTTTCCAGAAGTTTTCCTACAACATCTTTACTAATGGTGACTACTCTTGAGTTCTTAATTCTAAGAATGTTTAACTCATTATCAACACAGTCGAATCATTCAAAGTAACTACTGTGTGAAATAAAAACTTGGCGAAGTCTGAAGACAAAATAGCTAACACCTTTGCAAACAATTCATTTAAAACGTTTTGACATACAGCAACAAAACTGTGTCTTATAGTTTTTCAAAACAAAAGCGCCATCTGTAGTCGTAGCTAGTTTTGACACATTTAAAAGTAAAACCCAGACACCGTGTATTTCTTTCTTCCCGTATTTTTCAAATTGTCGGTCATTTTTTTTTTTTTTTTGAAATAGTATGTAACATATTAACAAACACTGTAAGTTCTTCTGAGAAGCATTTAAATGCTTCCAAAAAGACAATATGTTCAAAATCATAGATTTTTATATAAAATTACTTTTCACAATTACGACAGCTTACAAAAGAAATTAAAAGCAATAAATAAACTGTGTTTAAAAAAATCAAAACTTATTTTTTGTTAATAAAATGAATTCATAATATCCTACTTTATACCTTAAGCATTTATTTCCATGTTTGTATCATTTAGTGAGCTTTACCTTTATTATCTTTAGTGTTTACTTAAAAAAGCAAAAAAGAAAAATAACCGTTTACACTAAAAAGTCAAAATAAGATCAAACTGATTAGCTATATACAATCTTGAACGCTTAAATAGCAATAAATCTTTTAAAATGAGATAAAAAAGACATGTCTGCAGTTAGACACATATAAGTTGTTTACAGAATGATATAGGTATTAATCCACTTACTTGCCACTTTCGCCTTATAATGAAACGCTTCAATTTCTCCGTAGACAATGGTCGCTTTTGAACTGAAGTGGCGGTCGCCAACCAAGAATGTTTCAAGCACTCTTCGGCACTCATTCGAGCTCTAAAATAGGATGAAATTTTAAATGTGACTCACCATTCAAGTAAAAAAAAACTTTATATTTTGCATAAATTTTTAAAAAAAAACACTGAGTAAGGCTTTATAATTCACTTAAACTTTATGTTTGACTCCTAAATTTGTTATGAAAAGAGCTTGCCTTTTTCTGCAAAGAAGCTCCTTCCCTATAGCATTGTAAGAAATGGATGCTCAAAATATGACGAAACTTTTTCGTTTTTGACAAAATCGTTTCATGATATATATGCTCCGAGTAAATATTTCGTCAAAGTGACGAAATAACTATCATCACTATTTCGAAATTAATTTCGTCAAAATTAAATATTTTGTCATTTTTTTCATCAAAATAATCCCTCGTATTGCCTAAGGTATCTAACTTTTAAAATAATTACTTTAATATGGACACCATATAGATAGAATACAACAAGGACACATAGGGGAAAAAAAGAGATATATTACACCTATGTCCGAAGCGGGGTTCGATCCTTGGATCTTCCTCGTACGAGGCCAACTCCTTGACCACCAAACTAATCCGGACAGACAATTCGTCGCCATATATTCGATTGTATAGTCGTTATCCTAGCTTCGTTATTCCAGTTAACAATCTCACACAATACGCTACGATGTGATTTTCAATTTAGAAAACATTTTCGTCCCAAATTTGAGTTCTAGTTTCGTTACAAAGCACGTGATTTTGAGACAAAAAGATACCCAAAATTGACGAAGTACTGCTCAAAGAATAGCTGAATCGACAAAAGTGAGAGTTTTCCTTCTGGGAGTATGTTAATCTAAAAGAAATGGGTGGTCTGCATTGAAATACTTGTAAACGTTTAACTATGCTGTTTAAAATTCAAATGATTAAATCATAAAAACCATTCATTCAGTGCCTAGCATTTGTAATTCAGATTAAATTCAGAACCATACAACATATGAACTACAGGCTTCTATCAAAGAAAATGTATACGAGAGCAAAATTGCAAACGTGGAGATTGGCGGAATTTTTTTTTTTTTTTTCAAATTTTCTAAGTATACACCCAGAAATACTGATGAGTTAATCTTATTTCAAAATTGACATGAAGTGTTCCATAATCACAGAGATTAGTTTTTATTTTAAAATTATCAAAAAGGAAATAAAAAATATCAATATCCATGGTCATAAATTAATATTTAAGTTACACTACAAAAAATTCGGGATCAAAATATAGTAACAAATACCAGCCCACAGGTTGCCAGTACTTTTTTCCGTAAATTCTATTTCTACTGTTAAATTTTAAGGAACAAAAAATATATTCTGTAATTTTTATAGTCATACTTACTAGTAACTTTTATTAGTAATTTTAGCTTACAGTATATGTTTACAGTATAATTATGTAAAATAACTGAATCAGTGTAATTGAATGCATGTTACTGTAAAAAATTCCGGATCAAATTATGGTTAAAAATACCGGTACGCAGGGTAATGTACTTTTTACTTTAAAATCCATTCTTACCGTAAAATTTTGAGGAACAAAAAAAAACCCTGATATACTGTACTTTTTGCAGTAAAATATTCACTAGAAACATTTATTAGCCATTTTACATAATGATACATACAGTGAAATTATGTAAAATCATTGAATTAATGTAATTAAATATATATTACTGTAAAAATTACGGTATAAAATTTTACGGTAAAAATAGCAAATGTAGCAATTAATCAACGGATTTTACGGATGCTGCAGTTAGAGGGCCAGAACTATTTACCATAATTTAAAACAGTGCAGAAAATAAAAAAATATATCAAAAACACTATCGAAATCTTATGAATCAGTATTGAGAGAGATAGGAATAAAAACATTAAAACCTGATTTATTGCATGGAAAAATTGAAAGTTAAAAAATGATATGATTATTCAAGTTCATGACGTCTGCAACCTTCAATTTCCAACCTGGATAAAAGCAGATTTTTACACCCATCTTCTTCCTTTTGTTAAGTTTCGATTGTATCAATTAAGCATAAATTTTTGACCCCCATTTTAAGTATTCTTCTGACAAATGTTCTGAAAATTGAACAACCTGTATATGTTTAGCTCTTGCATTATTCATAGCTACTAGTTCATTCATTCTTTTTATTTATCTTTTTTTAATTTGCATTGATTTCTTCTTTTTAAAGTAAAACTTACCTTGAGAATTTTGGTCACCAAACTATTTTATAGCTTTATTTACAATTTTTTTTATTAATTTCTTTTCTCTTAATTGCCTTGTTATGGTGTTTACGTAACTGTAAATGTCATTAAATCATTAATATTAATAATCAGCGGCTTTAATTAATAACCAAGTATCAGAAATTATCACATTTATCTGTAATTATTAACAAATATCAATGAAGTTTGGTCAATGCAATAATTTACTACGCACTTTGTTAAAGAGACGCATGCGTGATTTTCTACATGAACAGTAAGACAATGTCAATTGCTTGTTTATTTTGAGATTCTGGCGCCCTCACTTTGTGTGCGCTGCTCATTTGTTGGATGAACACTTTGAGCTAGACAGTTTTGATTTATTCAGATTCTTCTTACGTTTTTGTTTTTTAAGGTATCTAACTTAAAAAACACATCTTTGTGGGGTATACCAGGCAATGGCACCCACTTCCCTCGATTAAATCGATAATTATAAATAACAAAACGTGATTATTAATAATGGTCGTATTCCATATACTAATATTTTCCTTAATACCTTTTATGGATAGTAAATTCCATGAACTCCACATAACGAAAATTATCTTTCTTCAATAAATATGATATATATATATAAACTTATCAACTTTTACAGCTATTATATTTTAAACTGAAACATAATTAAGAATCCGTATTTCTTTATTTTTATTTTACTAATTTCTACAACGACAGATTTATCATCACAGCACAAGACACATAAAAATAACATTACTGTTGAAGTTTCAATAAATTATGCCTAATTAATCACTCAGACCGAGTTTCATTGGCAACTATTATTTATAACTGGTTACTATGAATAATGGACAAAATTTAATCATATTCACCAAAAAAAGTTATTATTAATAATGTCCACATTTAGTACCTTAACAGTCACCTACATACCAATTTAATTGTTTAAAGAGAAATTCTATATCTGCATTAAAATTTCGACAAATTCATCCTATGAGAAATTTAGAAAATAAACTATCAGTAATGAAAGTATGTAGAATTTATGAAAGGTAATATGTGATCAACGCTCTAAATAAATATATAAGTTGGAATCCTCGTCAAAAATAAATCAAAATCAACTTATTATGAAGTAAATTTATCTGGATCTGAAGAATCATTATAGATATCATTAATACAGAGAAAAATTATTTTAAAGGCATTAAAACCAGTTTAATTGTCAGAGAAAATGCGATAATTATAATAGTCTTTTAGTTCCGCTAGAATTAACTACGTTTTAATGCTTTTAATATTATAATTAGTTTGATTGTCCTTCATAATATTTCGCCATATGTGGATAACGTCATCGTTTTTTTGTTATTTAAACATTATTTTTCTTCCCCTCAAACTTACTAGGTAATTTTGATTTGTTTTTTCATTTCAGTTTTGGCGAAAATTTTAAAATACAGTATTTTTCATTTCACATATGATTGCGGATATTCTTCTCTAAAAAAATTTATAGTTTCTATGTCTATGAAGCATTCGTTTTTCTCATAACTTACTTGACTCTCTTGACGAGTAGTTTTGAAATGAAGTCCTTAGCATCTTCTGAAATATCATCGAAAGCTTCATCGTCAAAATCCATCTCTCCTCTCGTTATGTTGGCAAACGTTTCCGTATCAGATTCTCCCATAAATGGTGAGAGTCCTGAAATTCTAAAAATAAAATAAGGAAAAAATTGATAAAGAAATTTTTATAATTCAACTAACAATCTTATATTGCAGAAATTAGAGATAAAATAATCATTAAAGAAATAAATGAATAAGTGATAATGGGGGGGGGTGATGAATTCGTTGTTAATTACATGTTAATTTCCTGATGTAATCAGGGTCAGTTAATTTCATGATGTAATCAGGGTCAGTTAATTTCATGATGTAATCAGGGTTAGTTAATTTCATGATGTAATTAGGGTTAGTTAATTTCATGATGTAATTAGGGTTAGTTAATTTCATGATGTAATCAGGGTAAGAAAATTTCATGATGTAATCAGGGTAAGTTAATTTCATGATGTCATCAGGATTTGTTAATTTCATGATGTAATCACTATGGAAACTTGATTAAAGTTGTGAACATATTCGCTCTGCTGTTCCGTAAATTTAGAAGATGATCAGAAAATTTATGGTATAAGAAAATGAATCTATAGTTCTATGAAATAATCATGCAAAAACATAAGGGATATCATTTCGACGACCTAAAAATTCATTTCATTTACTTTTTCGCACACTTTTCTTTTGAAATGTATAGTTGTAACAGAAGAAAGTTAAATACATTAATATAATGAAATTTTAAAGTCCTATTCACTTGGTTCAACTTTTTGCCTAACTACAACAATAATGTGCACAGTAAGTAGTAGTTCTCTGTGAATGTGCAGTGTTGATCTAGCTCAGTGGTAGGACTTGTTGACCGATCGTTAAGGTGGGTAAAATCTATCTAGAGTAAATTTCATGGTAATTATCTTTCTTGTCAAGATATCAAATGGAGACATCTTACTATTTCTTTTCGCTAATCTTAATCAACGGTGTACAAACTCTTGTTGCCAAGTAATTACTTTACAAACTGAGGAAAACAAATATGACTAAAACTATCAGAATATGATAAAATTTACCATGTACCTGGCTTTATGAGAACAACAAAATACTCTAATTTTTGCCGAAGTGGTTTAGTAATGATTTGGGTAAAATTAACAGTAAAATTTTGTTTTGCAATATGTAATGAAATTCGGTAAGTGTGGTAAAATTTGGATAATTTTATCATATCTTAAAGCATTGCATAAACACTATTTTTTGCTTAAATTTGCTTCTTAGTTTCATATATTTCACCAAATGTGTAGCAATAAGAACTAAAATTTTGAAAACCAGTATTTGCGGTAAACCGTAATCATATGAACGGAAAAATTATCAAATGAATGATTTAAATATTGTACATTTAGGTTTTATGAACCAGAATGATGAGTTTTTAAACCAATGTCATTACCATAAAGCACAATCGATAATTTTAACAGAATTTTTTCCTGCGTGCATGTTCGTATTGCTCATCTAGCAATGTGGTGATAATAAAAAAATGGATCTCTTCGTGTAGACGAATTTAAAAATATTTATGCTTACAATACATAACAGATGACCCCAACGCTCCACATATCACTTGAAGGACACACTGGTTCATAATTTATAACTTCTGGTGCAACAAATTCAGGAGTACCAAAAAGAACACGTAAACTTTCCTCGGACTTGTAAAATCTGGCCAATCCAAAGTCGATTATTTTTATCTATGGAAAAGAAAAAATTCGTTTAGTTATATTTATTTCCAAATAACTTGAAATTTTAATGTCCTCTTTTACAACGAACTGCCTTTAAATGTAAACAAGTATAATGTTTATGTGAATATGAATAAATCTTATATTATTTATAATGTTATTAATTTATTATTATTTTTATTTTGGTAAGAAAGACAATCATTAAATCTATTTTTTAAGTATAAAACAATAATGTATGGACGGAAAATACCAACAAAAAAAAACAAATATTATGCAAAGTTTAGAGTTACAATTAATATACATTGATAGTAAAAACATATATACAGCTTTTAAAGCATACACTATAATATTATATAGTGATGCTGTATCATGAAACAGGCTAATCCATTCATATGCAACTATCATTTAATTGTTTAGGATGATAATGCATTTATTTAAATACCGTGCTGAAAGCAGAAAAACAGTACAATTACATACAATAATAGAGCAATTATTTACAGCTAAAATAAAACTCTTATTTGCTGTTAAAATATGAATGCAAAACTCGATACTCCTATTTTTTTACGACGAAAGCGTTAAAATTACCTTTAAAAATTTTTACTACGTTCCAACATTAGATAATTGTTTTTACGTTACATTTGATTCATGAACAGAAAAGAAAATAGGAAAACGTGTATTTTTTCTCTCCTTAAAACATCTCTTTTATTAAAAATAGTACTTGAACAATGATTTCATCTTTTAATTAAGCAAATCAAGATTCTTTTTTAAATTATGAATTATTCATTAGTTCATATGTTTCGCGAAGTTAGTAATCTTAATTTTACATGCTTTAGTAGAAATTAAAAATGCAAAGTTTTCTTAGACTTTAGCGTTAAAAACAAGAACAAAGTAAGTTGCTATGCATGAGAAGGCTATATAATTAGAAAGGGAAATTGCTGGAATATACTAAAATATACAATGCAAAAAATTAGCAAGTTTTATACACGTATCTTAAATATGAATAAATTTATTTAAACCGTTTTTAACATTCATAACATGCGTTTAATGTTATGACTTAATACACTAGCTAGAGTACTTCGTGTCAAAGATAAATTTTTGAATTTAACAACTTTAAGAAAAGAAGATGCTTAAGGATGTTTTTTTATTAAATAATTTCATATAAACGTTTCTGTTGAAATAAACTGGCTAGTATAAGAAAATAATGATAAAACGGATGATGTCAGAATGAAACTAGAGATTTCTATGCAAAGTTGGAACTTTCAACAAGATTTGGCTCCTTGCCATGTTTCCAAAAAATAAAGGAAAGGAAAAGGAAGAAAGACAAAAAGGAGAGACAAAATCAAAAAGGTTAAGAAGTTTCCAAAAAACCCACCAGATCTTTAAAAAAAGATTGCTAAAAAAATTTATCGTTTATATTACTCATGGGCTGCAATCGTAGCACAACTCAAAAAACATGCGTTTTGGACTAAGAACCGTTGTAAATATGAAAATACACATTCCTTTAAGCAGCAATACTAGCACAACTCACAATTCAACTTGAATGTAATCTTCGTTTAAGCAAACTACATTTCTCATGCATTTTGCTTAGCAATGTAAACTTTAAACCCACTTGTCTCAAAACTTGATTTTTTTGCGTTGTGCCGCTGTTGCAGCCCATGAGCGATATATTGATTCAAATGCAGTTTAGGGATGGAAAAAAAATCGCTAAAAACTTTAAAATCCCAAGAAAAAATATTTTTATGCTAAAACAACTAAAATTGGGTTTGAAAAAGACGTATTAAATATTAATTGAAAACAAAATGTGTTACTATTCCCAAAAAGACTGTTATTTTCCAAAAAAATAAGAAATAAATACGTTCGGTACTATAATAAACTTTTTAAGTGTACATCTCAAACACGTTTGTTTAATACAGCTATTTCAAGCAATTTAAAAAAACTCCTTACTTTGTGTGATGTTCTAGTCTTGCAAAGTATATTTTCCGGTTTCAAATCTAGATGTATGACATTGTTTCTGTGCATATAAGATACTCCATCACATATCTGTCTCATGAAGAGGACGCAGTCTTGTTCAGTTAGGATAAAATCATCAGCTATTACACGCTCAAATAGTTCTCCACCTGAAATGCTGTTAATACAAAGAAACATTAATATATTTGTGCAAGTATGGTCAAAATATGGTAAAATTTACCGTGTTTCTGGCTCCATGGGAGCACCAAAAATGGAACGATGGGAACATTTTGGTAAAATTAACAATAAAATATGGTTCTAGAATATGTAATAAAATTTGGTAACTTTTATCATAACACCTTAAAGCATGGCATAAAAACTATTTATTCGGTTAAATTTGCTTTTCAAGTTTTGTATTTTTTTATTAAATGTGGGGTAATGGGGACTATAATTTTGAAAACCAGAAATTCCGCTAAATCGTTATTTTGCGAACGAGAAAATTGCCAGCTGAATAGTTTAAAAACCGCATATATTGGTTTTATTGACCAAAATTATAGAGATGTCATTACGATACAGTACAGTATTTTCACCAGGAGCCTTTTTTAGGGTAGAGTAGGGTGATTTTCAAAACTTAAGGCATTTTTGAAACTGAAATAATTTTAAAAACTGGACAATTTTATTTAATCAAACTTTTTACTACCACGTGTAAACATTTTAAGCTTTGGATATCATGGCTTGAACATGTTTCACTGACAATGGTGCTTTGTATAGGACAATTAATAAATTAAGCTTCAATAAGTAACTTTAAAAAGTTTGTAACAAACCAGACAAAGTTAAAAATACTCATTTTTCGAAAATTCAAAAATCTTCAGAAGTAATAATTTCATCTAAAGATTTGTTTTTAAAATGATTATTCCCACATAATGAATAATGAAATCAAGATTAAAAAATAGAAGTGAGTAAAGGAAAAAATGTTAGCAATGAACAGAGAGGTTGAGTAGGTACTCTGAGAAAAGAAGGTTTAAGCATTAGAGAAATTGGTAGGCGGTTAAAATTATCAAAAACAACAGTTTTTCAAGCATTGAAATCTATTCAAGTGACCAAAAGTATTGAAAAAGCATCCCGAAAACCACGTCCTCGCAAAACTACCGAACGAGAAGATCGAATTATTCATCGAATTTCTGAAGTTGATCGTCACAAAACCGCCTCGGACATCAGAAAAGAATTCGCTGAATTAACAGGCAAGCGCGTAAGCAATAATACCATCAAACGGCATTTAAATGAGTTTCGGCTTATGGGTCGCGTATATAGGAAAAAATCGTTGATGTCAAAGAAGAATATAGCAGATCGATTAGCTTTTGCAAAAAGACACCGAAATTGAACATCGATTGACTGGAATCGAGTTATATTTACAGATGAATCGAAATTCAACAAAATGGGCTCTGATGGCAAAAGTTATGTGAGGCGTCGAGTCGTTGAAGAATTTAATGTACTGTGTACAAAATCAACTGTAAAAGGTGGAGGCGGCTTGGTGATGGTGTGGGGTGCCATGACAAGTTCACGATGTGGTCCAATTCACAAAATTGAAGGCATCATGGATCAGCATGTGCATGTGGACATTATCAAGACTGTTTGTCTGCCTTATTACAGGAAACTTCGCTCAAGAAAACCAATCATGCAAGCCGATAATGATCCAAAGCACACGAGCAAAACTGCGAAGGCCTTCTTGTCAAGCCAGAAAATTGAGGTTTTGCAGTGGCCTTCCCAATCACCAGATCTCAACCCGATCGAGATGCTGTGGATAGATGTGGATAAATATGTGAGACAGCAGAAACCAAACAATTTAGGTGATTTATACTCCTGAGCAGCTATACCTTCTGAGCGATGTCAAAGATTAGTAGATTCGATGCCTCGTAGTTGTGAAGCAGTAATTGCCGCAAAAGGCTTACCGACTAAATACTAGCTCCAAATCTTTATTTTTTGTTACATTTTTTACATTGTTATTAATTTTATTAACGATTAAGAAATATTTATTTTGTTGTCCTTAAGTATGCGGAAGGCATATTTTCTCTAAAATGTTACATAATTTAAGTATAATAGTTAGATAAATGATTTTCATTGTGAAAATATATTGAAAATAAGTTATTTGTTCCAATACATAATTATCAATTCAATAAACTTATGCGTGAACATTAAATTTTGGATTTTACTTTTCATAAAGACTTGTCCTTAAGTACGTGAGCGCCACTGTAAGCCAACAGGCTATTAAGTTCTATAATAAAAAATATCTTTTTGTCGGACATCAAAAATGCCTCAAATTTTAAATGCATCCATTAAGTAATCATCTGACGCAGTTGACGAGTTAAATTAACCCACTGAGCATGACAATTGGCTATTGCTATGTAACAATTGTTAAGAATTGAATTTGATAAATAATCGAAATTCTAATATAATTTGCATTTTTAAATTTACATTTTATACTTTTTTTTGTTTATTACTCAAATAAACTAAAGTTTTACATATGTTTCAGATTCATATGTTATAGATAATTAATATGTTATGTATGTAACTTGCTAAGTTAACAATATGTTACATTATAATGTATGTTATGTTTTAACATGTTAAGTAAACAATTGTTAACAATTGAATTTGATAAATAATAGAAATTTGAATGTAATTCGCTATATTAAATTATACTTATTATAATAAACAGCAACTTTTGTAAGCGTAATAAATTCACCTTAACTTATTAAAGTTAATAGTTTTCACCTAGTTTTTTGAACTAGATTGATTGTCATGCAACGCAAACCGTCTGTAGAATTTTAACATGTCAATAATTATTTGACTATTTGGGAAACAATTATTAGAAAACAGTAATTTTGAGAAAAATAATATTACTCAAAGATAGAGTAACAGAATAAAGCTTTTTTTATTGCTAAATTAAAGTAATTAATGTTAAAATATTTTAAAGTAAGAAAAAAAAGTTCATTAGCAACAGAGAATATACTAACTGAAAAAAATGACTTAATTATTTTGAAACTATTTAATATTTAGTATGAAATATTTCATATGAATTTTTTTCTTGGTGTATACATATGCTGTAAATGAATAAAATAGGCTAAATAATGGTTTTTAAAAAAGAAATTAGAAAAATTTTAGGTGATGAGAAAATACATAGTTATCAGAAAAACTTAATTCTTTATTCTTGAATTTAGTTATTTTAATTTGATTTGAAAAACTCGATGAGAGAAACTTATCAAATTTTTCTAAATGCTTTATCCTTTTAAAACTTAAGTAATATATTGGTTATTGAAAAAAAAAATATTTTTTAAAAATTTTGTTACTTTTTTTCATTTGCATTTTACCTAAAGAAGTTCATATTATTAAGCGAAATATTAAATAAATTATGGATTATTGGTTGAAAATAAATATCAATATTGCTTGTTAAAAAATCCTAACTCTCGGAACCCTTGTCATCCTTCCATGGAATCCTAGGGCTCCGCGGACCACCTTTTGGGAGCCACTGCTCTCTCCTAAGGCTTTTTCCTAATGAAGTTAATGCACATCAAAAAAGATCCAACAATATAGGCATTAACGCCATTGATGTTTTGCAAACTCTCAAAACACCTTGATCTAGTAGATTAAATGTGTACTTCTGAAAAAAAACACAGTAAATGAAAAACATTTTTTTAATACTTTAATTTTCACAAGTTTTACTTTTTGCATTTTATCTAAGAACTTCCTTGGAACATTTTTTTTGTGTCCAGGATCGCTTAACTATGATCAAATGGATCCTCGAAAACATTATTCCATAAAGACCATAACTTTTCATGAAAAGTTCCATAAGCAATCCAAAAATAACTTACTACTCCATAACCATGATCATGTTCCGACCACTCTCGAATGCAGCCAGAACTTGCATGAGTTTGGGATGATGAAGCCTACTCATTATCTCTATTTCCTGCTTCACCTTTTCTTTATCTTTTATCTTCAAACAGCGAATTATCTTTGCAGCTCGAGGACGTCCACACGATTTCTCCACACATCTGTACACAGTTCCAAACCGTCCTCTAAGGATGTCAATTTTAACTTTTAATTATTTGGAGAAAAAAAGGGGAAATAGATGACAAAGATAAATTACCAATGGAGGCAGGAAAATTTTAATGGAGATGTCTTTGCAAAACATAATTTATCAAAGAAATTGAATGACAATAACGATCTGTGACCATTTACAATATTCGGTTTAATCATATGCCTTCTTTGAAAATACTTTTAATTGAGTTTATAGAATTTTAGAAGGATATATTATGGTCCAAAGTAATTTTGCGTGTGGTGCAACCTTTAATACGCTGAATGCCACGCTAATTTTACATGACTTGCTCGTCTGGCCAAAAAGATTTTCTCAGTATGTATTGCATTAATTTCTTCAAACCATTTTAGTAACGATAATAATGTTAAATAAAATTAAAAGCATTAAAAATTTACTCGAATTATGTGTTTCTAATAATCTTGGCGACGCCGGTTCCCGGTGACCCCCGTGGAGCTACGAACAAACTCAGTGCCGGTCACCGGTGACCCCCATGGCATTCAACGCGTTAACAGATATCCGAAGGTTTATGCAAACTTTTAAAACATTTTTTATTGTTGCGTAATTCTTTTGACTTTGTAACCATTTAATATTGTTTCCTTCCTTTTCTTGTGAGTTGACAAAAAAATTTTCTACAAATTATACCTAATGACCGACCAGACTGTGGAGGAATCAGAGAACTGGCCTTACATCAGAAAGATTCTGGGTTCGAATCCCGGACAAGGCATGGGTGTTCTTTCATTCTCTGTACTATCTGTCCTTATTCTGGGAGCAACGTTGGGCCACCTAATAATATGACCCTGAGGGAGTGGCCAACACCTATATTGACGAAAGTTCATTTTCCGAGATGGGCATTGAAAAGTAAATACCTAATTCAAAGTTTAAAAAAATTATGCTATATTCGTTTTCTCTGTTGTTTTGGTGTTGTAAATATATGGATGAGTTTAAAACAATCAGCGATTTATTCTCTCTCATTTACATACTTTTGTGACGCAGTTAGAATGACGTACCAACACCATATAGTAAAACGCAGTTATCCTTTATGGTCTGTTTAGTTTTACACTTCCCATTTCTTTTTTATATCGAGTAAGAAGAACACATAAGGATTGATAAGTTCTAATTCTTATCAAGTCGTTAATGTTCGCATCGTAAGCAAAAAATGTTGCCTTAAGTATTAATCTTGTTAAAAGACATTAACTGAAAACGACCTTAGGAATGTGACTGAAAATAGTGATATTTGATCAGTCGATGCAGCTGAAATGTCCTCTCCCTTGCCATCTGTCACTAGTACGCCTACGCACATTTAAGTTGGGAAAGCGGTACTGTCCTTTGAAAACAACGGCCGCCGCTTCTTCATAAACTAAACTTATATTGATAAACGCTGTTTTACCAATTTCCATTAGTTAACAACCTTTAAAAAACGTTCATATCATGACAACCTTATAAGTGTTGGTCTGAATTAAAAAATAAATTAAATATTTAAAATAACTTCATTTCGTTTGTAGGATATGTTACTGTTTGATTATTTCCATAATTTTTTACACTTTACCACAATACCTTGTTTAATAATTCTTATTGTGAGTAAAATTGCTTCGAACAAGAACATGCTTTAGCAATTACTGATTGTGATTACGGTTAATATCCTGTTCATGTTCGACATATTTATGGAGAAAAAAATACCTACCCACGGGATCTTTTGGTAGTAAATAAAAAACGGACCTCTCAGAAAGCAAAAACTCATTTTAAAAATTTAAAAAGAAAACCATTCTTTACGCCAAAGAAGTGCCAATTTTTAATTTTTATCAACAAATTAGTGATAAATTTAACCTATACGTTCGTACAGTAAAGTTAAATACTGTTCAAAAATGCTCTAAATCATTTCTCGCCGTATTTCTATAAATCTTCTTCTCGATAAAAACAAAGTACTCGATAAGTACTTTGCCTAATATCATACAGCTATAAACAGAAATAGTTTAGGATATGCATAGAGAATTAGGTCTCAAAAAAATTTATGCTCATAAAAAGCATTATGAAATTATTTTATAGCTCTGAAACAAAATACTAAAGCCTCTAAAATTATTTTTATCAATGCAAAATAATATCAATTCCAAATGGTATCAATACCAAATAATAATAATAAAAAAAAATCTTTATTACTTTAATGTGAATAAATCCCCAAGCCAAAGATTAAAAAAAAATTAAATTTCCAATAAAATTAATCGCCATGTTTTATCCACATTGTTGCCATCAATCAACAATAAAATTATTTTGGTACAATAATTTTACGAGGTTAAACCACTTCCTCAGCTTTAAAAATCTCTTTTACATTTGTCCAATACAACAACATCCGTTTTATGTCTTCTTCTAAGAACTAATGCAGTCATAACGGTTTTATGATTGGTTTTAATAGAAAAAAAAAGAGTAAAATTAATATTTAAATTTAACTGTAACAGCTTCTCCTTTCCCGAAAATTTTATGTTATGTTGTATCAGCGACGGAAATATTTTACCCGTAACCACAAGAGGTACCAAATCGATTAATACAAATAATAAAAAAAATCAAGAAAAAACTAAGCCATTATCTCATTTTTAAACAAGGAAAAAAAGCTTCATCTTCACGGTTCATAGTATTCATTGAGTTAAAAGAAAAACTCAAGTTGTTAAATGATTGGCAGTTTATTTTTAAAAAAAATTGCATCAGTAAAAAACATCTTAGAGTACTTTATTTAAAACTAATCGAGTTAAGGTGACTGAAAAATGTGATCATTCTACGAACACAAATGTGTATAGTACAGCATAAAACAACCCGGTATTAATAGATTGATTCAAAATTTTAAATCATAAAGCAGAAAAAACAGAATGTTAATTATTTTTCTTTTGAGCAAATTAGGATGAAAATTTTCTTACTTTCCAACTTCTTCCTTTATATCGAAGCGATCCGAAAACTCAGTCCCGTTATCTACAGTAATTTCAGCAGGTTTCTCTTCAGCTAAGGAAAAAACGTACTTAACACTTTTGGATTCAAAATGCAATGATAACATATAATGCTTTTTGTGTTTTTAGCTAATGTTAAAGAAAAGTAATATTGACATGTACCCTAAAAATAATCGTCGAAAAATCAATGGAAGAAAAACTTAAGACAATAAAATAGTTAAGTTCACTGCAACATTATAAAATAAGTTGCACAGCTTGTTAACATCTGAAGCTGCTTACCTATCAAAACCATAAAACAATGTTTCTGAAATAAGCATTCTTGAAACAATAGCAAGGCACGTTTTATTTTATTTTATAATCGTTGTTGAACACCTAACCCAATATTGAGTTTACGACGATCAACGTTCAACTCCGTAACTCTGTAACTTTGAACCCTATCCAGAAGACAAGGAAACACTTATAAAAAATGTAGGTTCAAATTAAGTGGTACACTGTACGTGGTACAAGTACAGGCACTTTGAGTGCATCATCCGTAATAAAACCTATTTTACCGTAAAATCTATTTATATAATAATATTTATTAGAGTGATTCAGCGATTTTACTATAAAAAGTACGGTGAGTCGGATTTATTTCGTAGCATGTTTCGGAAAAAATGGATTCTGATGTAAAAAGCTCCCGGTACTCAGAGTGTTTTTTTGCGGTATTTTTTACAGTTATTTGATCTGGAATTTCTTACTATCAGTATAATTATGTATTATATCAAACTGTAATTACTTCCATTAAGTAAGTAAAAAAAATTATCAAGTTGTGAGTGAATATTAATAAATACATAGAAATGTATCCAAAGTTAAAAATAGATATTCAAAAATTTTCAAGGTAAAAATAAATAATAAGCTTAAATTTCTAATATTCCCTTTGTCAAGATTTAAGCAAAATAAAAAAAAATTAAAATTAATGGGTATTATAACTGATTATCAAGAACTACTAATTATGTGTTATCATAAGAAATAAATCAAAAATCTTTTTTCTTTTCAACATTTTTAAATATCTTTGTTTATGCATTTGAAATCTAGACGATACCTTAAAGAGGGAGAATTTAACTTCACCTAAAATTAAAACATCATGCTTTACTTTTTCCATTACTGCAAACAAGGAAGTTATTTCACGCATTTCAATGAAGGGTAGCAATCTAATTAACTTCATGTTTAAGTAAATTGTCTCCATCAGCTACCGAATGCAAGTAAATTAAAAGTAATTCAACAGAGAAATGAAACTGTTGACAACTAAGACACAATTTTGTTTGATTTTGTAATAAATTATATTAATCACTAAATATATCTATTAAGTGGGTGCGTTTTGACAATTCTTTTAAGTACGCAATACATAAAACTGTATTGCTTAACAAAATAAATATGTGATTAATGCTATCTGCGTTTATGCTTTAGATTCGAACAACGCAGAATATTGCATGAAGCTATAATATTGAGAAATGATTCGTAAAACTGTCCCAATCTTGAGCGCATTTCTGAAACTTCAATCGAATTCAGACGAATCAAGATGACAACTCTGAAAAATCTATTGTCCATATAAAATTGATTTCAAAATAACGGTTAAAGATAAATATAATCTGAGTAATGCAGCATTGTCTGTCTTTTCTCAATACGTTGGAGACACGAAAAGAATTAACATGCATTGGTTTTAAGTTGGGCAATTGGAAATACTTCTATTTTTTTTTAAAATTTAAACTACTCTGTAAGAAATTCCGGTAAAAATTGCTGGCATTCAGAATACCGGTACTGTTTGCAGTAAAATTTGCTTTTACCGGAATATGTTAAGGAATTAAAAATCTAATATACCGTAATTTTTATAATAGTAGTTACTGTAAAATCGCTGAATAACTAATTAAATAAATATTACTGTAAAAATGACGATAAAAATGGATTTTACGATAAAACTAATTTCACGGATAATGCACCCCAAGTGCCGGTACTTTACAGATTCGGAAAATTTTACAGTGTAGTAATTCATTTCATTACAAAAAAATGGTTAAATACTTTTATCAATATTTGTTAAATAGTTACCAAAAAAGAATTTTTAACAACAAGTTTATATTTATTTCAGTAACATTTTTTCTTCTTTTTCAAGGAAAAAAATTTTTTTTATGTGATTCAAGTAGCAGACTCAAAGATGCTGATTGAAACAAATTATTTATGCAAAGTAATATATTCAAAGATAAATGCTGATTTTATTACTTTACAGAAATTAATAGATAAAAGGATAAATTCTAAGTTAAACTGATCATTGAGGGGAATAAATAGACTCAAAGAAAAATACTAGTTCAAAATTGATAAGTAATAGATTCCGAGATAGTAACTAGAGATTTAAAGAGAAATTTGAAGGCCAGTTATGCATTTTGAAAATAGTAATTAATGTAAAAACAGAATCTAATGTCTATAATCTATTTGTACTTACTTAGTTCTTCATCTGAAGAACTATCCATAAGGAAATCGTCCAAACAAATGACTTTAGACTCTTTACTTGGGTGACTCAAACCATAGCGATTTTCTGCCCTAACTCTAAATACGTATCGCTGACCCTTTGACAAACCCTGAACGGAGCAACTAGTGTTTACAGATGAAACCACTTTCTGCCACCTAAAATTAAAATGAAAGAAATATTTAGAAACTAATTCTTTCAATTGCAAAAAATTGAAAATCGATATAAAATAAAAATATAGAATTATAAATATAAAATAATATTTGGAAATTCAAAAAAAATCCTAAGTAGTGAAACTTTGAAAAAGGTATGCGTTTTTAAATATTGCAGTTAATCGATAGCTCATAATTTTTTCCAGAATTGCATAGGAACAAGACTCTACATGAAATAAATGTATGATCAGAACTACCAGAATGTGGCTAAATTTACGGTGTTTCTGACTCCATATAAGAGCACCAAAAAACAGGGTAAATTTAACCAAAGAGCTTTGGTAATGGCTTTTTCATTAAAAATTAACAATAAAATATGGTTTTTATTACAATGCAGTTTGGTTGTAAATGTTGCAAAATGAGGTAATTTTCCCACTGACGCAAAATTGTACTATAGTTTGAGATTACGCAAAATCGTAGTCTTGTTTGAGATTACGCAAAAGTTTCCCTTCGAAAACTTCCATTTTATTTAGCAGACAGTTGTTAACTTCCTATTTCGTCGGTTATTTGTTTTTTAATTCCTATCTACCCTTGTCAAGTCAATATACAGATAACACATGATGGAGAAAGACAGCAAACACATTCAGCCTGGGACGTGGTGAGATTCGAACTCGAATCTCACCTTCACATTGCAATAAATGGATCTTTGTAATGTTTTTCTCCAATTTGCGCGTCCCGCAGTGGACTGATCGCTAAGACACGGTTCCCAACAGATCACCGAAGTCAAGCATCACTGGCTGCGGTCAGTGTGCGGGTGGGTGACCACTTGGATCAGTCTGCGTAGGGACCGAGGGTGTGCGGCATTGGTCCTCGTCAAACTGTTCCACCGTAAAGTGCTCGACTTTGCGTGCAGGTCGTTGGGCTACAGAAGCGGGGGTGACATCCCCTCTGCAGAGGATCAAAATTGTGATGGCTTGTCTTCGGATCATCCTCAGGGATGTTTCCCAGACGGTCACCAATAGCCCATTGTGCAGCTCTAGTGTGACGTAAATTAACTACTACTACAACTCTAATTTGCGCAATATTTTCTTAAACTTGAGTTGGCTTATACAGGGTGTTTTGTAATGAACACACAAGTCTGCATATGTATGTGTAACAATAATTTCTTAAAAATTCTTGAAATAGTACTGATTTTTTTCCCTTCAAAACATTCCTTACATCAGTCTCTTTTTTGTTCGCCGAACGCTCTTTAACAAAGAGGTAGCGGGTTTGAATGAAAGCATTACCATGGATGCATAGTATTAAACAAATAAATTTGGTTTAGATACATATACTGGGTCATGTGCTTAATGCAAATAATTGCTTGTCTCTTATCAAATTGCAGTCCCGCAGTGGACTGATCGCTAAGACACGGTTCCCAGCAGATCACCGAAGTCAAGCATCACTGGCTACGGTCAGTGTGCGGGTGGGTGACCACTTGGATCAGCCTGCGTAAGGACAGAGGGTGTGCGGTATGGGTCCTTGTTAAACTGTTCTACCGTAAAGTGCTCGACTTCGCGTGCAGGTCGTCGGGCTACCGAAGCGGGGGTGCCATCCCCTCTGCAGAAGATCAAAATTGCGATGGCATGTCTTCGGATCATCCTCAGGGATGTTTCCCAGACCGTCGCCAATAGCCCATTGTGCAGCTCTGGTGCGACGTAAATGAACAACAACAACTTATCAAATTGCAGAACAGATAGAATAAAAGTGAAGAAAAGAGCGCAAAGATATTGAACCCACTACCTCTGTACTTCAAAGCGTTCGGCAGAAAGACAACATCCCGCGGCAATGGAGATCCCTATAATAAATGGTTCTTTTGCTTGAACCTCGCTGTGCAGTATTGCTATTCCGCTATCCACTCTGAAGCGTATCTGTAGTGAGGTCGAATCCCGCTATAACATAGGATGTATATTCTTGCTGTCTTTTGTAAGATTACGCAACATGTTTTTCAAATTAAAAAGAGTTTTTAAGCTGTTCTTTGTATTTACAAAGAAACCCTTATGTGTACGTAAATAAATACGTAGATCCCACTACTTCATAAAAAATAGATGAAACAGTCACTGTAATATGATATATCTTAGTTTAGTATCCTTAAGCACTTTAATTCATTTGAAGTCATCATTATTTTCCCTTTAACGATTTTTATAATTGAGAAATTATATTTTATTACCGATTTTGAACTGCCGACCCTATTTTTTGGGTTTAAGACTACTGATGTTCAACTGGTGACTTGTGCAAGTTAAATCTGTCGGCGTCACAAAGTCTTCCATGTTCCTATAACAAATCAATATCTCTGGGGATATTGAATTGGAGGTTGACTGTTCTCTGTTACGACCTGTAGATAAATGAATGGGTTCTCCTTTTAAAACGAGCTGTGACGTGTGTGTGGCTATAGTTATAGATGGCGCCACTGAAAAACAAGAAACGCACCCTCTACCTTAAAAATCGCCAAGATTTCTATAGCAGGCTTGCTAGCATTGGCAAGAGGCATTAGTAATAACAACAATAGAAATGATTAATAGTCAATTAACTCCTATCAACTATTTAAATAAACTAATAAAGAAATGTAAATACATTATTACCCTACTATTTGGTAAGAAGCAAAGACCAAATAATAGGAAAACTAATTGATAGTTCTGAAGATTATTTGGTAATTTTATCGTGTTACTTTAGAGTATGGCATGATAACCACAAATTTGGTTACGTTATTTATTAAATTTCACAAATTAAATGTCTATACTAAATGTTCAAAATTATAGAGAACTATAATTTTGAAAAGCAGAAGTCTCGGTAGCAGCGAACTATAAAATTACAATGTAAATAGTTTAATCACTGAAGATTTTAGTTTAATTATTGGAATCGTGGTTTCTTATTCCAGAAATGTCTGTACCATATAAGTTTGGTGATTTTAATAGAATTCTACAAAATGACGATACTGTATGGTAATGATATTACTGGCAAAAAAAACATAGTTCTGCTAATAAAACTAAAGTTTACGGTTAAAGTTTAAACCATTTATTTGGTAATTTTAATGTAATGGTTTACAGTAAAAATTGGTTTTTGGTGATTGGTAAATTGGTAATTTTTACAGTAATTACAGTAAAATCAGCTGCTCTAATTAAATAAATGCTACTGTAAAAATTAAGATATAATATTTTATGCTAAAAATGAATGCTACGATAAAAGGAATTTTATGGATGATGCTCCCAAGGAGTAATTTGATCCGGAATTTTTTACAGTGTAGCCTTTTATATTTATCATTCAAGCTGTTAGCCTATTTCACTTGTTGTCACATCAGTCGAATGCAAACACATTACATGCAATTACAATACATTTTTACATTGCACCAGTTCCACGCACAATATTTACTACCAGTAAAATGCAGTTTTATCCCTACTTAAATTTCTTGGAGAAAAAAAAACATGGCTCCACTTCACGTGTTTGACACTTTATGATTTCAGCATGACAGATGGATTATGTAATTTTAGAACTTAAAATGAACAAAGCAGGTGAACTCACGCCTATATTCTATTCGAGTACGTCTTGTCTGTTAACAAGGAGTTTGTGTTCATACTGCTATACCATGTGATTTGAAACAATGTAGAAGAAATCTTTTTTAAACGCAAAACTATTTTTGAGCAGATAGCACTTAAGAACTATTACCCAGAAAACAGTGTAAGGTTAACTTTAACGTAAGCAAAAACCATTATCAAAAATCTCAACAAAGTTTATAAATAACTAATGGGCTGCGCCCCCTGATCGCTAACGCTCGCCAATCCCCGAAAATTGCTACGCAATCTTATATGGTTTGCTTCGCAAACCAAGCTCGCTTCGCTCTCTACTAACTTAGGTACATTGCAAATGTACAAAACTCTAAGAATTCAAAACAATCATTCGAATCCATATAAAAACTTTTTTTTTAAAAAAAAATTACATCTTTTTAGTAAATACTAAGTCATTAAAATGAATTTGAATTCAAATAAATGACATGTAATTCGTAAAACCTATTAGAAATGTGCTATAGTATAATTCGTGATATAAATCAAAAATCGTGAAATAAATTCGTGATATATAAATTCGTGAAAAAAAGCGCTATCGACAAAATACTAAAATAGAGATCTATCGACAAAGACTACTCACTTCTGCCTAGCTTAATAGTATGAGATTTCCGCAGCTGATGCTCTCTGGTTATTTCAGTTTCCGCTTTTAAAAGCGCTATATGTTGAGCCACCTCAGCTAGATTTGGCATGTGACATTTTTAGCGGCAATCATTGGCCGATTCGCCGTGTAAGAGAAGTAGTAACGTAAACAAAACAAAGTATACGTTGGCACCGGCGTAAAAGAAATGCAGCCAAAATTTGGGAGCCACGTAAGAGAATTATATATATTAGATTAACAAATAAACCATGCAAACCTCAAACAATATTAAATTTAGCTATGTTAGTTTTCGTGGTATGGAGTTTCGCCTTAAAGAAACTAAGAAAATTTAAAGAAAAGAAAATTTTGCGTCAAAGGGTTACTTTGACGCAAAATTTTCTATAAACATATTTTTCATACTTTGTTTCTTATTTTGTATTTATTTAGCCGAAGGAAGTGAAAATTATTATATTTGGCATTTTAATGACTTATGGTTATAAAACACAGCATGAAAAGCCGGTGTCTTTTTCTGCGTTACAGGAAAAAACTTTCAAACGCGGCTCACTTCCAAACCATAATTTTTCAAATTTGTACTTGCAATTATTTAGATCTAAGATAAACAGTTATTCATCACTGAAATTTCTTTATTTTACATAAAATAAATTAATGGAATGCTTATGAAATATGGATAAAATATATTTCAAACTACTTCATTTGAGATACTTTATTTTATATTTCAGAACAAATATAATTCCGATAATGTATCAGATTTTTTAGAAACTATTAGACTGTTTTTTATAATTAAAAAATACCAAAAAACATTTTTGCTTGTAATTAAAGCGTCAGAAAAAATATATAAAAAGGGCACTTGTATACCATCTGCGTCAAAGGGTTAAGCTTGCATAAACTGCTCTTTTATATCGAGATTGAATCTACCTTTACAAAACAAAAACTGCTTTTACAACTAGAAAAATCTGAAATCAAGGAAGAATCATGAATTATTATTCACAAATTAAGTGTAGAAAGCGTTGTCTAACCGAGCATGAATTCACCTTCTCAAGGTTTATTTTAACTTTTATGGCCATCTCTGAAACAAGGTTTATTTGAGCAGGTTTCTATATTCTTTCCTTAATACTTTAAAAGTATAGATTGGCCTTATCATTTAGTCTTCAACACAAACAAAATGTTGCATCTGAGAGCCTGGACAAACCAAAAATGAAAATAGGCAAAGTCAAGGTTTATAGTAAAAGCCAAAAGTTGAGAGTTTTTGTAAAGTTTATTGCATGTTTTTATTCAATCCTTAAGGAAACAAGCTTGATGTTTAATAAAAAGGATTGATTGGGAAACCTCTCTATGCCAACCAAATGAAAATGAAAATATAGCGTTAGCCGTAAGTTTTCCTGCTCTTTGGTGAGTAACAAAAGAATTAAACATATAAGAGAGAATAAACTACGGACTAGTGGATTGTATCTAATAGCATTAATTCGTATCTTACAGCTAAAATAAAAATAACTAACAGCAATGTTTGACCTTTTTTTTCCAAATAAGTTTCAATTTTTGCTGTTAAGTATCTAAACATTAATATTATGTCTAATTCGTAGTCTGCTCCCTAAGTTGAGTATTAATGCGGTTTTTAAGGCAAGAATAGTGGCAAATAATAAATTTCACCCATGCTATTTGATTTTAATAAGAGGTCGACTTTCGGTCTTTTTTTATCAGATTCCCTCTATATTGTCCATAAAAATAATTTTCTTTCTTTATTTCTTTGTTTTTTATCAGGTTTTAGTGTATGATACACACATAAATCCAAAAAACAAAAAAAACAAATCCAAGTTAAAAATTTCAGAATTTTGCCTCCGAAGGTATTTTGGCACCTTCAAAATTTAGTTTCTAAAAAACCTCAGTGTTCCAAAATCCCACAGCACATTGTTAGATTGAACCACTTACGTCTTACTGGGCAATGTGCACATTTCCACCTGATAGCCTGTCACAACGCTTCCTCCATCATACATGGAACCATACCAACTGAGAACAAGTGAATGATCCGTCACTTCATTGGCTGTTGGTTCTCCACCTGGTGGTTCTGGGAAACCTGAAGAGACATACGAATTTCAATAAAATTTTACTATCTACTTAAAATCAAACTTCGCAAAACTAATAAGTTCTCTGTTACTAATTTGAATTAAAAGCCACAAATATGTATAAAGGATTAATAGATTTCTACGCCACCTGTTATTAATCATAATTAATATTAATACCATAGTTGAATTGTTATTTTTAAATAAAAACGTGAATAAAATGTGGAGAGAAAAAGTCTAGTAAAATTACCGAGGTGGATGGAAATGACATTTCTTTTTAAAAAGAAACTATTCTGGTTAATAAAACCAAAATTATATGATATGTAAACCAATCATTGGGTGATTTATCAGTTAATATGGTAACGTTTCAGTGGAAATTCTAGTTCTTAAAATTATAGCTTCTATTACCACACATTTAGTAAAAAATAGACAATTGTAATTTAAAGAGATAATTGTAATAAAAAGTTTTAGAAAATTGGATAATATTGTAAAAAAATAGATAATTGTAATAAAAATAGATAAAGTAACTTTAACCATTTTATGCCATGCTCTAAGTTATGACAAAAGAGTTACCAAAACTTTATCAAAACCGTATTTATCAAAATTTTTCCCTTATTATAAAACCATATTTTATTGCTAGTTTTGCTAAAATCACTACCAAAGTGTTTCGGTAAAAATTATCGAGCTTTTTGATGTTCCCATATAGCCAGACACTCAGTAAACTTAACCGTATTCTGGTAGTTTTGATGTTAATTTTTTTCAGTACAGTTACTAATAAAAACTAAAAATATGTATGCAGGGTCAATAAACTTCTGTACCACGCATTATTAATCATAATTAACATTATCACATTTAAATTATTACTTTTAATTGTAACATGAAAAACAGTAAGTAATCAAGTGATAATTTAAAAATATCTTCTTTGACCTATATGATCACTTTGGACTATTAAGTTATTGAAAAAATATGTTGGAGAAAATATTTATTAATTTATACTTGCCTAAGAAACAGAAACAGTATTTAAAACAATCTATTCACAAATCTATTCAAATTCTATCTATTCACTTAAAATATCAATAAGTTTCTCAATTCCGTAATAGAGATAATAACTTTTGTACATGTTGAGTCTTCAAACAAAAAATTATACATTATTTTCTGTTTTTAAGACTCAACATTTGATGGAATAGTTTATTATGAAATTGACTCTAAAACGTCATTTTAAATTGACGTGCTCTGCGTGCTAAGTTTATATTTTAGTCTTGGCTTATAATTTAAAAATGAAATTGAAATTATAAGCGTTATAACCACATGTATATTAAGGCTTGTTGGTGCAAAAGTAAGCTTTCAGACTAAAATATTTTCTTTAATTCAAAATACTGTATTGAAATGTGACTTATTGAGTATTTCTTGATGTGATATTCTTCATTTTCTTATTTATGAAAATTATTTTTTTCCACTGCGTATTAATATTTAATAAAGTGTAAATCCCAATTTACCGATCATATTTTTAGTTTTATAACCATATTTTCAGTATTTTAGAAGTTCACAAAAATTGAACCACTCAAAATATGCAAATTTAACATAAAATTTAACATAATAAAACAACCGCAATAGACAGTCAACCGAAAAATTTTCAATACGATCTCATAAAAAAAAAAATTTTTTTTTCATCCTTTTTCAGAGACTCCATGTTCGAAAGAAAAAATTCAAAAGAAAAGTTATTACATTGTAAAAAGTTCCGTTTCAAAGTACGGTTAGAAGTACCGGCACTCAGAGTGCCGGTACTTTTTACCGTAAAATTCAATTTTACCAGAACATGCTACGGAAAAAGAATCAGATATGCCATAATTTTTACAGTAATAATTACAGTAAAATCTTTCACTCTAATAAAATAAATATATAATATCACTGTAAATATTACAGTATAATATTTTAGGACAAAAATGAATTTTACGTTAAAATTGATTTTACGGATGATGCACCCAATGTGCCGGTACTTAATATCGTAATTTGATCCGTAATTTTTGTCGCAGTGTATCAGTCAAGCAAAAAGTCATCAAATATACGTGAAGTAACATTTCTCATTTTAAAGCTTTCTAGTTTTTAACACATATTATAATAGCTATAATAAAAATTTCGATATAAAAATATAAATAATAAAAAGTATTTTATAAATGTTGCAGTACAAAATTAGAATTTTTTAGTAGTTATTACATAGTTATACATAGTATTACATAGATTTTATTCTTTGTGACAGCATGGAGGAATTACATGCAAAATTCTGAAGTTTTCTAAACTTTATATTTCGATTATTAAAAAATTATAAATCATGACTATTTCTTGTATCAAATAAGTATGATTTATATTAATGGAGCAAAAAAAATTATTGCAAATCCTAACAGAAGCAATTACATATATTTAATTATTTTGTTAGAGGAGGGAGAAATTTCGCAACAACTCTATGAATATAGTATTATTATTTGATCTCTACTTCACAGATGTTAGGCAAAAAAAAAAAATGAAAGGAAATTTCGGAAACATCTGTTAATACGCTTAATAAAACATAAACTCATTAACTTACATCTTTATTTATTTTCCAGAGTTTAATTTTTTTTTAAAGCAATACGTCTATTAATGTAAAAAATAATTTTGCTCAAATATACAAAATGAATTTTTTTTTCTGGCATTGTAAAAAATAACAGGGTAACATAATTAAAATTTAATTTAAATACTTTCCTAACTTTCTCCATTTTATGATTTTTTTATTGGCTTATCAAGTTATTTTTTATTTATTTATGATAAATTATTTATTACTTTCATTTTGTTTAATTATTTATTGATTTGTTTATTTATTCATTCATTCATTTATTTACTTTTCTCAGTAGATTTTTTTTCAACCGTTTCTAATTATTTCTTCAACTGGCACTTAAACTAGCGATAAAATATATTGTTTTTATGCAAAATTTACACCATAAAATGTTAAAATGAAATTACCACACAAGCAGAAAAGTTTTTAAAAAATAATCCAATTGTGCACGCTTTGGTGACTTAAGTTTTTTTCTTCGCGGCCCAAAAAAGAACAAACAGAAATAATTCTACTAAAAAAAGTTTATGAGATGAAAATGTGTTTAATTAAAACTTAACGGAAATTTAACACAAGAGAAATATTTACTTAAAACAAATGAAAGAAAAATTAAAAGGTGCGGAAAAACTAAAGGTCTTATTCTCTTGTCGTCATCCTGTGAACTGAAGAGTTCATGGAGTAGTTAAAACAGTTTTGGTTAAATTTGAGAGTTAAACACTCGTTATACAATGCATATCTAAAATTTATATTTAGACTAATTGTAAAATGTATAGTTTTAAATAAAAATAATGCACCTTACAAAAAAATGACTTTTAAAAAAGTTTTTTTTTACTCATATTCAGAATTCATCAAGGAAATGTTTATTTTTAAGAATTTGCCCTTCACAGTTTAAATAGCAAACGCTATAGAAATAGAAAAATTTGAAATTCGAAATGAAACGTTTTCTGACAAAATATAGAAGACGTATGAGTTCGTAACATGCATGACTATGAAGTGGTAGGTATACATAAAACTTTAAAATGAAATTTCTGTAAACCCTTTATATACGTAATTATAAAGAATTCTTATATATTTCGTTATAAATTTATATTTTCTTCAATTTTATATCTTCTTTTATTTTAACTTCAAATAGGGACTTCATGAAGAAAGATTTATAAATAATTAGTATTGAAATTTTAGAGAAGAAAAATTTATAAATTCTCTGATTAAATTTCTTAAACAACTTCATGAACGTAATTTTTTTATTTATAATTAAAGAAAAAAAATATAAAACTAAAGAGTTCTCTAACCACGCACTAAGTTCCGCACTTCACATTAAATTAGATGTGAATCATGAAAGTAAGGCCACCATTTTCAGCAAAATTTCTAAAATCTAGTGTGCTATCTAGTGAACAAAGAAAAACTTTTAGTGAAAATGACCTTCAAAAACATAAACAAGTCTTATGAAAGTGGAATTTTCGGAACTAACAATTTCCTGGAAAATTTCATGACCTTCTACTTTGGATTTTGCCTTATTGTGTAAAAATACTTTACTATTTTATTATTCAATTTTTAATTCTATTTTTTTATTCTTCCGTGTTCCACTCTCAGTTGTGTCTGTATTAATGAAATTTCTGTAAACTATGCATTTTTATGTTTTTCTGTAAAAAGAGAGTATAATGCATTTAAAAGAAATTTCATTTTAAGAAGTATTTTAAAAAAAGCATTACTCGTAGAAAACAATGGAAACTTTTTAGCATAAACAAAGACGAACAGAAAAAAATCACTCTCGTTTCTCATGATTTTCAGATGTAAAAAACCTTAAGAAAAGTGTTTCTACATAGCTTTATTACTTCATCGGTCTTTTGAAAAAAAAGTCATAGTGAGTTTTTAAAATTTCATTTAATCAATTAATATAATTAAATTGATGAAATATGCAAAGACGTACGCAGTTTGTGGCGTTTTTATTTTTTTTAAAGTTGTAATTAACATTATCAATAAATATTGTGCTGAGAAAAAAATCTAGTAAAATTACTGCACCATTATATTACCATTTCAAGTAAAAAAAAATCATAATTCTGGTAATAAAAACCAAAATATATGGTATTTATACCATTCAGTTGGTAATTTTCCCGTTCATATGGTAACGCGTAACCCGAAATTCTAGTTTTCAAAAATACAGTTCTTATTACCACATATTTAGTAAAAAATACAAAACTGAAAATTAAATTAAACCAAATAAATGGTTTTTATGCCCTGCTCTTAAGTATTACGAAAAAAGTATCAAACTTTAAAACATTCGTCAAATTTCATCACCTATCAAAAACCATATTTCATTGTTAATTTTACCAGAATCATTACCATAATTCTTCGGTAGAACCTAATAAACGGTAAATTTTATCTTATTCTGATAATTTTGAGCATATTTTTTCTCCATATGTAAAATAATTC